TACCCCTCCAAACTTGCACCCCCTTCCATTTACACCCCTTCCCAAACATAGTGTTGGAGTTGGATATACGAGAAAGTTATAACTCAACTCTAACCCAGCTCCTAAAAGTAAAAAACATATACGGTCCTGGGATAAACAATATAATGACTTCTTTGCAATACTCTATAAGCATTTCAATATCATTTGCTTGCAGAATGGTGCTAAATTATACAAAATCGGTAAGTCTTAGGATACATGAGACAACCCAACCCAACCCAACCTTATGGGCATCTCATACAATTTCATCATGAAGTGGGCAAATAATGATGACCAGCCGATCAGAATTCCTCTTGATTACCACGTCACGTAGACAAATAAACGATACAACAACAAATGAGAGCTAGTTGTCATCAACACCTTGAAGAACCGACCAGAAAGAGCAGCGGATCAGTTACATACATTGAACTTGATATCATAGATGAAGTATAGTGATCTTGAGTGACATATATACATTTTTTTTTATACGGTAAAAGAAAGTGAGAGAAATTTTCGGTAGTGAGATGTGATGGGGTTTGTTGAAGTTAGATGCAAGCATGGACTCTATATGGGTGCAATAATTAAGGTAAAGAGAATAATTTGGAGATGTACCCATCTTACATTTCACTCTTTTTTTTTTTTTTTTTTTGTGTGCAATATTTCTTGTTAATATTAGCTTTTATCATGAAGTCAAATTGAAGGAATTGGGTGGTAACTTTTGGGCCTTTCAAATGGGGCAATGAGATTGAAAAGTCTCAACCAACATGCACTATACCCTCAACAACACTGCCCAAGGCCAACATACTTGTGTCTTGGTAAATCTCTTGTCTCACCACAACTAGGAGAGTTTCATATACAGATTGGCTAGCTAAATCTCATAACTTTATGAGGAAAACAATGTACCCTTTGTCTTGGTTCCACTATTAGCTACATAATCATTCCATGGCAAGACTCCAAAAACAAGAATATTTCTCAACCTCGTGTGCTGCCTAACTCTTATTGGCAATTTTGTGACCTAGCTAGTTAGTGATCATCAGTACTATTAATTCCAACCAGCACGTGGTTGGCAATGTAGTTTTTAACTGATTGAAAGATGGGTAGTGATTGCATTCTTGGTTTGAACATGTATTATCAATATATAAAACAACGATTGAAAGGCCTAATTATCATGTCTAAACTTTCAAAAGATTTGATGATCAACAAACATATACACGGCTGATTATTATATTCGGGATTTTTGGATATTACAAGAGGTTACTTGATGGAGAATGTTCTGCGAGTAAAAGCATGATTCACTAACAGCGAGTAAGATCGGGTTCTTAAAAGCCTGCATCGAATTTGGTATTTAAACTCATCATATATCTGAAGTCTATGTATAAAAAAAGCATCAATTAGTGTTAGATGCTGCTTGATTATTATTCGACTTAAAACTTATCGAAAGGTGAGAATTTTCTTGTATTCGGGTTTTGAGTTGCAAGGATCATCAATCTAAGCATTTGTCAAGAAGAATAATTGTATTGATTCAGTAACAATAAAAGATCGAGAAGTACCAACTATGATGAGATTATAACTCTCTTGATAATAGTAAAACATGATATGCAATTGACATTACCAAATATGCCAAGACCCATTTCAATTTCAAGACTCTACTGATTTTTTTTTTATATATATAGCTATAATGGCCACGAACCAAATAAAGCCTTTAAGTTGGTGGATGGATGGAAGATAAGATATATGGGTGTGTGACATAATTACGAAAAAACAAGGGACCATGTTAACACGTGGGGCTGAAGAAGAATATCAATCCATGCAAAGTGTGTACATATAGCTATAATTGAGATCACCGGCCGATCGATGGAGGACACCCGAGGGACAATGATGATGAACAGTCATTGTTATTCGACAAAATGTGAATTGCTCTCATGAATGAATACGTTTCAATAACTCGAATTATTGAAAGACGTTTCATTTATGGTACATAATTACTACTTCCCCATATACGCCCTCTTATACCATGTATTTTAAGCCAACGGTTAATATTAAAAGTTGTGAGAACTTGAACACGCGTGACTTCAAGGACAAACCATCGCTCCCTTGTCATGTCATAAATCAATAATCGGTCCCAACAACTCAAATTATGATAGGTCCATGTATGATACTTAACCACTTTCTTACAATTACGACCGAATGAATTTGCACGAGAGATTTCAACAGAGAAGAGAAAATTATCATAGAGAATGCTAATTGTTTGCTCGTGAGCATTTTGCAACGGTTGAATGCAAAACCCCAAGACGAAAAAAAACTGTTTAGTATTCTAAATTTATTTTCACGGAGGCTTTAAAGATCAAGAATTGATTGAAATCTCCCAATGAGTGAATATGCGACATTTCGAGATATCTAAATCAAATCATCAATTTCGGTCGTGTCGAAACTGAAGATGAAAAGTCAAACTACCAAGCTTACTCTATGCATCAAAGTGATCCATGTCTATTTAAGGTTCTCTGAAAATCGTCTGTTTCACTCGTTCTAAATTATCCAAATCCGAATTTGAACGACCCCAATCATCAAAAATATTAACAAAACTATTGATGTTTTGCTAGTGGTGACTCACTTTGGATAAAGTAGACGCCAAAGAAGGAATTTTCGAGGAAGGGTTTGATTTTGTGGGTGTTTTCTGGTCCGAATGTGGGCGGCATATTGTCCGGAGACGACGGCGACCCGTGTGGCTTCTCCGGTCGCCGTCGATCCACTACTCAGAACCCAATCCTGCCGGCCGGCCACGTGACATGCTCATGTCTAGTTTCAATTCGATCTGGAACACATTTTGTTCAACGATGCTTGTTAGTGACAACACTGGGAGAGAGCATTAATGTATTCTCATCATATATCAGTTTGGTTCACTGATCGAAGTAAGGAAATGTGGTAATATTCATCCTTAGTATTCATTCAAGAATTCGAGCTATGTAAATCAGTTGGTTATTAATTAACAAAATATATAGTAGAGATTTTGAGGATATAAAGAGGTATTTCGTTTTCTCCTAATGACTCCAATTATTGAAATCAATTGGCTCATAACACCAGACCTTTAATTTATGTTTGTCTCAAATTGGATCATTTTGGGTTGAAGGTGAGTTATGGAGGGTTTTTTTAAGTATCCATCATTTTTAGGTAGCGGACCGAATCAAGTCACTGCAATAAAAAAGGGGGACGACCTTACCATACATACTACAATGATCAAGATATAGAGAACAACTTTGTCCCACTGACTCGTTTTGGGAGAGGTTGAAGAAATAATCTTAATTAAACACATCTTTCTAGTACAAGTTTCACTCTAACGAAGCCTATTAATCCGTGAGCTTGAAGTTCGTACAACGGTCCACCATGACAACTGTTAATTCAGAGTTTGTAACGAGCGAATTTATCTTCCCACTAATTCGACTTGATGGGAGAAACTCAAGAATGTTTAACATTCCTTCCTCCCTTATAGAAGTGACTAAAGAGAGCTCTCCAAACTTGACTTAGAAAAACAGACATTACAAGAACATAATGATGAATGAAGTCACAAATTGCTTAAAGTCTATGTGAACCAAACTAGTACTTTTGCTACAACTTTATTATACTATACACATCATAATTATCCATAATTTAAGGGATAATTTATACAATATGGATTGAATTGATCTTTACTCCTTTTTTTCATCACATATATTTGTGTGTTGTTAACATCCTGTTGGGAGGGAAAGGGAGGAGACAAAATGGGCAATGTTGAGTTTCTAAGCAAAGTTCTCCATATACCACATAACATAAACAAGGCAAAGAGGGGACATGTTTTCTTGTTTGGATCCTATATCCTATAATAATAATTTATTAAAATAATAATTACAATCCATATAATATATATACAGGTTGTTGGTGAGAGTTTGAATTGTTTAATAGAATTTTCTATGGAGACAACATTTGAACTTTTTTTTATAATTTATGTCTTAATATAATAGTTAATAACTATAAGTTTTAACACCATGTACAATATGACATTTTAATCCATCGAAGAGTGGTGGAGATGGCAAAGACCTAAATTTAAATTCCACGAGTTCCGATTAAAATTTTGGCTGTCTTCATATAAACAGAGTTGATGTATGATGTATCCATTGTAACTATTTCTATAAATTTATCGAATATTCATAGAAATCAAATTTATCGTTTTTTACTGATTTCTCACGGCAGAAATATGATGTTTTGGTACATTCCTCAAGTTTTGCCTAGTACACGATGGTTAATGTATGCCTCAAAGAAGGGTGATTTAATAAACAAATATATATTACTTATCCATTAATTAAATTATTATTATATATGATAGGGCACAAAAGATCATATAAAATAATATAGTGTTTAGATTCTGTATGCCGTGACATATATCAGATTGACATTTATATAGTCCAATTCGTGGAACAATCGTCTTGCGCTTGAGAGTCTAATACTATTTTTTTATTTATGAATATCTAATACGATTTAACAAGACGTGATGTACACTATTTCCCTCCAAATTCACGAACCCAGGGGCGGAGCTACATTGGTGCTCGTTGGGGGGGGGGGGGGGTGGGGGGAGGCTCGGCCCCCCGAGAATTTTGAAGTTGCATATATATTCGTCGAGAATTTTGGTATTTATGAATAATTTAAGGCATTATTTAAATATATTAGCGTGCTAAAATTGCTTGTAGTCCAGCGGACTGATTACTGCCATTTTATCAACGGTACTAGTGTTCGATTCCCCATGGAAGCTAGTTTGCTTTTTTCTACACTTTTTAGTTTACCAAATTTTAATTACTGCTCAAAATTTATAATAATTAATTATTAGTTCAATTTTGTCTCCTCTTTTTTAGTTTAATAATTGCTCAAAATTTAAGATAGCAATTCAATGAAATATTCTAGAAAGAATAGACATTCTCCTAATATATATTGAACATTTATAGATTAAAGTTTCTGAAATTCTAGTAACGATCATCATTAAGTTGTAACAATAGTGAATTACATGGTACCGTTGAAAAACAAATTATTAGTTTTTGTTGGTTGTTTAATTATTTATCTTAAACATATTGTACTATAAATTTTAGTTTAGAGTTTAGACCATATTTTTATGTCTTTTTATCCTTTTATGTTATTACATTTTTTTTTTGAATTCTTACGATAATACGTAAAAGAAAATGTCGGTCCCCCCGACTCACGAATCCTAGCTCCGCCCCTGCACGAACCGTATTATTTTGTGTATATATATCTAGGTTTACATGCTTTTCTGTGTACTATGGATTATGACCCTTATATAATATTTCATGGAATGTACAAGTTTAATTTTGAATAATCTGATACGGCAGAATTTATAGGATTTGGTCTAGTGATACATCGGAAAATGACATTGTTGTAATAAGAGACCATATGTTTTAAAGACGACGCGCATCTACAAAGTCTTATCTTATTGAGAGATGATGAAGCATTTTTAGACGAGACATGAAGTTCCTGGACGGTTCAGGTCATGGCCATAAGGCCCACGGAGAAGAGAGATCGGGTTTGCGGCCGACGGAGAAGACGACTAAATCAGTAGAGAGCATATCGGCCGCAGCCTAAGCAACAGTCTTCAGCACGAGCAGGGCAGCAGCAGAATCGCCGGAAAACAGAGTGGGGGGGGGGGGAAAAGTTTCAATTTGGGCGGCAAAAGAAAGAGACTTCTTCTTCTTCTTCCTCTCAACTGTGGTTCCCGCTTCAACGGGGAAACCATTAATAGCAAACCAAACTAAACTACTCTTCTTCTTCCCCCCTCTAATTCTAGAGAGAGAGAAGAAGAGATAGAAAGAGAAACGGGTCGGGGAAAAGTGGAGCAACGATGCAGACACCCTATCTACTGTTGCCTCCACCTTGTCCCCTGCCTCTCCCTCCTCTGTTTTTCTTCCTTTTTCTCTTTATTGTTTGCCAATTTCACCTCTCCCCCTTTAAATTCCTCCCAAAAAAAGCCCCAACTCTGTCTCCTTAAATTCACAAACCGCTTCTCCCTTTCTTTCTGCACCGATCTCACTCCACTGCCCACTTGGAACCAGAAGAAGAAGAAACAGGGTAAATTTTCTTTTCCCCATGGAGCTTCAGCTGGGTCTCGCTCTTCCCACCACAAATAACAAATCCAACAACAGATTGAACTTCGGTAATGATAATAACGATGTGGGTAGTTACACAAACGACGAGGTGATCGTACAATCATGGCTTCCGGTCGCCAACAATGGTGGTGGAACAGAGTGTTCTGCTGTCAACAGCAGGAAACGCCGCCGTTTCATCGAGTATTTCGAGGATGATCATCTTCCCATCAATCTCAAAACGCTACCCTTATTGCAATTGGCAGGCGGCAGCGACGACAACGACGATAATTGCTCTGTAGTTCTCAACAAGTACTGATTCCCCTCAATTTCCCTGTTTTTTCTTTTTACATTTCAGTGAATTGTGGATTTTGACGATTTGGGGTGTTTCGAATTTTCGATCTTTGAAGCAGAATTGAGACGGAGGATGAAGAAGAAGGAGATGACAACGACGGCGAAGGGATTGTGGGGTGGCCGCCGATTAGTTTCCGGCGGAAGAAGAAGAAGAAGATGTGGAATCACAGAGATCAACTGATGATGATGATGATCGTCGATGGGTCTTCTCCTTCTTCCGAGGAATGTGGAGAGGGACCCACGTCAATGTACGTGAAGGTGACGATGGACGGCGTCGGGATCGGAAGGAAAGTTGATCTTGCAGTTCACGATTCCTTCCCTTCCCTTCGACGGCAACTCTTCGCTATGTTCGGATTACGTAAGCACAAATGGAAAAAAAAGAACAAAAATTTGACTCCATCAGCGTAATCACAGCGATGAGACCATTTCACCGACGACTCACTCTGTTTTTTGTTCTGTTTTTTTTTTCGATGTAGCGGAAGAGAATCCCTGGGACGGCGGCGCCGGCGCCGGCGACTATCAGCTTACGTATCAGGATTCTGAAGGCGACTGGCTATTAGCTGACGACATCTCCTGGAGGTATATATTCTATTCCACTACCTCCTCATTATTATTTTCTTTTATATCATCTCCGGGATTAAAACAAGGTCACCATAAGACTCTAATGCATCTCATCACATCTTTCATTCGTACCACTCTCACAATCTTTTATTGATAAGAATAGGCATCGTGTTTTTCAATATCACGTGGACGGACGAGTGATCTCATCGTCTCGTCGACCTATCGATAAACTCGATATCGTTTTATGTAAACAACGTAAACTCGTGTATCTTAAGTACCGGATCACTCGTTCACGTTATCCAAACACGAAGTAGCAAAACTTACCTCAGTGTCGTGACATTAAATTACATAGCTACATAGCTTGTCAAGAACCAGTTGATCCCAATAACTCGAGTTGTTGGGAGAGGTTCAATCGTTGATCATATACCACAACACTAACACGCCCCCTCAAACGAAAGCCACTTACAAGGGCTTGAAGTTTGTACAGGTCTGAAGACAAGAATACCAGGTGCTTAACAAATGGGGGTCACCGGGAATCGAATACAAGACCTCTCGGTCACATAAGGCTCTGATACCATGTCAAGAACCAGTTGATCCCAATAACTCTAGTTATTGGGGGAGGTTCAATCGTGGATCATATACCTGCTTAAATTTTCTAAGTTGTGGGTGGGCAGAGAATTGACGATAACAGAGTATGGTGGTTTGCAGGAGCTTTATGGGGTCTGTGCAGCGACTGAGGCTGATGAGGAGCAGCAGCAGCAGCTAAGTGGATGAAGATATAGATAGATAGATCGACCTCTAGGGTTAAGATTTGGTCAAACTTTTGCTCACAGTAGTTTCTGATCCCTAGTTAGAAAATGAAGGTTGGGATTTATTTTGGTTTTTTTTTTTTTTTGTTATTTGGAGCTCTCTCCATGTAGTGTTGCAAACCTAAGTGTGTGTATAGATTATGTAGTCTAATTTGTATGGGATTATTGTACAAATATCTAATAAATATATAATTATATGAATTAGAAGCCATCAAGTACGAGTAGTATTAGTATTAAGTATTGGTCTTGAATTCGAAGGTCTTAAGTTTAACTTTCTCTTAAGTAGCACGGACGTGTTTGTTTAGGAAATCCATGAGGATAATAATGGTTTGAATTATTTTATAGTTTGATCAGTCACGATTCATTTTCGGACATTTGTAATACTTCTCCTTCTACTCTCTGATTGGAGATGTTTGAATCGCTTTTGGCTACAGAAGAATGCCAACATGCGATTTTTTATCGAGTTAGAATAATAATATTGGTATACATAGTAAAAGTCCATTTTGTAGTTGTGCACGTAAAGTACTCGTATATGTAATGAATGTGTGTTAAGACTCTCGTTCTCGTTCTATTTGTCGAGCTGTTTTATTTTTCTTGTTTGTTTGATACTTCACGAATTTAACAAATATAAAATGCATTTAATACACATATTTTTTTATAAAAAAAATATAATATACTATATTTATGTTTGATTTAAATTACATTTTGTACCGTTCCATAAATAATAACTGATACCAAACTTGTAACCGTACTATTTAGTTTAAGTTAATGTACACAGTCTCGTATAGTATCATAACATGCTCGTGCGTATCAGTATCTTAACCCAGCTAAAAAGGATATAAAATCTGGGATGAATTTTTTTTTTTTTTTTTTTTTGCCATTTTTTTCTAATGGAACAGTCCAATTAAGGAAGCCCAATGAAGGAAAAGGCAGCGCAGGGAACCACAAACTCAGTAGTTCAGTACCAGGCTACCAGCCAAAAAATTGACTACGCTTGAAGCCCATTACAATTAATCAAAGTCCATAACGTAAATCATAATATAGCCCAGCTATATTAAGCCCACATATTTTTAGCATATAACTTTTTAGCGTAGGGCTAAGATTTTGTGCCATTCAATTAGGGCTGGGAAATGGTGCGGTTTGGTTTAGACCAGACCATATATACGGTCTATGGTCCAGGCCGAGAGGCTGAAGTATAGACCACAGACCAGACCACAAACTATACGGTCCGGTCCAGACCACGCATGTGCGGTCTGGTTTGATATGGTCTGGTCCAGATAGACCACACTCAATGGAAAATGAATAATTTGTTTAGTAAACCACACAAAAAATTGAACCAATAACCGAGAAAAATAATTGATATTTTCCTTAACACATTAATCCTAACATGCATGAATAATTTTGATACCCTAAATCTTTGTACATAACAAAGATACAAAGTAAAAGGATCCCAACTTGCACCCTAACGTCATAAACATTAACTTAATGTCGTATGGAGACACAATTATTTCTACTCTCTGGTTAAATGTGGTTGTGAATGAAGGAGGAACGGGATTCCCAAAACTAAGGTTGAGACTTGGGTGTCGTTGTGAGAGTTGAGAGAGTGGTCGAATGGGCTGTTAACACGTATTGACAACTCGGTTGGGTCCACGGGTTGGTCCGGTAAACCGTGGTCTAGACCAGACCAAGATATCAAAACATAAAATAATACAGACCATGGACCAGACCAGACCATACTTAACGATCTATAGTCCGGACCAAACTGTGAGGTATGATTTGGACCACGGTTTTTCTAACGGTCTGGTCTATTTTTCCAGTCCTACATTCAATACGGTTAAATGCATGGCGTGTCATTTAAGTATAGCTATATAAGGGATGTTGTACACTAATTAGTTGATTTATATTTGTTACAATTAAAAACAAAACAAATTGACTTACTGTTACAACTAAACCATAAAAATTGAATTCTGGTTTCACCACTATAATTTATGTCCACAAATTTAACCAAATGAAAATTATTGTCCTACCACTTTGAAGAAAATAAAATATATATAATCATTTTGCACAAATGCTGAACTTACATGACCATTTCTGAATAATTACCTCTTTCTGCTTCCTTCACCAATTGCAAGTCACATGTACAAAAATTTGAATAGATAGCACTTAGCAGCAACGCAAGTTCCCATGGGAAACCCTAATAGGTACCTGCGGAAGTAGAAGAGTCTCTCCAAATCCCAATTTTATATCCTCCTTTCAAAATGCTTGTCTTCCGAGTTGGTGATCTGAAAACTCGAATTTGGATGTGGCAAATTGGATTTCGGATTAGAAAATTAAGAGTTTTGACCGTACCAACAGTCAAAGTTTTTTTTATAACCCAGGGAACCTCAGTCCCACGTGCTGCTTGAGCGACAACGGGGCCTACTAAACCACTGGGGGTACCTGCATACTAACCCGGGCTTTCTGCTACCAACATCGGGGAGGCTTCGCCTCCGATACCTAGGGTGCCGCCGGGAACGCTCAAGTGGTGCCACTAGGAATCGAACTCAGGACCTCCCACATCCAGAGCTCAATTGGTCTAGGCTATGTTACCTTTGGCAAAGTTAATAACGTTAATGAAAATGAAGCTTTGTGTTTGAATTGTTATATTGAATAGTTGAAGATATTTTTTTAATAGTTCAAAGTGTTGTAGTGAAATCTAACTCTATTAATAACAATATTATTGCTAGCCATTTTAGGGAGTTGGGCAGCCAGTTAGGGGTTGACTAGGAGTTGGGCTAGCCATTAATAACAATATCATCCTAACTTCTAGTAGTTAGTTGTATAATGACTAGTATTATAGTGTGTGGTCAGTGGTGGAGATGGGGTGAGTAGGGGTGTTCAAACGGTTTGGTTACCGTGGTAACCGTTTTAACCGGTACTATTTGGATAATTTGGTTTGGTTAATCTGGATAATTGGTTTGGTTTGGTTAAAGTTTTTAGCTTGTTTGGTTTAGGTGGTTTGGTTTGGTTTCAGACACTCCTAACCAGTCAAACCAAATTAACCAGTTAAGTAATTAGTCATATATCTAACATATATTATATACACATACTTAATACTTTGCATAACCACTCAAGAGTTAACGTTCATCCCTTTTAGACTCATAAAATATAAAGCTCAATATTGCTCATATAGTGTATATTTGTATATGTAAAGTGTAGAACACAACAAATGGACGCCTAATTTAGATAAATTTCATACATTATGATAGATGAAAACTTGAAAGGAAGGTCATTTCCAGCCTATGATAATTGCTAAGAGACTAAGTCAATTTACACAAACACAACAATTCATTACCCCATACCATTGTCATAAATTTTTGTTAGGTGAATACTTCTATACTAATCGTAAGATAATTGTCTTAGTTGCATGTATTTTTGTTAAGGGTCAACTATAACTACGTGTTGATTGTTATGTTTTATTCATTATATAAATTGTGAATTGTTGCATTAACCGGAAAATTTTCATTGTCAATGATAATGTGATTTTATATTGGTTAATCTGGTTAACCAATTAACCAAACCGATTAAACTTTAGTTTGGTTAATCTAGTTGTTGTATTAGTTTGGACGGTTTGGTTATGATATTGTATTCCATGGTTAATGGAATTTAGGCTTATTTGGTTTGGTTATAACCATGGTAACCATTTGAACACCCCTAGGGGTGAGGGGAGTAGGAAGTGTTTTGATGCCTACTGCCCTAACCAAGCCAATAACAATAAGTATAAAAAGGATTATATATATAGAATGTGGTGATAATTGAATTTACTAATCCAATGATTAGAACCAGCCAAAGCCTTGTTAAAAAAAAAAAAAACCCAGCCAAAACCTAATTTATAAACAACAAAAGGAAGAAAGAAACTATAATACTAATTGTTTTTATCTAATGAATATGGTGGGTGGGTTAGGAGTAGGTTACAAGCCGATCGAAATCTGACAAGTTAATGATTTAGTTCGTTTTCATGTCTTTTTTATATGTTATCAAGTATTATCATCGTGGTATATTGGTAATATATGTTTTAATTTTTTTAATAAATATATTCAAATTAAATCTCATTTTCAAGAACACAGATAATCTGATTTTTTGTGATTAAAAAGTTAAATTAGGACTTAAAATGAAAATGATAAGTTCGTCAAAATTAATTGAGGAAAAAATTATATATCTAACATGAACCGATGAATGGGTTACTTATGGTTATGTAAATTGTATAATTTGGTTTTACGAATCAATTTCCAACTCAACAAGTTCCCACGTGCCACTTGATGGGGCAGATTACTAAAAGGAGATCTAAATCTTGGAAGGTTATGTAAATTGTTTAATTTGGTTTTACGAATCAATTTCAAACTCAACAAGTTCCCATGTGCCACTTGATGGGGCAGATTACTAAAAATAGATCTAAATCTTGGAAGGTTATGTAAATTGTTTAATTTGGTTTTACGAATCAATTTCAAACTCAACAAGTTCCCATGTGCCACTTGATGGGGCAGATTACTAAAAGTAGATCCAAATCTTGGAATGTTTATGGCACTCGTAAATAAATTAATTTGTTTGACGGAGTAAATAAATAAATTATATTTGTAGATATTAACAAACGCATCCTATAATAAACTTAAAATCGCTGCAGTGAGGCATTTTACAATACTTGGAAATTTTGTCTGTAATTTTTTTTTTTATATTATAAATTATAAAGTGCACTTGTATATTTAACGTTATTGCATAAATTCAGGTTGTAGCTACTAGCTATAATTTTTACAGATTCAACTCGGTACTTGGAATTGGAAGTACCAATGCTTCCAAAAGCGTAGTAGTTGAGCACTCTACATGGGTCCTCTCTCCTCTGTATAAAATATGTATACACCAGTTGTTGGTTCAAGCTGCCATTCATCAATCCACCACTGCAAAAAAAAAAAAAAACAGAGGAAACAGAGACAGGGAAGAAACTTCAACAATGGCGATCAGCACATCATTATGGAATTGGATGGAAGAAGAAACACTCACTCTGTGTCTCAGTCCACTCTTCCTCCCCACTCTCATCATCATCCTCTTCCTAACCACCATCCTCCTGAAGAAAAAGCTGGCCCACGCTACTCCCGGCCCAACACTGCCACCAGGCCCAACGAAGCTGCCCATAATCGGAAACCTCCACCAGCTGGCCTTCTCCTCCCTGCTCCCTCACCACCGCTTCCGCGACCTGGCCCAGCAGCACGGGCCCGACGGCCTGATGCACCTCCAGATCGGCGAGACGTCGAACGTCGTCGTTTCATCCCCCGAAATCGCCCAATTGTTCATGAAAACCCACGACCTCAACTTCGCCACCAGGCCCATCGTCCAGTCCGCGAGCATCATCCTGTACAACCACAGAGACATCGCGTTCGCACCCTACGGCGAGTATTGGCGCCAGATGCGGAAGATCTGCACGCTCGAGCTCATGAGCACCAAGCGCGTGGGCTCGCAGCGGCCCATAAGGGAGGAGGAGGTCCGCAAGGCGATGGTGGGCTCGATCCGGCCCGGTGAGATCGTGAACTTGGGCCGGATCCTGGGCTCACTGGTCTGCAAGATTATTTGGCGGGCCGCGTTCGGCGGGGCGGAGGCCCGTGAGATGGAGGAAGCGTTTTTCTCGGTCCAGCATCGGATCGTGCAGGTAGAGGAGGCAATTTCAATCCAATCCACCAATCCAATAAAAATATCCAACTAATCCAATCAATTTAAATATAATCCATTTGATCCAAATCCAATTGGATTCATGGATTGGATCCATGGATCATTGGCAAATTACAATTTAGTACCTATAATTTTTAAGTTTTACATTTTGGTACCTAAAATTTAATTTTTTATACAAAAATATCATTGGAAAATTACGTTTTGGTACCTAAAAATTTTCATTATGACATTTTAGTACCTAAACTTTTCACATTTTACATATTGGTCCTTGGTTGAGGATGTCATTTGGATTCATGGATAATCCACCAATCTACTTGATCCAATCCATTAGATCCAATTCATTTGATCCATAAATCCACCAATCCAATCCATTTGCCACCTCTACGTGCAGGCCCTTGGAGAGCTCAGCCTGAGGGACGTTTTTCCGTCCAGTTGGGTTTTGAGGATGGTCGCCAGCAGGAATGATAGACGGCTGAAGAAGCTCCATGCTGAATCTGATACCATACTCCAAGAAATCATTGATGCGCATGTATCCAGAAGGAGATCTGACGTTGATCGTGCAACTGGTGGTGGTGATGATCAGGATCTCGTCGACGTGCTGCTGAATTTCACTCGTGATAAGGCCGTCGCCACCGGCGAGTTCTCGGTCACCGATTTTGAGATCAAAGCAGTCATCACTGTGAGTATAGTTTTACGGTAGTTGGTTCCAATAACTTGAATTGTTGGGAGATGTTCAACAATTTTGATCTTATATTAAGTACTGACACATCGTATAGTACAACCAATCCATACGTGTTTTTACTAAATTTCCAGTTAATGTAATGTGTTGCAGGACATATTCTTCGGTGGGACCCATACGTCCTCTGTCACCATAGAATGGGTCATGTCTGAACTGATGAGGAACCCAGAAGAGATGGAAAAGGCACAAAAAGAGGTTAGACGAGTGTTTGACGGAAAAGGAAAGGCAGTAGATGAAGCGAGCATTGATGAGCTGCACTACATGAAGCTGATCGTGAGAGAGACTCTGAGATTGCACCCGCCGCTTCCGTTGTTGGTTCCGAGAGAGAGCCGAGAGACGATCGTGATCAAAGGGTACCAGATACCTGCAAAAACGAAGGTGGCGATAAATGCGTGGGCGATCGGTCGAGATCCCGCGTACTGGATCGAGCCGGATAAATTTATGCCCGAAAGATTTGTCAACAGTCCCGTTAACTATAACGGCGATGACTTCCAGCTCCTCCCATTTGGAGCTGGGAGAAGAATGTGCCCTGGCGTGAAGACCGGGATGGCTATCGTCCATCTTGCAGTCGCGAATTTGCTCTATCACTTTGATTGGAAGCTTCCAAATGAAATGAAACCCGAAGATCTCGACATGACCGAAGTGTTTGGGATTGTAGTTGGAAGAAAAAATGATTTGCATCTCATTCCCACCCCTTACCGTGCACCCTAAATAGTTAACTTGTAGAATTAGTTCCCTTTTGATGTGTTTTCCTCATCTTCCGCTTATCAAATTTGAAATTACCATATGTACACAAATGAACGCCTTTGAATTATGTGTTCTTCGAACATGGTAAATGTCCAGCTTGAAGGCTATTGATACTCTTCACATTGATATCTCTCTCAACATTTTCAACAAATACTTTATATCATCAACTCGATCACCATTGTATAAACTTTGGCTATTAATTTAATTTTTTTGCATTAGAAGGAGGCTAAAAGTCAAGAGAAGGAAAAATACATGGGGGAGGTAAAAAGGGGGGAAGAAGAGGTAGCAACCACCATACGGGTTATGGTGATGCCCATGATGCCATCCCGAAGAAGGGGATTAATTTCCGAAGGAGGGTTCGCTAACTCATGCATACCGTAGGGATAGACGAGACTGTGCTTCGAGAGCCAGTTCGCGACTCTATTCCCTTCCCGGTAAGTATGCGTTAAGCGAACCAACTAGTCACGGTTGAGCTTCCTGCGAATGGCGGAAAGGAGAGTAGCATAAGGGTGGATCGGGTCATGTCTAGCCTTAATGAGCTGCATCGCCAGCTGCGAGTCGGTCTGAATGTGAATAGCTCTTCCTCCATATTTCCAAGCGATGTCCAGACCGAAGGAGATTCCCCAAAGCTCCAAGAGGATCATCGTGGCGGTGCCGAGGTTGGCGACAAAGCCTGCAACCCAGCGTCCCATCGGATCGCGCAACACTCCGCCAGCCCCTGCTGCCCCAGGATTGCCGTTGGAGGCTCCGTCGGTATTGAGCATGATCCATCCATCTTGCGGCGGCTTCCAACCCACTTCCTCCTCAATTCTGTCGGCGGGCCGAATTCTATTGGAAGGGAGGAGAGGAGGGGCTAGCCAAGCATTATACCACATCTTCATCTTAGCCATAATCGAATGCTCAAGGGATGGCGGGGTGAGAGCCGCTCCGGTACCCTGCATACAAAGAACACAACGATTTTTCTAAATGAGCCACAACGCCGTACTGAAGAAAGCAGGCCAAGGCATCCCTGTCGCCACCGCATCCGTACTCGAGAGATTGCTGCACAACCAAGATTTCTGGTCAAGAGTGAAGAAGTCTTGCTGCTGCATTCCCCCGGTCTGCCGAAGCCAGAAGAAGGTGGCTGGAGGGCAGTCTCTGAGAGTGTGCAAGATTGTCACTGGCGACCCCGGGCACTTTGGACAGAACGGATTCGTAGCAACTTTCCTGTGGAAACGGAGGCTATTAGTGGCAATCCTCCCAGTGCACGTTTGCCACAAGAAACAACGGACCCTCTCCGGGACTGGTAGGGACCAGACCGTCTTCAAGAGCTTCTCGTCCGGATCTGGAGGCTGCGGAGTGAGGAGGGTGAAAGCCGACTTGGTGGAAAAGTTTACGTCCGGAGAAGTAGTCCAGAAGAGGGTATCTTCCTTGTTAGAGAGTGTGTCAACAACCACACTAAGAATCTTCTGGCAGACCTTGGCAGGGAGGAAGGCCTCGAACATGTCGGTGCGCCAAGCTCCTTCAGCTGTCACGTACTCAGCTACCGTCATTTGCTCCATATCCTCAGCAACGTGATTAATTGCCACTTCCTTCAGGGCCCCCTGCAAAACCCAAGGATCCAACCAAAACTTAGTGTATTTACCGTTCTTAATATTCCAGGCACACCCCTTTCTTAACACATCAGCAGCTTTAGAGAATTTTTTTGCCAGGTGAAGGAACTTCCCTGAGAATTGCAGAGGATGTCCAGGTTCTCTCTTTGACGACCATACTTGGCTTACATGATTTGAGACCAGAGAGTCTCCTTCTCTTTGATGAGCCGTCATCCGCCTTTCGCCAGCATGGCCAGATTGGCATGTCTGGTAGGATGGATGCTCACCCCTCCATGCTTTTTTTGCAACGCCATTTTGTCCAAAGCCACATGATGCATTTTGTTCTTATTCTCCTCCTCCGCGACAAAATCCTTGTTTAGCTTGTCAATACTGTGACACACACCACTGAGAATAAGCTCAGTATTCATGTTATAAACCGGGATAGAAGCAGAAACCGAATTAACCACTGTAAGTCGTGCAACGAAGGATAAGCGGTTAGCTTTCCATGGAGCCAGCTTCTTCTGGATGCGAAGGAGAAGAGGTTGGTATCTCTCTCTAGTCACGCGGCCATGTATCGCCGGAATGCCCAAGTACTTGCCAAGAGCCATTTTCAGAGGGATGCCCGCTTGTTGGCTCATATGGCTTGCTCTTCCTCGGTTGATGTTGGGAGAGACATAGAGGATGAACTTGTGGTAATTCACCCGCTGGCCAAAGCTAGAGCAAAAGTCACCCAGACACTGTTTAATGAGTGAGGGGCGGGCCATTCTTGGAGAGCCTAAGAGCTTTCCATTGACCATTAGAGATAACTTCATCAATCAATTGAGAAAGACGTTCCATGCAAAGTACAAAGAGATAAGGGGATAAGGGATCTCCCTGGCGAACTCCTCGAGTCAGAGTGAGAGGTTGAGAGAGTTGCCCATTCCAAAGAATCTGCACCCTGTTTTGGGTGACACAATGCATGAAACCACTCATCCAAGTGCTTGGGAGACCAATGGTAAGTGTTTAGTTTTTACTTATTTATTTCTTAGACCTTAGGATTTGAGAAAAGAGACCAATGTCATTTTAGTAGTTGAGTGTGCTACCTTTCCTGTGAACTAGTACTTATACTAAAATTTACTTTTGGGTATCCTCTTCAAAAAGCCTCATAATAGTGGAGTTTGGTGGACACTTATATACAAGGATCATTTTCTTTGTATATACGATGTGGTACTTGGACTGTACAACGACAACCCTCCCCTCAGGACAACGACCACAAACTTCATATCCTTCCTGTTAGTGTTGTGGTATATAATCCACGATTGAACCTCTCCCAACAACTCGAGTTATTGGGATCAACTGGTTCTTGACATGGTATCAGAGTCTTCTGTGATTGAGAGGTCTTGTGTTCGATTCCCAATGACCCCCATTTGTTAAGCACATGGTATTCTTCTCTTCAGACCTGTGTGAACTTCAAGCCCCTGTGAGTGGCTTTCGTTTGAGGGGATATGTTAGTGTTGTGATATATGATCCACAATTAAACTTCTTCCAACATCGATTATATTGATAAGTCTTTTTGGACATTCAAACCATGCATTGACGATTTTACCCACTCTCTCCCCTAATCCAAAGTGGATGGGCACCTTTATTTTAACTCGACGGAATTAGCAGTTCCTGCGTAGCATCGGAATCCCTCTGCCTATATGCCACAGCCGGTGGCAGCATCCAATGTGGCTACCGGAGCTTTTTAGGGCTAATTTTTTTTTTCCAAGTGCGATCTGGCGCGTGCATTGGTAGGTAGCCCCATCAATAAATGCGGTTTTGATGCAGATGACTAATCTCTCTGCACAAATGCATGTGTTTGTTTGCTTAATCTATCTGCAAAACTTATTTTATGAGCAATAATTAATATGCTGTGTTTGGATCTAGCTTCTCTGCTCCATTGTTTCGGGGGTCTAATCAGGGTACCTGAACTCACCTAATTGGTGATTAATGTGCCTCGCTGGATTCCACCATGGATGAGGATTTAATTAAGACAGGGTAATCGTCTTTTCTTCATAAAAAAAAAGACTGCCTAATTTGGGGTGGTGTCGTATTCGTGTATAAAAGGAATAAAATCTGCTGGAGATCCTACCTGCGATCTGAAAAAGTTGGTCGCTATAAATAACTATAAGCTAGGTGACGGTATTTGACCAAAGACAGATTATTACAAGATGAGGAGGAAAAGGGTGATAGACACTAATAATTAGACCGTTTGGATGAGCAAAGGATGGGTTGGATCATGGTATAAGAGAATACGAGAGTGTCTAGGGTTGGGGATGGGGTCGTTTTCTCACTGGCTAAAACGGCGTCGTATCAGTCGGTCGGTTAGAGCCGGTTAGCCGGTTAACCGGCGTCGGTTACTCGACTAACCGCCTCCCCACAGACAGTTTCCGCCAACCGACCGTGAATCGTTTCTTTTGGTTTTCAGTTAGCCGCTAACCGGCGATTAACGGTTAGACCGGCCGGTTAGCCGCTAACCGGCAACCGAAATAACAGCCCTATAAGAGATAATTATAATATTGAAGATATCGATGATTGAAATGTTGAAGGGAATGAGTTTTTACAACATATACTCATCACATCAATGGAATGTGGGTGGGTTGCATGTGGATAGATAATGTAAAAAAATATAAAGAAAGGTGGGCTAGGAACACGAGGATCAGAGGATGGGTAGGAAATTATTAACGTGTTATTATAAATTTACAATTCAACAAATAGTCCATATAATAAATTAATAATATTAAGTTTCAATCCTTTTGAAAACCCATGGAAAAGAAATAGCAAAGAATCATATGCATTCGATCGAGACATTATTATTTCCCTATATACATAAAGAAACTGGATACAGAATTCGAGCTTCGCACAAACCTCATCAAATCCCCACCACCTGCAACTGCAACTCTAATATCATCTGTTTGATCGAGATATGGCCAGCAATAACAGTTCCAACACTGAAACCAGCGCTCCTGGGAGGCAGAAAGCAGACTTCAAGGCAACTGTATGGGGAGACTTCTTCATCACCCATGTCTTTAGTGACCAAGAGGTAAACCCGTCACTAATGATATCTGCTTTCTTCCTCTTTCTTAACGAGAGTGAATCCAACAACACCTTTGCTTCACCTTTTGGCAGACCGTAGATGGGTGGATCGAGGGGATAGAGGCGTTGAAGGAAGAGGTGATTAAGGCGATGATGATGTCAACGGAGAAGCTGCATCTGATCGATGTGGTGGAGCGGCTGGGGATCGGTTACCATTTCGAAGCGGAGATTGGAGAGCAGCTCCGACAGGTTTATTGTGACGGGACCAGTCGTCGCAATAGAGATGATATCATTAGTGACGAAGATGGAGACCACCTCTTCACGACTGCGCTTCAGTTCAGGCTGCTCAGACAACACGGCTACAACGTGCCTTGTGGTACCATTTCAGCTTTCGTTACATGGTTATTAATTACACGACTTCTTTTGCTAGGATTTAAAGAAGAAAAATTATTGACTTATACACACTATAACTTGAAAATATATTTCATTACACCGTGTGTATGAGCTTATATATACGTTGAGTTTTACTATTTTGGTGGTTGGTAACCTATTCATTTACGTATTGGATTAGAGTTTAGTGAATAGAGGTGACAAATGGATTAATTGGATTCATGGATTTGTGGATTGGATTGGTGGATCCATGGATCAAATGGATTGGTGGATTCATGAATCGGATCAAGTAGATTGGTGGATTATTAATGAATCCAAATGACATCCTTAACCTTGGACCAATATGTAAAAAGTGAAAAGTTTAGATACCTAAATGTTGTAATGAAAATTTTTAGGTACCAAAACGTAATTTTCCAATGTAAAAAAATAAAAAAGTATAGGTACTAAACTGTAATTTGCCAACGATCCATGAATCCACCAATCCAATTGGATTTGGATCAAATGGATTGAATGTGTTGGATATTTTTAATGGATTGGTGGATTGGATTGAGAATTGTTCCCTCTAATTGGTCGAGTTTTTTTTTTTTTCATTGGTTGTCGGCACAAGGTATTTTCGCATTGTGGATTTCTCGTTCCATTACAATACTAGGATATGATGATGATGCTAGTTGATAGGTTTACTGAATACAATATATATGCAGATATATTCAACCAATTCAAGAACCAAGAAGGGAGCTTCAAGGAAGAACTAGGGAAAGACATCAATGGGTTGATGAGCCTTTATGAAGCTGCATTTCTTCAGACGCATGGAGAGACGATACTGGAAGAAGCTGTCGAATTCGCAGGAGACAACCTTCGCAACTACTACTTCAAGGTGGATCGTGGTGATGAAGATGATGATAATCGGATACTGTCCAAAAGAATTGCTCATGTGTTGGAAAGGCCGCTGCGCAAAGGCGCTCCAAGGCACGAACAGCTCTTCTTCATCACGGTATACGAGCAAGAGAAAGGTCACAACAAAACCCTTCTCAACCTCGCCAAATTGAGTTGGAACCATTTGCAGAGCATATACCAACAAGAGATTAGGGGCATTAGCAAGTATACGTCTCGTTGGTCTCTTTTCATTTTGGGATGAATATGTTTTTGTTCTTTCTAACTAATTAAAACGAACCAATTCGTTGACGTAGGTGGTGGATCGATTTGGACTTCGCCACGAGGATATATTTCGCTCGGGACAGACTGGTCGAGATATACTTCTGGGCGATCGGAAGCATGTGGGAGCCCAAATATGCACTTTCGAGATACTTCTTAACGAAAATCACCATACTCATATCCGTGACCGACGACATGTACGAGGAGCGTGGTAAACTTGACGAACTTGAGTTGTTTACCTCTACAGTCGAGAGGTATATAAGTCTCTCTCTCTTTCTCTTTCTTGTGTTTTTGGTTGAGCACTTGTTTTTTTACTCACAAGTGAATTTAGAACTAGCTATATCTACAAGTAAAAAAGAAAAAAAAATCCTGCAACCACAAATAAGGTTGCTGAAAATCAGAAAATGGTCGCCAAAACATTGCGGTGACGATAAATGAGGATCGCCACGATAGTCGGCAAAAGGTCATCACCTTGCAACTCTATGCGACGATTATGTTGAAAATATTGTTTGGGTTCTGTGACTAACTGATTAAATGTGGTTGCCACATGGGTTACTTTACAACCACTAGTAATGAGTGCCTAAAGGTAGAAAACTTCTGCAACCCTTCGAATGTGGTTGCCAATTGGTCTTGATCACAATCACTACTAATGGAGGTCAAGAAAACGGTAGTCGAAATTCTTTTTTCTTGTAGCGCTAGCTATCTAGCTTCGTTAACTAAACCAATCAACGAATCATATAGCTTGAAAGTGATTCGGATGGCTAATGATGAACAGATGGGACACCAGCATGAAAGATCTCCCAGGCTACATGAGAACTTTGTTTGAGGCGCTTAGTGATGTGGTGGATGAAATAGCCACAACTACGACCACACAAGGAAGACACTACTGCGGAGACTATCTAAAGGAGGCGGTATGTAATCTAATTAAGAAGTTATTAATTAATCAATTCACTTAATTAGCTTAATTAGTCATTATAAAACTATCATGTTTATGGTAATTAATTAAATGGCGTGCCTTGCAGGAAAAGTATATAATGAGAGCATACCTCTCACATGCAAGATGGTTCGCCGCCGGGGAAGTGCCGACGGTGGAGGAGTACAAGCGTGTCGGCATTCATTCCTCGGCTTACCCGCCGTTGGCATGTGCAGCCCTCTGCGGTTTGGGTGAGAAGGCCCCAAAGGAGGCGTTCGAATGGTTGCTGTCGGACCCAAAAATCTTTGTCGCGGTATCTGATCACTGTCGCCTCATGGATGACATCTTAGCTCATCAGGTGGGTTACGTTCTCTCTGTGTACTCACTTTTCATTAGTTATAATCTTCATTTCGATTATACAATTTCGTGTTAATTTATGATGTCAGTCTTCAATCATATTGCAATGAAACTAGAACATGGGTATATACAATTTGCTAAGTAATTGTTATTGAATTTGCTGGTATTTTTAATCATTTCCTGAATTTGATTTTGTTTTTCGAGTAGGTGTCAAATATTAGATGGTATGCACTCGATTCTAAAACTGAAAAATTTGGTTGTGTATTGATAGTTCGAGCAGAAAAGTGGGCACGGGCCTTCGATGGTCGAGTGCTACATGAAGCAATATGAAGTGCCTAGAAATGAAGCGGTGAAAGCATTGAAGAAAATGGTGAAGGATGACTGGAAGGAGATCAACAAAGAGTGTCTGATCGACCAGCCGAGTTTCGTCTCTAAGGAAATTATTTCGATGTTGGTCGGGCTTGCAAGGATGATGGAAGTTTTGTACACGGAATTTGATGGCTATGGCACCTCCGACAGAGTCACGATAGATATTGTGAGGGCTGTTCTCGTCACTCCTATGGTTATAGTGGACGACGTCTAGCTGAAGCTGCTTTGATTTGCCTAATCGGAAGAATTTTTATTCGAAAGGACGACATAATCCTTCAACTAATGACATAGATGGCTCTGTGTTCAACATCGGAATCAAACAATGAGATACTGTGATACCAAATTGTTGCTTGTTAATTGTCCTTCCTTGTTTTGTTTTGTTTTGTTTGAGGCACTTGTTCCTTGCATGCAAGTATGCTATCATTTTCTTTGAGGCACCTGTTCTTATAAATGTATTTTCCTACACCACCTAAAGGAAATGGAGAGCGAACGATGGTTTGTAGTCAAACGGTTCGTTGTTTATATATACAAGCGACCATGATTCACAACTAGGGCCGCAAACGAGCCGAGTCGAGTTTTTGCTTAGTTTGAGCTTGGCTCAAACTCGAATTTTGATAATCTAACTCAAACTCGAGCTCAGCTCGATTAAAAATAATCCAACTCAAACTCGACTCGGTAGAGCAGTAAATGCTCATTAACACAGCTTGTCAAGCTGAGTACAAGCTCTGCTTAAGATGAGCTCGATTTGAAATCATTTTTGGTAAAAATGTGTACACATAAGAATTTAAATGATAAAAAGAACACTGGAAACTAAAAATAACATCTAACTTCCACACACATTCGTATTAACAAGATAATGCTCATGTTTAGATGAGTAATTATTCATTCCACAAGCTCTAAACAAGGCAAATTGCGAGCTTAGCTCAACAAGCTAGCTCAAGAGCTTATCAAGCTGAGCATGGTCTGGCTCAAGCTTGGCTCGTTTATGAGCCGGCTTGTTAAATAACGAACCGAATGTTGAACGAATTTTTTCTGATTCGAACGCCGAGTTGCTACCAAGCGGCTTGACTCATTTGCAGCTGTACATGGGCGCTGGGCCGTGCTTGGGCCGGCACGGCACGGGCACGCTTCGGGCCCATTTATTTTGTGTCGTGCTTGGCACGACCCGTCATTTTTCGTGTCGTGCTTGGCACAGCCCGTCATTTTTCGTGTCGTGCCATACAAGTCCATTTGTTAACTTTGCTAGGCCTAGCCCAGGCCCGGGTACGGTTCGAATCGTGTCGTGCCTATTCGTGCTCGTGTCATGCTCGTATTCGTGTTTAATGAAAAAGACGAAAAATAAGAGAAAATGAAAAATAAGGTGAAAAATGGACGGAGGGAGATAGTATTAATCGATAATGTTTGAGAAAAGTAACAAATCAGGGGGAAACGAAAATTGGAAGTATAGCGAGTGTCATTTGGCTTTGTTTAATTCTTTATCCATTTTTACATATGTTAGTAATTACGTATATATCTTTATGACACTTCTAACAACAAGAAATAATTATTTTTCTACTTGTGTTTGTAATATTTGAACCTATAATTCTTTTTATATTTATTTCCGTGCCATGTTCGTTCTTATACGCAATAAACTCTCGAAAATATTAGGCCCGACACGGCCCACTTATATACCGTGTCGTGCTCGTGCCCATGAAGTTTAGGCCCGGCACGGCCCGTAAATTATTCGTGCTCGTGCCGAGCTAGCCCATTTATTTTGTGTCCGTGCTCGTGCCGTGCTCTAACCGTGCCGCACGGTACCCACGTACATTTGCAGCCCTAGCAGCAACAACTCCACTGCCGAAACCAGTGCTCTTGAAGTGCTGGAGTGAATGAGTTTAAACTATAATTGTAGCACATCTTTGGGTGAGTATGACTAGTATTATATAAAGCTCGGTGATAATTGAATTCAATAATTCAAATGGATCAACTGTTAGTGAGAGTGGCATATGATTCACAATAGAATCTCTCATAACAACTTGAGGTATTGAGATGAATTGGTTCTTGATATAGCATAAGAGTCTTCTGTGGCTGAGAGGTCTTGTGTTCGAATCCCGATAAGCCCATTTATGAAGCACATGTATTCTCGTATTCAGGACATTTGCAAATGAACACCCTTACAAGTTGACTGGCTTTCGTTTGAGGGGTTGTATTTGTAAGTGGTATATGATCCACGATTGAACCTCTCCCAAAAACTCGAGATATTGGGATCAACTGGTTCTTAACACTTATCACAAAATCGTTTGAAACAAATACATAAAAAGCCGTTTAAAACAACATAAAAAAAATTAAAAAATAAAACTAAAATATAAGAATTGTTATCGTTTAATGATTTTAGTGGGTGAGATCACACACTATAGTGGAACAAGATATCAAAACGATAAAAATCATTGACCACTAAGTAGTGGGTCGATTAGGGTTATTTTTAGGATTTTGTGGCTTTTTCTTATAGATATGTATTTTGGATCTTTCTTTCATAATCAAGAAGAAAGTAATGAAACAATTATCCCTAATCTCTCAAAAGCTATTTTTTTTCTTTAAAAACTATCTACCGACTATTTCTTTCTATTCTCCTCCAAACCTTCTTCCAATTCTTCCTAAATGGTATTCTTAATCCTCTATAATCCTCCTCTTCAATCCCTATATCCATAATCAATTCATGTTTTTCGTATTGATGTGCCTTCTTGATTTTCTCAAGTTTTTCATTGAATTTCCTTTTTTATTGTAAACATGCTTCATTGAATTTCTTAAGAACCGAAGATCAGCGGCGGATCCAGAACACAGAAGTGCACTGGGCCGTATTTTATTATAAAATTAGAATACTCAAAAAATATTATGATTATAATTTTTTTACAATGTAAATTATACACGACGGTATTTTAATTTATCGAATGCATTAATAAAGGAGTCCACATCTATACCAATAGTATACACTGTTTCAAATAAAATACTTGAGCAATCGACTAGAAATTCATTGCTCATTTTGTTGCGCAAATCAATTTCACATGTTTCATTGTTGCAAAGGTTCTATTCGTATTAGCTGTTGAAACGAGCAGAATCAACACTAGACAAATCAATCTACTAATCAATTTACATTGTGTTTCCATCCCTATATCCACCAGCTGCTCTAGTAAATTTTCCAAGGTAACAAACCTCATATATGTTTTAATCTTTTACATTTAATACTTATTGAATTTTTAGGTTTCATTGTTTTTTTAGACGAATAACCTTTGGGGTTAGAATTTATAAGCTAAATTTAGAGTAGTGATTTTGAATATGTTCATCTGAATCATTTTTCTAATTATATCAAATCTTATTTTAAAATAACAACGACCCGAATATCTAAAATCGAAAAAATTCATAAGGCCTATACTAACTATGGATCCAGAGGAGGGCTGGGCCGGGGCCCGGGGTGGCCACTCCCTGGATCCGCCACTGCCGAAGATTCATTCCGAAGCAAATTTGGGTTAAGACAGATCAAATTGAATGCATTTTCATTTTGGTTACGAAAAAAAGTTATTTTCATTCTCAACTTGATTCATATTTAGTTGTATCGGTGTTGGCTCATTCTATATCAAATGTATCTTCGTCTAAAATTTTCATTGCTCTTTGCTTCCTTCATTTGCTAATTTGATATTGATGTTCATCCTACCTGTGATTAATGAGCTCTATAATGACTAGGGATGGGATTAGGTGCTAATCCTTATAGGGGTTAGCACCGTGATAACTAGCAAAAATCACTACGGATTATTATAAAATCAATACAACATCTAAGCTAAATCACTACTAATTCAAACTAGTAGTAGTTTTTCTCTTGGTTAGGACGGTGCTAACTATTGTACAATTAGCACCGTAACCCCTCCCTAATAACTAGTATTACAGTGGGCGGTGGAGGTGGGGGTGAGGGGATTAGGAACTAGGAAGTGTTTTGATGACTAGGATTACATAAAATTAATGTGGTGGTAATTGTATTTAATAATCCAATGATTAGAACCAACCAAATCATTAAAAATAACAAAAAGAAAAAAGATACTATAAAAAGAATTGTTGTTGTCTAATGAATACGATGGGTTGGTGGGTGGGGGTGGGTTAGGACTTAGGAGGATCGTAGATTTTGTGCAAAACTCATATTTCGATAATCTAGTGTAATCTCTGTTTTCAGAACCGAATTGGAGGCTGAATCGGAAGAGTTAGTGGTTTAGCGTTCGCCGGTTAACCGTTACAAAATTGTTGGTGAACCGTTGATAGAACCGTTCATGATATATAACATATAAGACTTGTATATTACACTAATTTAAGAATGAAATTATAATTGACCATAAACAAGTTCAAATTCATATCATCAACAAAATATCTAATAAATTATTTCAACCATCTCACAAAAGAAACCACATTTTTTAATTCAAATTAAAAATTACGGTTCTAGTTGGTAGTAGACAACGTAAAGTCGACAATAAGGTTAAGGAAGCATATATAAAATTGATGATTATGATTTGATGTTCTTAGTCTATGTTAAAGCTTTTTTTTTTTTTGTTAAAATAGTGAACCAGTGGACCAGTTAAACCGTGTCGGTTCATCTGATTTTATGTTGAACCATGAAAAATCGTTTGGTCCATCAATAACTGTTCAAGCAATGAAGAACCGGACTGTTATCGTAACTGGTTTGACAGTTCTACTAGCCTGACCGTTGATCTGGTTCGGTTCTTATAACAAGGAGTATAATCATTATCACCAATGGTTTATTTTTTCACAAGCTGAATGGCTAGAAACAAAGATAGACATGAAAGAGCATACGAAGTAACTTTTTATATGATCGTTGGATGTATTTCGACAATTTAGAAACGTAGATCATTATTTATTATTAAATTTGATATTTGGATCTGGGTTTAGAGAATCGAGACGCAACATTTATCGATTAGTGATTGTGATATAATGTCACACCCTAAACTCGTTTTAATTCATAATTTTAATAAAGATCTCATCAGAAATAATCGAAATATTATATTCTCCAAAAATGTATCAGCCTGCTACATATATTATATACATACGCAGTATGGAGTTAAGAAAACAGCTTAGTCCAAAATATCCTGACATATCTACCGAGATCACACTCACAATAAAGAAGAATTAATAATGAAATTATTAAAGTCCATAATTTAAAAAAGAAACCCACTGAGAAAAAAGACAACATTAAGAAAATATTATTTCCCTATACATAAAGGACTGGACACAGAAGTCGAGCTTTGCACAAACTTCATCGAATTAAACTTCCAACTGCAAAACTCTAATATAATATCATCAGTTCGATCGAATCAGCTTCCGGCCGTTGAAATCGATATGACTGGCGACAGCGCCACCGCCGGAACTGTATGGGGAGACTTCTTCATCACCCATGTCTTTAGTGACCATGAGGTAAACCCGTCGCTAATGATATCTGCTTTTCTCAACGAGAGGGTGAATCTAACACCACTTTTCCTCGCTCACCTTTTGGCAGACCGTAAATGGTTGGATCGCGAGGATAGAGGCGTTGAAGGAAGAGGTGATTAAGGCGATGATGATATCAACGGAGAAGCTGCATCTGATCGATGTGGTGGAGCGGCTGGGGATCGGTTACCACTTCGAAGCGGAGATTGAAGAGCAGCTCCGACAGGTTTATTGTGACGGGACCAGTCGTTGCAAAAAAGATATAATTAGTGACGAGAAAGACCACCTCTTCACGACTGCGCTTCAGTTCAGACTGCTCAGACAGCACGGCTATAACGTGCCTTGTGGTACCATTTCAGCTTTCATATTACATATGGTTACACGAATATATATCATACTGTGATATTGATCAATGCTTGTGCGAGAATCAATTGATTCCAATAATTACCGGAAGAAATTTGGTAATTAATCATATATTATTTTTTAACACATGGACGATTTCAACGGTTGGACCGGAAAACGGTGGACGATTTCAGCGGTACGAAATGGTTGAACCATGATTTAAGTATAAAATTAATACAGTACCACTAAATTTTCCAGTATAACTCTTCTGTGTGATTTCGAAATCGCTGCTAGCACAATACCCCTTCAAAGGAAGGACACCATATATCATTTGCTACAAGTTTACTGAAATTCAATACATGCAGACGTATTCAACCAATTCAAGAACGAAGAAGGGACGACCTTTAAGGAAGAACTAGGGAAAGACATCAATGGGTTGATGAGCCTTTATGAAGCTGCATTTCTTCAGACGCATGGAGAGACGATACTGGAAGAAGCTGTCGAATTCGCAGGAGACAACCTTCGCAACTACTACTTCAGGGTGGATCGTGGTGATGAAGATGATGATAATCGGATACTGTCCAAAAGAATTGCTCATGTGTTGGAAAGGCCGCTGCGCAAAGGCGCTCCAAGGCACGAACAGCTCTTCTTCATCACGGTATACGAGCAAGAGAAAGGTCACAACAAAAACCTTCTCAACCTCGCCAAGTTGAGTTGGAACCATTTGCAGAGCATATACCAACAAGAGATTAGGGGCATTAGCAAGTACGTCTCGTTGATCTCTTTTTCATTTTGGGATGAATATGTTTTTGTTCTTTCTAACTAATTAAAACGGACCAATTCGTTGGTGCAGGTGGTGGATCGACTTGGACTTCGCCTCGAGGGTACCTTTCGCTCGAAACAGACCGGTCGAGTTATACTTTTGGGCGATCGGAAGCATGTGGGAACCCAAATTTGCCCTTGCGAGATATTTCATAACGAAAATCATCATGCTTGTATCTGTGACCGATGACATGTATGAGGAGCGTGGTATACTTGACGAACTTGAGTTGTTTACCTCTGTTGTCGAGAGGTATATGAGTCTCTCTCTCTGTCGCTCTGTTTTTCTTGTTTTTGTTCTCACAAGTTAGTCTAGAACTAGCTATAGCTAGTTAGCTACAAGAAATAACCTTTTCTGCAACCATAAAAGGTTGGTGAAATCACAAAATGGTCACCATTTGAAGGTAGAAAACTTCGGCAACCCTTTGAATATGGTCGCCAATTAGATTTGATTACAACCACTAGCTATGGTTGCCAAGAAAATGGTAGCCGAAACCTTTTTTTCTTGCAGTCAGGGGCGGAGCTACTTAGAAGGTAGGATGCCCCCGGGAATAGTCCGAACCACTAGAACTTTAAGGATATTTAGATAAATTTTGCATAAGTACAACTCGGCCAGAAAATTAGTTCATGTAACTATTATGTAGTCTACTGGTAGCTAATCTAGTTTTTAGTGTGAAGCACCAAAGTTCAATTCACCATTACTTCACATTTTGCTTAATTTTGAGTGATTTCAATGATTTTTAGACTATATTGAAAGAAAGATAGAAAAATATTTAGTTTAATGTTATTTGAGTGATTTTTCAAATATTTCAAAAAACGTTGTATATTTTTCAAATATTTATAAATAATTATTTATTTATATTTTCGGCCCACCCGATATCGAAATCCTGGCTCCGCCCTTGCTTGCATTGCTAGCTAACTACGTTAACTAAACCAATCAACGAATCATATGTCTTCAATGTAATTCGAGTGGTCAATGGTGAACAGATGGGACACCAGCATGAAAGATCTCCCAGACTACATGAGAACATTGTATGCAGCGATTATTGATGTTGTGGATGAAATAGCCACAACTACGACCGCACAAGGAAGAGACTACTGCGGAGACTACCTAAAGGAGGCGGTATATAATCTAATTAAGCAGTTATTAATTAATCAATTCACTTAATCCGCTTAATTAGTCATTAAATTTTTCATCTACTCTTTCCATTAAAGCAAAAAAGAAATTGTTTATGATAATTAATTAATGGTGTGCCTTGCAGGAAAAGTATATTATGAGAGCATTCCTCTCACATGCAAGATGGTTTGTCACCGGGGAAGTACCGACGGTGGAAGAATACAGGCGCGTCGGCATTGATTCCTCAGCTTACCCGCCGTTGGCATGTGCTGCCCTCTGTGGTTTGGGGGAGAAGGCCCCAAAGGAGGCGTTCGAGTGGTTGCTGCCGGACTCGAAAATCTTTGTCGCGGTATCTGATCATTGTCGCGTCATGGATGACATCGTAGCTAACCAGGTGGGTTACGTTCCATGTGTACCCGCTTTTCATTAGTTATAATCAGGATTTAAATTGTTCAATTTCGTGTTAAATATGATGTCGTGGTCTTCAATCATATTGAAACGAACCAGAGCATGAAAGTGCAAAATTTGCTAAGGAATCATTTATGGCGTATTTTGATTTTGTTTAGAGTAGATATAAATTTTGTATATATATGGTATATACACTTAGTTCTAAACTATAGAATTTGGTTTCCTATCGAACAGAAAAGTGGGCACGGGCGGCCTTCTCTGGTCGAGTGCTACATGAAGCAGCATGATGTGTCGAGAGAGGAAGCAGTGAAAGCACTGAAGAAAATGTTGAAGGATGACTGGAAGGAGATCAACAAAGAGTGTGTGGTCGACCAGCCGAGTTTCGTCTGCAGGGAAATCGTTTCGATGCTGGTCGGGCTTGCGAGGATGATGGAACTCCGTTACACGGAATTCGATGGCTGCGCCGCCTCCGACAGAGTCACGAAAGATGTCGTGAGGGCTGTTCTCGTCACTCCTATGGTTATAGTGGACGACGCCTAGCTGATGCTGCTTTGGGTTCAAACAACGAGCTATAATGTGGTACCAAATTGTTGCTTGCTAAATGGATATGTTATTCCCTTCCTTTTTTTTCGTTTTGTTTAAAGCACTTTTGCCTGTTGAAATACATAGATCCAGATTTAGTCGATTAAGGTCACATTTTCGTCGGTTATCCTGTTTTATTTAGTGATTCCTTTTTCTGTTGTTGGTTTGATTCCTTCCTCAGATGTCCAAAAAAGGATGGGGCAGTGGAGGTGGGGTTTAAGTGGCTAGGAAGTGTTTTAAATTTTGATGATTCAATGATTAGAACCAACAAAACCATTACAAACAACAAAAAAAACAAAAGTACTATAATAAGCATTAATGTTGTTGTCTAATTAATATGATGGGTGACTACTGATGACTAGTATTATGTTGAACTTGGTGATAATTGGATTTAATAATTCTATAATTAGAACCAACGAAAACCATTACAAACAACAATAATGAATATGATGTGTGGGTGCGCCGGTTAGACTTAGGAGTCACAAGTAGGATCAAAATTAATCCATCAACATATGGGTTTAATGCCTTTGTTTATGCTAGTTTTGATTCTACAATTAGTAGTGTTTCGATCGAATTTCTTAAGGATTAAAGAAATTATTGTATTGCTCCATATACCAAATCAAAGTCGGATATGGAAAAATCGAGTTGAATGCATTTTCATTTCTTGTACAAAACTTCTTTCTTTCATTCTCATCAACTTGATTCCGATCTAGTTGCATCGTCGTTTGCTCAATATTCTGTACAATGAAGTAAATTAAACAAAGGGGAACAAGCGTTTAGACATCAAATAACTTATATATCCAAAGTCCAATCCATAACAAAAAAAAAAAGAAATAAAAATAGGTTATTGATTATCTCCGACGGGGAGAAAATAAATTGTTAATGAAAATATTAAATATTTTTATTTTTCATACAAATATTACAACTCATGGCTATCAAACACTATAGTTTGTTATTACACGAAATATTACAATCTTACATGATAATGTGAAACTCATACATTACAAAACCACCCTAAACTTCATCCTTACACAATAAAAGAACTAGCTTCATCTCGTACATGAGAAAGAAAAACTACTACAACTTATTGATTTAGGGTGCCTTGTACGGGATGGGGATGAGATACAAGTCACTTTTTTTTGCAACGGTTACTCCGAAAATTTCAGACATGTCAAGGTCTTGGGGTTTAGTTTGGTTTGGAAGCTTCCAGTCAAAATGATAAAGCAAATTTGCGAGTGCGAGATGAACAATAGCAGTCCCGAACTGCATGCCAGGGCATATTCTGCGTCCTGCACCGAATGGGATTAGTTGGAAATCATTGCCCTTGTAATTGATGGAGCCGAGGAGGAATCTTTCTGGCATAAATTCATCTGGTTTCTCCCAGTTTACTGGATTGCGACAGATGGCCCATGCATTGATGATCACCGTTGTTTTAGCGGGTATTTGGTATCCGTTAATCACAACCGTTTCTCGAGTTGATCTTGGGGCTAATAGAGGAGCAGGTAGGTGCAATCTTAAAGTTTCTTTCACGATTGAGTTTAGATAGTTTAGTTCATCAAGACTTGCTTCGTCTACTACTTTTCCTTTTTTGTCAAACACGCGCCTGACCTCTCTCTGTGCTTTCTCCATCTCGTCGGGATTTTTCATCAATTCTACCATTGCCCACTCCAAGAGAACGGCAGTCGTGTCAGTTCCAGCTAAGAACATGTCCTACAACACAAACCAAATGAGTTTTCAAGAATTCCCAAGATACTCATAATAATAATAATAATAATAATAATAATAATAATAATAATAATCACAAAACCCTTGACTCATCTTTGCCAAGTGAATAAGTGATGTCTGAATAAAGCTAAGGGGTCGTTTGGATTGATCAATTGTAAAACGAGACAATTTGACCAATTGTTTCATTTTACAGAACGAGTCATTTAAAACGAGACAAGTCAGATTACCTGGCCCCACCCCAGACAATTGTAATTGGCTCAAGATGAGTCAATTCATATTAAAGACTTACCGAGATGACGGCTTTAATCTCGACTTCGGTGAGAGGGAAGCTGAGTTCGTTGCTTTTATCACCATGTTCACGAGTGTAATTCAACAGCACATCCACCAGATCTTGATCTTCTGCTTCTTCTTCTTCATCATCGCCCTTTTCTGCCGATCTTCTGGCCACGTGGTCATCAATAAAGCGCTGGAGCATGACGTCAACTTCACGGTGGAGCTCCTTCAGCCGCCTCTCTGTCCCGCCGATCAGGCCCAACAGCCGACTGGACGGGAACACGTCACTTAGGGTGAACCCTCCAAATGCCTTCATGATTTCTTGCATCACAAGGAAGAACTCAGACTCCTCTTCCTTCCCGAGCTTCTGTAAGGATCGTGCTTGGGAGATCTGACGAAATGGAGATGGCGAAGAAGAAGAAAGGGGAAATGGGGAGAACAGAGAGGCTCTTTTATTAAGGCTAACTAATTGGTAAAGTGCTACAAGATAACAGATTGGTCCAAAAGATAGCAATTCACAGTTGCCTTCCTCTATTTATACTCTTGCGACTCTTCTACACATCAGCAGCCAGCTGTCTTCCACAGGGTTGTTACAAACCCCTTCTCTTCAGGAACAGCTTGTCCTCAAGCTGGAAAGGAGGGAAATTGCTGTTTGAAGTTGCTCAAGTCTTCCCAGGTAGCGTCTTCAACTGGTTGATGTGTCCACTGAACGAGAATCTGCGTCACAGCCCTGTTGTTCTGGTTGACAAATCGTCTGGCTAGAATGCCAGCAGGAGCGAGCTTCAAGGAGCCATTGTCATCCGAATCTGGGAGCTGTAAAGCGGCCGGTGGCACCACTGAACGGCAGAGCTTGAGCTGTGACACATGGAACACTGGATGAATCTTCGATTCTGCAGGCAGGGCAAGTTTGTAGGCCACAGCTCCTATTCTGGTAACCACTCTGTATGGACCGAAGTAACGCGCATCCAATTTATTCCCTTGTCTTCCAACCACAGACCCTTGGCGGTATGGCTGCAAGCGAAGATAAACCCAATCCTTAACCCGGAGCACCCTTTCCGATCTTCTCCTATCTGCATATTGCTTCTGCCTGTTTTGTGCTTGGGTGATATTGTGAGTGAGTAGTTGAGTCACCCTGTGTTGCTTGCTTACTCTGTCTTCAACTGCTCCTGCTGTAGTAGGCAGAACTGCTCCCAACCCAAAGAATGAAGGGGGAAACCCATAAAGAGCTTCAAAGGGGGACATTTGCAAGCTGATGTGGAAGTGTGTATTATAACACCACTCGGCCAGGGCTAGCCAGTCTACCCAATCTTGCGGTCGGTGAAAGGTCATACAGCGCAAGTAGTCCTCCAAACACCTATTAACACGCTCAGTCTGCCCATCTGTTTGTGGATGGTAGGCCGTTGTGTAGTGTAGATCAGTGTTGTGCAGGCGAAAGAATTCGGTCCAGAACGTGCTTGTGAACGTCGCATCCCTGTCGCACACGATAGTAGAGGGCATGCCATGGTACTTGAACACCCCATTGAAGAATATAACAGCCACTTCAGCAGCTGTATAAGGGTGAGAAAGAGCAAAGAAATGAGCTGATTTGGTGAATCTGTCCACCACCACGAAGAGGACTTGTTTGCCTTTCGAAGTGGGAAGCCCCTCCACAAAGTCCATACTAATGTCACGCCATGCTCGTGTTGGAATGGGGAGGGGTTGAAGAAGTCCAGGGGAAGCCACCGTCTCCGTTTTACACCGCTGACACACTTCGCATTGAGAAACCCACTGAGTTACAGCAGCCTTCATTCCCACGACAGCTCCTTTGTAGCGGAGAATCCCTTCAGAATACGCCCACAAGGAAGGTCCAGAAGAATTGACAGCAACAGCCGTTATTAGAGCAGCTACTTCAGCATCATTCTCATATGACTGCTCAATTTCTACAAGCCATTCGGGAAGAACGGTCGACAAAGCATGGCAAGAACTGCCCTCAATCTCATCTTCAAACACCCTAGAGAGAGCATCTGCTGCTCCATTATAGCGCCCCTTCCTGTATTTAATTTGGAAATCAAGTCCCATGAGTTTAACTAAACCCTTCTTTTGGATAGCTGTATGTACCTTCTGCCCCAAGAGGAATTTCAAACTCTCGTGATCTGTGACAATTGTAAACTGTCTTCCCTCCAAGTAATGTCTCCAGTGATCTACAGCCATCAATACAGCCAAATATTCTTTTTCATATGTGCTCAACCCTTGATTTCTTAGACTTAGTGCTTTGCTATAAAAAGCTAAAGGCCTTCCTCCTTGTGAGAGTACAGCTCCCACCCCAGTACCGCTGGCATCAGTTTCAAGAGTAAAAGCTTGAGTGAAATCGGGAAGTCCCAAAACAGGAGCGTGACTCATAGCTGTCTTGAGAGCAACAAACGCATTTTCCGCAGCTGCAGACCATTGAAATCCATTCTTCTTTAACAACTCAGTGAGTGGGCGGCTAATAATGCCATAATGCCTGATAAATTTGCGGTAATAACCCGTGAGACCCAAAAATCCTCTCAAACCCTTCACAGAAGTGGGACGAGGCCAGGTTTGCATTGCTGTCACCTTGTTATTGTCCGTAGAAACTCCATCCTTGCTAATGACATGGCCAAGATACTCCACAGTGGGCTGCCCGAAAGAGCACTTGGAGGCCTTAGCATACAACTGATGTTTCCGGAGTAGCTGTAGAACAACCTCAAGATGATGGAGGTGGTCTGCCTCGGTCTTGCTATAGATCAATATGTCGTCAAAGAACACCAAAATGAACTTTCTTAGATGCTGCCCAAAAACATGATTCATTAACGCTTGAAAAGTAGCCGGGGCATTAGTCAACCCAAAGGGCATAACCCGAAATTCGTAGTGGCCTTGGTGGGTGCGAAAGGCAGTCTTGAATTGGTCAGCAGGATGCATTCTCACCTGGTGATAACCTGCCCTTAAATCCAGTTTTGAAAATATTACAGCCCCGTGCAACTCATCCAACAAATCTTCAATGTGTGGGATTGGAAACTTATCCTTGATGGTGGCAGAGTTCAATTCACGATAGTCCACACAGAATCTCCACGTACCATCCTTTTTCCCAATTAACAGAACAGGGGAGGCATAGGGGCTGTGACTCTCCTGAATGAACTCGGATTGTAACATCTCAGCAACCAATTTCTCAGCTACCTCTTTCTGGTGGTGGGGAAAACGATAGGGCCTGATATTTATTGGCTTATTATTGGGGATCAGGGGTATAGTGTGATCAAATGGTCGAGGAGGTGGGAGGGAAGTGGGGGTGGCAAAAACATCAGAGAATTTGGTGAGAATGGGCTGTAAGAAGGAAGGTGTAGGGAAGGGAGTAGTAATGGCTTCAAGGGAAAAGATAGCTCCCATGAAATGGGCAGAAGGCTTCTTCAAGAGCTGCTGAAAGTCTCGGCCTGACATCATCTTACACTGCCCTTCTCTTGTGAGGCCCTGCAATGTCAAAGTCCTCCCATGCCACTCAAAGGCCAACTGTCGCTTCTTCAAGTCAACTTGAAACGGACTAATCGTTTCCAACCAATCCCAACCCAACACGAGATCATGAGCAGGTAAATCCAAGGTACGAACATCAAACCCGAACTCCTGACCTTGCATTTTCCAGCTAAAACCTTTGCAAACCGAATTACTCAACAAAGTATGTCCACTAGCTACCTTGACACGCATAGGGGCTATACTCTCAGTCCTACAATTCAGTTCTTCAGCCCTAATGGAGTTTAGAAAAGTATGGGAACTACCTGTGTCAATGAGGACTGTAACCTCCTGTTGGCCCGCTGTTGCTGGTATGAGAAGCGAGTTTCCCGCGAATCCAGATCCCATGGTTTGTAACGAAACCTCCAACTCAGCATCTTGATACACCTCCTCTTGGTCATCCTCCTCACTGTAACGGACAGACTCTTCCGCCTGCATTGCGTGTAACTGCTTCTTCTTGGAACAAATGTGGCCATGGAAATATTTGTCGCCACATTTGTAACAGAGCCCCTGCCCCCGAGGAATGGGATTTCTTTCTACTGCCGCCGGAGAAAGACTAGACTGTTCTCTGGGAAAAGCGGTGCCCGATGAATTAGAAGAAGAAGCCGACCAACGAGGGGGAGGAACAGAACGCGATTTCTTCTTGCGAGCTTCTATGGCGGATTCCTCCAGTCGAGCTTGGTAAAACGCACAGGCCAAAGTCGGTGGATTGAGCACCTGCACGCGAGGCTGTATCTCGTCATCTAAGCCTCCCAAAAAACTCATGATAAAGTAGTGCTCGTTGAGCTCCGGATTTAACCGAAGCAGCCGCGAACGAAGGTCTTCAAAATCCTCCTGGTAACGAGCAACGGAGGTCGTCTGCCGCAGCTTATTGAACGCGGCCACCACGTTCAGCTGTTCGCGGTGTCCAAAACGATGAAGCAGCTCATCGACGAAATGGCCCCATATCAACGGAAAGCGCCGAAAAGACCATCCTTCAAACCATGTATATGCCCGACCTTCTAGATAGTACGAAACCAGATCGACCTTCTGCTCCTCAGGAATTGAGTAGAGATGGAAGAGCTTGTTGCACTTGCTCACCCACACATGAGGATCCGAACCAGAGAAGTAAGAAAACTCCAAACGGGGATAGTGATCCAGGATCGATGGCCGACGTTGCTGCTGTTGGCGAAAGTTGTGCTGATCGGCGACGGAATCCAACGAGGGAGACGACGAACCGATCGGAGACTTCTCGCGACTTCGGGCGAAGGATGCCGCCAGAGCATCAATGTTGTCTTTCGTTGATGCCGCGAGCTCCGCAATGGCAGACTTCAGATCCTGGTGGTGAGAATCCAATTGGAGCTGTACCGACGCCATTTGCGCCTCCAAATCAATGATACGAGAAGTGTTAGATGCCATTGCCAGATCAAAGGCTCTGAATACCACTTGTAAGGATCGTGCTTGGGAGATCTGACGAAATGGAGATGGCGAAGAAGAAGAAAGGGGAAATGGGGAGAACAGAGAGGCTCTTTTATTAAGGCTAACTAATTGGTAAAGTGCTACAAGATAACAGATTGGTCCAAAAGATAGCAATTCACAGTTGCCTTCCTCTATTTATACTCTTGCGACTCTTCTACACATCAGCAGCCAGCTGTCTTCCACAGGGTTGTTACAGCTTCGTCCCGATCGTGGCCCGCGAAACGACGCGATTGCTCAGCGACATCAGCAGTGGGGTCAGGTTCACTGCCGGTGCCGGCTGAGCGGAGGGGTTGGGCTCTGTCACGTGACACACAGGTAAGTTCTGGTAAAAAAAAAAAAGACGATAATAAATTCATGTATATTCATATAGAAAAGGATTGAGCTCATCAATTATATTTGATGATGATGTAATAAATATATTCTTGTCACTTCAATGAAACTCAACTTATTGTTATTTGATTGTCATAAATTAATTTTACTGTGCACTGCAAATGAAATCTCCGATAAAAATAATTTATATTTCGGGGGATAAAAAAAAAAAAGACACACCTGATTTCATCTTCTGACTCCATTGAGCGGCGGAGTGGTCGATGGATCCGATTAGCTCGCGGACCTCCGCCTCTCTGACGGCCCGTAGCGAGCCCACGCGCCTGGGGCTAAGGAGCTCCAGGGTGCAGATCTTGCGCATCTGGCGCCAGTACTCGCCGTAGGGGGCGAACACGATGTCTCTGGCTTCGTACAGTATGATGTCCGCGGAGACGCGGGAGGGCCTGGAGGCGAAGTTGAGGTCGTGGGTTTTGAGGAGCTCTCTGGCCAGCTCCGCGGACGAGACCACGACGTTCGTGGTCTCGCCTAGCTGGAGGTGCATCAGTGGCCCGTACTGTCGGGCCAGGTCCCGGAGCCGGCGGTGGGGGAGGAGGGAGGTGAAGGCCAGCTGGTGGAGGTTCCCGATTATCGGGAGCTTCCTTGGGCCTGGTGGTAGTGGCGGCAGTGGACCGCCGTTCACCTCCAACTTCTTCTTCCTCATCGTCTTCAGGGTGAGGAGGATAATGGTTACCAATAGGAGGAGGATGGGAAGTAGTACTTCTTCCATTAAACCCTAGCAAAATAATGATGTACAAAGATTCTTTTTCGGTTTTTGATTCTCTCTAATTTGTATAGGTATGTATATATACTAAATTGGAAAATCCAATCAATCTAAAATTTACATACATAAATGAGCAAGTTGACCTTGTGACTCAACTGGTGCTACTTGCTATCCACCTAATACAGTTCCAAAAAAAAAAATTATACAAAAAGACCTCTTGTTGGCTAGTCAAAAAAAATTTTGCTCTTGTTCTTGTGTGTCGGTGGATAATAATAAGATTACATGTCGAGATGGTGACTATTTAGCTACCACCTGCAAGTAGTTAATACTTAATACACATCTGCAATACATATGAAATACATCATTACGAGATTATGAGAACAAGTGCCCAACACTAGTACAACATGAGAACAAGTGCCTCAAAGAGTAGAGCAGCATACATGAACGCAAAGATCATCATGAAACAAACAAACAAAACGACAAGAGCAGACAACTATGCAGTAGTTGATCACTATCCAATTCATAGGACTGAAGTGCAAAATGGATACCCAAACGCATTGATTCTTCTTGACAACAGCAGAAGCCTAGAGTTCCATTTCAAGGGATTTTGGGGCAAAATGTAAGTTAATGTTACTAAACAAGCGAGCTAAGTTAAGTTAAGTCATATCTCTACACAATATTCCGATACTAAGTACAGACAGAAGAACGTATAGGGATCACATTTAGACAGCAAACAGAGAGAACCAGCAATATGCAGCGCCCTTAATTTCTGATAGTATCAGGAAGCATGGAAACGCATATGTAAGTGGGATGGCAAGGATCATGACTCGGACCTTTTAGTTCCAGTAATCTTGCGTCGTCAGAATCTTCTTCGACACCAAGAGATTTTGATCAACTACTGGATCATGCAACTGGAGTTTGGATGAGAATTTCAGCAAGTTCCTTGAGTAGCAGCAGTAGCAGCAGCAGATAGACCGCTGGACCCAATTTTATGACTCTTGATATCAGGACCACTCAACAGCTTCTGGAAAATCGGATGATCCAACTGATTCTTGGGCAACAATTCTATTAGCAATGTCATCGTCCTTGCATCGGCTGAGAAGCCTTTCGAAACCATCTCGTGAATGAGGTCCATTGCTTCAAGTGGATCCTTATGGCGAAGAAATCCATGAATGATCACGTTATAAGAGCCGCCATCTGGTAGACAACCATCCCCCTCCATTTTTCTGAACAATTCATATGCTTCGTCCACAAAACCTTGTCTGCAAAGTCCATTAATTGCCGTGCTGTATGTGCGGGTATCAAGTTGCAAACAATTGTCCCTATTGAGCTTAGAAAACATTTCCCTTGCCTCATCTCCCCTCCCTGCTCTCCACAATCCATCCAAAAGTATATTGTACGCCACAACACCAGGTTTCAACCTACTACTTTCTAATACTTGAAATAGAGCTAATGCGGCGTCAAGTTGACCTCGTGCACACAAGCAATCAAGCAAAGTGCAGTACGTCACTATATTCGGGGAACAACCCTCACTAGTCATTTTCTTGAGAGTTTTTTGTGCATCGTTAAGCCTCCCGGCTTGACAAAATCCATTTATCATAGTAGTATACGTGATCGTATTTGGAGTCAAATCGTTCCCAAGCATACTATTCAGTAACTGTTCTGCTTCATCCATCCTTTCATTGTTACAATATCCATGAATCATGATATTGTAACTATACAAGGTAGGTTTGCATCCCCTAATAATGAAATCAAATAACTTTCTAGCTTTATCCAATTCATTGCGCAAACAATACCCATCCATCAATGAATTGTAAGTGCTGATATCCGGAATCAATCCTTCTTGAATCATCATTTTGAGTATAACTTTAGCTCCCAAAACATTTCCTTCCTTACAAAAAGCATCAACCAATATGCTATAGGTGAATGTATCAGGCATTATCTTCCTGTCTACCATTTTATTGAACAACTCCATAGCTTCATTGATTGTGCTTGAAATGCACAACCCATGAATCAAGCCATTGTAAGCAAAAACATCTGGTTGAATCTTTTTATCCTCCATCTCTAAAAACACATCTAAAGCTTTTGATACCATTCCATCCTTGCATAGGCTTCTAATGATTGTGTTATAACTTACCACATCAGGTTGACAACCTAACTCCTCCATGTTTTTCAGCAATTCAAGCCCAACACTCGTTTGCCCTACCTTACACAGTCCATCTACAAGTATGTTATAAGCGTAAACATTCGGTTGATATCCCAAAATCCTAAGCTTATGAACCAACCTTGCAGCCTCAACTACTCTACCATCTTTACAGAGCCCGTCGATCAATGTAGTGAGCATCACATCATTGAATTGAATACCGAGCTTCAGAACTTTGCTCAAAACTGAGTAGCCAAAATCCACACGACCCAATTTACAGAAGCAACGAAGCAACATGCCAAGCGTGTAAAGATTGTGTGGGACTCCAGCTAATTCCATTTGTTTAGAAGCATAGAAGGCAGCCTGGAAGGCGTTCATTCTCATGAGAGAATTTACCAACTGACCAAATTTCAAAACCGAAGGTCTGGGGTTCATGTGGAGCATCCTATTAAATGAATCCAAGGCATCATCTACGCTGGCGAAAGTTACAGAACTGGAGGTCATAGTTGAATTGGAGGCGAAGTCGGACGAGGGAGTAGCAGCAGAAGAATAAGGGAATTCAGACATACCGGTTTTTCTTAGCCAATGAAGTAGAGAGCAGTTTCGATGAATGATCCTAGCCATATTGCCGAGCTGATGAACTGCGTTGAATTGAAAGCTTTGGCAACGGTAGACCCTGACACAATAGATACTACCAGCTCTTCGCCCAGCCTTCCTTCGATATGAATGATTCTATTCCAATACCATAACAAAGCTCAATCATCTAAATCAATTTCCAGCGCGAACCCAGAATGAAAGATGCGAACTTGATATCGAATCCGGAAAACCCAACCAGAGAACAGGACTGAAACACAAACAACTGTGTCGCCGCCGCCGGCGCGGAGCGGAAGAAGGTTGAGACTTGAGACTTAGCGAAGCACTCAACCAACCGCTCAGTTAGTTGCTGGATTGGCATTGGCAACAGTGGGATTTCCAAGCTCGAACTTCGCTATGGGCCACGGACGCCGGGTGGCTTCGGCCTTGTAGTATTGGGCTTTCTATCTTCTTCCATGGCATCACATTCAAAACCATGTAATCTGAAGAAAAGAGAAATCTTCTGTACATTTGATGAGTTACGGTAAGTATCAGGGTTTCTTTCTTTTAGGGTTGTCACTTATCAGTGTCAATCATGTTTGTCACGTCGGCCGGCGTGCCATCGGTTGTATCTGGTTTAGCCGGTACCGGTCATAAAACCGGCGTGACACTACCGGTATAACCGCCATGATTGATATACGAATCTCAAAGTAAAATGACCTTATTTTAGTGAATTTAATTGTTACATATTATTTTATTATTTATTTTATGAGTATAAAGTTAAATATTGATGTTATTTGTTGGATTCAAATATAAATGTTTAGGTATTGACATTAATGTCATGTTTAAATATGAGTATTTATTATTTTATTTGTAATATTAACCGGCATGAACCGGCACAAACCGATATGTGCCGCCGGTCGAACCATTCCACTTGCTAAACCGACACACTGGCATAAACCTGTTTGACAACCTTGGTGTCAATTGAATGGGTTGCCCTCAAACCTCAATGCTTATTGGGCCCTGCGTGATCGAAGAGCCCAGCCCATTTGCCCATTTAGGCCATTCAAACTTTTATACAAAGAGCACTTCCTCCTTCCATTCACCTTTTATTGGCTTCTTCATCAGTTGTCTAGTTTCCATTATTGACCATGTTGGAGTCTAATCATGATGTCTTTGTTCCAATTCCTTCAGTTTTGTTGATAGTTTATAGCACTTTCATAACTACACGTGTCATGTATGTCACCTCATTGATGGTCAATAACAATAAATGAAAATGGTCTAATTATAAAATGACTTTTGTAAGGCATTCAATGATATTTTGTGAGAGAGGAATGACAAATGTGAGCTCTGGTAGAAGCCAACTCTGAAGGACACAATATTAGAGTTTTACTCATCACGAACAATTCAATTTATAGTTCGAAAAAATCGCTTCAAAGATTGAGTCGCCTCTAGAAGAATACCAACTAATGACACTCGTCGAAGAGAGGACAGTCCTATGAATCGAAGTGCACTTCGTGTTGGAGCTGCCAGATGACAACCCCCGAGTAAACTTCAATAATCACCTTGGACATACGATGGTTGACTATGAGCAAGATTGTTGATGAATACCATGTATAAGGAACAAGCTTAGTGAGCTATAAAATTACAGTTCAAATATCACGCCAGTCGTCGGTGCTGGCTGTTCTCCATTAATTTTGCCATAATTAGTCATTGGAGGCGTAATGTTATCCTACCATTGTCACATCGAGAAACTCCGTATTATAAATTACCTTTCTTTTTATAATTACGAGTGTTGTATTTTACCATTTTATTAAAAGTTGAAAGTGGTCACAGTTTGGAACCATTTGAAACTAAATAGTTCGGGTGCATAACCTAGGGTTGTGCACAAATGCAGAACCATATTTGAGCCATTGATTTTAGGCGGGTCGGAATTTTGCACTCATATTGTCTGCTCAACATCAATCCTCTTATGCAGCCCTAACCGAAAACATTGTCTTTCTCGTGACAAAAATGTCATGTATATTTTATCGTACTTTCCCATTTGGATATCTGAAAGAAAAGTGAAAATATATATTTGTTTTTTTTTTCAAAGCAAAATTCCCTTTTTTTCCTTTGTTTGCCCGCTTTACCTTTAGAGGCATTCTTTCGGGGGAGAACTTTAGGCGGATGCCAATTTTGCCGATAGTGCACCATCACACTACTAGCCGGTTGTTATGGAGAAATCGTTTGAACTCGAGAAAGTCAATGAAGTTGACCTTTCCCCTAAAGACTTTTGGCCTGTCTCGACAAGACATTAGCTTTGACGAAATTTCGTGTCTAATTACTATTTTGTGCACAAAGGACCAAACCAAACAACCAAAATGGGAACCTAGTTTGTTGGCTACTATTGCTTGTCATGTTTGGGAAAGGATGACACAAAAGAATCAAGGCCGTTGGATGATTAACTAATTAGCTTCATTCTCATAAGCGGGTCACTCTAAATCGGAAGACAATGAACATATTTGATCCGTTAAACCGTCGTGTGATTGAACGGCGCAATTAGAGGACTCCAATCTGGCTTGAGACATCAGACATATAATGCCAAGGATTGATCATCAACATATACGCAACCAATTACTCAGTGATTACAGGAGCTGCTCGCTAGAGAGTGGAAAAATGGTTGTTTCCCCGTATTCAACAGAGAGGGTGATAATGTCCGGATTATTACCTAGTCATGGGGCACTCATTACCCCGATTCATATGATTTCATATTCCGGTCCCTTTACTATCTCGGTAAATTGTGTATGAATATGAAAAGCAAAAGATTGTCAAACTGTACCGATTGTTGTACCAGAAAAAGTCAAGAATAAAGTTTTGTGCTGAAATCATGGTCATGGTTTAACCATTTCATGTCACCGAAAGTCTGAAACCACCCACCAATTTAAATTTTGATAGAAAGTTTTTTTTTTTTTTTCGAATCTGATCTACACAATGCAATACGGTTTTGTTTCACAACTAATATTCTAAAAGGATCGATATGCATGAATCTTTGAATGATACTATTATTATATAAAACAAGTCAATATATAAATACAAGGTTTTCTGCAAAAAGCTCGATCCAAATTCGGTCAAATTGACTGACCCATTGCTCATTTGAGTTCACAAGATCCACTTCGAATTGATTAACGGGTCGAGTATATATATATATATTATATAATGGGGTTTTCTACTTTTCTTTTTATTTTTATTTTCCCCATGTGCAGTTAAATAGACGGATAAGTCACAGGTCGGCATCATCGCATTTTTTTTATTTATAAAAAATGCATTTACCTGAACCTGGTCTAAAGTGGCGCACCGTAGTTACGGTGGGAGTGTTAAATAGAGAACCGCAGCCCCCCAAACAAACAAAAGCCCTCAAAAACAAACGCTCTCTCTATGTTAATTCATCCATTTTAATCAAGTTACTCTTTGGCGCCTAAACTATACACTTTCTTCAAACACATCCCTCTCTACTCTAATTGTGAATCTTATCGTGCGTAGCTCTCGGAATATGCTATACACCTCTTGTAGTCTTGTTACGCGTTTTTCATTTTTTTTCCTTACTTGATCCTCAAAAATTTCTTCCGTAAAGATTTCGACTGTATTTAGTTCCTCAAAAGAAAAAAAAAATCAATCTCTCGTTCCTTGTTCCAAACTCCGACAAACCCATACTTCTCCTTCATAAAAGTTCGGCGAGAGTATTTATTGGATGTTGGCCTAGTTCGATGATATTGTCACTCTCGACCAAAAAAAAATTACGAGGATTTAATTTTAGTTCTCGATAGGTGGTTCGTCTTCTTCCTCGTCACATAATTTATAATTGAACAAAATGAATCATCCCGCCTGCCCCAACGCTTGGACCAATCCATAACACGTCTATTTTTTTTTCTTTCGACAACCTGTATGAAGTACTCTATCGGGTCGTTTGCTTGAGGGTTTTGATGATGGATTTGGTCATGGAAATCCATCCATCGTAGGGCTTGAACGAAAAATCCATCATTTGCCTTAGCGATTAGGAAGATGGAATCTGTGGGGCCCACGGACTTTTGGGGGTCCAAATCCGTGGACCCCACAGACCTGGAAGTTCCACCTCTTGAGGTGGGATTTGGGTGATGGATCAAATCCAACAAGCAAACAATAGACTTGTTCAAATTTATGATGCCACCAAATCCATCATACATTCATGGTTTTTCAAATCTCATATTTTATCAAAACACTCATTTTTCAAATTTATTAAGCAAACGACCTTTATGTATTTGCAACACCCACGAAATGTTTTCGAGAGAGTATGTGGCCAGAACCGACCGGTCTAAGCTCCTCTGAAAAGAAAGGAGATATAGGCACAATGAGCAAACATAAATGAGTTGATTGATGGAGAATAAATAAGAGGGAAGAAAAGGGGTGATTTGACAAGATGGCAAAGTTTGGGGGTTAAAGTGTAAGTTTCATCAATATCCACCTCCCCTAGAACAAAACAAAAAACGTTCGTCTGATTAGAACCGTTTAATTTGTGTCCGACGGAATTGACGTGTGGTGGTTCTGCGAAAACGATGCACGAAGAAATAATAAATAAAAAATCACATTATTATCAATTATTATGAGGACTTTATTAAATTTGAAAAGATAATTGAAAAAAAAAACGAAAGTGGTTTTATTATCAATTATTGTTTCGTACTTATCATATCGCGCGATACGATAAACCATACGATATGAGATGAGAGAAAATGCCCTTTCCCCGGCTGAAATTTCTGTACCTTTTATTATTTCTTTATTTATTTTCTCTCTCTCTCTCTCCTTTTCTGGGTTCATTCATTTTCATGACTTTCTCACAGTCTCTCTCTCTCTCTCTTCGTTTGTTTCTCTGTCTAATTCACTGTCTGGGTGGCCCACTAGCTGCTTACTTTATCCATTTAATATATAAACACGTCTCTCGCACGACTGCCACTTTTTAATGATATGATGTATAATTATTTAGCTAATTATCATTATAAGAAATAGTATTTGTGAGTTTTGAATAAATTGTTTATTAAAAATAAATTCTTATCCAATGTTTGACTAATTATAAGATTTATTTATTTATTAGAACTGTGGTTGATTTGTGACTCAATTTCATTTATTTTGCATCGATAGTCATTCCGCTTATGTTGTTATGATTTATCGTTTTAATAAAAAAAAATCCAAATCAAATCTAACTTGTGAACCGGTACATACTTTATTAATATGACGAAGCAATCGGTTTTAGATATATGATCCACAACAATGCCATATATTTTTTTTATAATGACTACAAACAATTTGAGGTTATCAATTTCTCGCCAGGATCTCGCAAGTGTTTGTAAAGACGGAGAAGCTAGCAAGAGAGGGATGACATTGAATCCATTACTAGTATATTACTTGTCAACTAATTTTTTTGACACAAATCGTAATATCAAACATAATTAATATTCAAACACATGATTTGATATTTAAAAATCCAAATCACAAATACCAAATCCAAATCATTCTATCCAAACGCATCTCGGGGGAAAAACGGATGGACCCAAATTTAATGGTAAATGCACCACCTGCCAAATATGTATGTAATGTCTACACATTAATTATTTTAGCATATTTTTTTTTATTAAACTAATGGTAAGTAATTTAATATGCTCTCAGGGAAAAACCCAAATAGAGTATAGCCTAACTAAGACAATTAGAGCTCCGCTACTATATTCATAAGTACCGATACATATTCAGTTGGTACCAATATTTTTTTGGTTTCAAGTTTTTTGTGTTACAAACTAAACATGTTTGTTAACATTATGCTACAAATTCAATTTATACCGATACGACGATCCTTTTCGTGCAAATCTCTTTATGATACAAATTAAACTTGAAAATTCAATGTTACGATGCAAATTCAACTTGTACGCACCGGTGCTTAGTGGCGGAGGCAGCATTTCAAACCACCCATGTCCTCTTTTCATAACGTAAAGATAGAAGTATTTAATTAAGAATTATTTAATAAAAAATAATAAAAATGATTATATTTAAGTAATTCATTTATAGAATAAAAATAACCGACTATATAATTATTGTTTTCATAAACAAACAACCACGAAGGGATTTCATACTGTGAAAGAAACACAAAAATATTTGTTATCTACACTATTAAATAATTATCTTTCAATGTATCTCACTAGAGAAGCATTAGCAAACTGGTCACCAAAACGATTTGAAAACTTGTTCTTAATATAACTCAAAACAGAAAATGCTATTTTTACACTTGCAGTTGTAATTGGTAGAATCCAAACTAGTAAGATTCCATGTCAGTAGATGATTTCAGGGTTGTTTGGGAAAGATCGAATAGGCATAAGGTGAAAAGAGATCCAATTAGGTCTTTATTTCAATTGAAATTTCATTTATAGTATAATAAATTAATTTTATGTTAATTTTTGAACTACTAACGAGTTGTGTTGTAGTAACAAAAATACTCAAATACTATCTATAACTATAAGTGTGGTGTTCTCACGAGAAAGTTTCCATTTTTTTTTCGAACAACAAAATTCCCAAACGAGAAGATTATTGTTTAGGCGAATACTCGACAAATTCATATCAACACAAACATATCAATAACGATCCGATCTGTACCAGATCGATGATAGATTTGAATTATTCTCGTTGAAATAAAAATCAATATCATACCCAACCAAAAACACATGTGAAAATCGACACAACATATCGATCAGCTCTTAAACTGTTATATATCGAATTACGATGAAGCAATTATTTTAATTTCGAGATCGCTTAACCTTTTATTTTCCAACACAAAAAATGGGGGAAAAGAAAAAATGAAACCGGGTGTAATTTATACTGCCAAAAAAGTCCGCAAATCTAGCCGGATATGACTTTTATTACGAGTTAATCTATTTTCCTTAAAAATAAATTGAATTAAAGAAAAATGAAATGTGGAAGGAAGACCCTTCGCTCAGAAGCGTGTTGATAACGCCTGCACCCTGCCCCACGTATCACTCAACAAAGGAGATCAGCAGGTCTGCTTATCCTCCTATTTATTAGCTTATCATATCATGGCAAACCGCATCTCGTCTCGTCTCACGGGTTATTAACTTTGTCTGGTGGCCTTTTTTTCCTCTCTCTCTCTCCCCCAAATCCCTAGCACAGCTCCCTGTCTATAAATACTCGCCAGGGGATGATGCTAGAGAGAAGGGAGTAGAGAGAGAAACTTGCAGAGGAAACAGAGAAGAAGAACTAGAAGAAGGAGAGAGAGAGGGAGAGGGAAAAAGGAAAGCGAGGAGAAAAGGAAAAGCTCAGAGAGAGAAGATTTCTGGAAGGGGAAGAGAGGGACTGGTGAACGGCGGCCCTCTCGTTGTCCGTATTCGAAATTCTCCGATCTGTTTTGCTCAGGTAAACTTTCCCGCCTGGAAATTTTCCCGGGGAGGAGGGGGGGGCGGCTGAAGCTTTCATCTGCTTCTTCGCTTCGCATTCTCCCACTCGTTGCGGTTATTGGAATTGTAGATGTTTGTTTGGTTGTTAGGTGGAGTGTGTGTGTGTGCGTGTTTTTAATCTGCGAGGGTTTTAGATCTCTGAGTGAGGGTAATTGGTTCAATTGTGTGGGCAGGTGGAGCGGGAGGAATTATGTCGTCGCTAAGCAGGGAGCTTGTGTTTCTCATACTTCAGTTCCTGGACGAAGAGAAATTCAAGGAGACTGTGCACAAGTAAGCCTGAATTTTGTGTCTTTTTTTTTGTGGTGGCCGCGGCGGGCATTGTGTTGGTTGTGGGTTTGTGAATGTGGCGGCGGTTGAAGCTTTATTTTGGTGGGGGGAGGGTGTGAATTTGAGGGTTTTTGTGTGTGAATTAGGTTTGGTTTCGTGTTTATGTGTATGTGTGTGTTTAGATTGGAGCAGGAGTCAGGGTTTTACTTCAACATGCGGTATTTCGAGGAAATGGTGACGAACGGAGAGTGGGAGGAGGTGGAGAAGTATTTATCAGGGTTCACCAAGGTTGATGATAACAGATATTCTATGAAGATTTTCTTTGAGATCCGAAAGCAGAAGTATCTCGAGGCATTGGACAAGTATGTTTGAATTTGAACATAATGCATTTTGGCCTTCAATGTTTTTCTCCTTTTTGTTGGATCGCTTCGAATTCTTGATGGTCAAGTTATACACTCGGTGATAACTTCCTGTTGTTTCGTGTGCTGCGTACTGTAGGCGTGATCGTGCCAAAGCTGTGGAGATTTTGGTGAAGGACTTGAAAGTGTTTGCTGCATTTAATGAGGAGTTGTTCAAGGAAATTACGCAGTTGTTGACTTTGGAAAACTTCAGGTGTGCCTTGCTGATTACTGTCTTTTGTGGTACTTTTTCGATTGATGAATCATCGTGTGAAGTGTGTTTGGGAGAGTTTTCTTACCTAGGATGCTGTCTATACCTTCATTTGCGCAGAGAAAATGAACAGCTGTCCAAGTATGGAGATACAAAATCTGCTAGGAATATAATGCTTGGTGAACTGAAGAAGTTAATAGAGGCTAATCCGTTGTTCCGAGACAAACTCCAGTTTCCTACATTGAAAAATTCAAGATTACGGACTCTAATTAATCAAAGGTCCTTTTAAACTTGTTTTTCACTTTTTCTTTGACACATTGCTTTTTCCTTTTGACTTGGTTTACTTATAGTTTATCATGAAGTGCAGTTTAAATTGGCAACATCAACTGTGTAAGAATCCAAGGCCTAATCCTGATATAAAGACCTTATTCGTGGACCACAGCTGTGGTGGGCAGCCAAATGGTGCTCGAGCCCCATCCCCTGTAACCAATCCCTTGATGGGTGCTGTGCCAAAGCCAGGAGGCTTCCCTCCACTTGGTGCTCATGGTGTAAGTGTAGTAAATTGTGTTTCCTCTACTGTCAAGGTGGTTCCAAGAAATTGACATTGTTTGCATGCTTGCAGCCGTTCCAGCCTCCACCTCCTTCTTTGCAAACATCTCTTGCTGGTTGGATGTCAAACCCATCTCCTGTCCCTCATCCTTCAGCTTCTGCTGGACCCATTGGCTTGGCTGCACCTAATAACGCAGGTAGGTCTTTTGGTGCTTCAGGCTAGCTACTGTCTTCTATATGGATAATTCACTGGTTTTGCCAATCGTAACAATCTAGCCTGGGCCACTATGATGTAACCCACATCTTGTCACTAACTAAATACATCAAATTGCTGCTCTTAACTCACTACTCTATCAATGATATGGCACTTGAAAGTTCACTATTTTCGTATATTTATACTAAGCTATTTTTTCATAGAACATTTAATGTGTGCTAACATGCTTATTTGTACTTATGTATGCCTTCTGCAGCGGCTATTTTGAAGCGCCCTAGGACTCCTCCAACAAACAACCTGGCTCTGGATTATCAAACAGCTGACTCTGAACATGTCTTGAAAAGAACTAGACCATTTGGAATGTCTGAGGAGGTATTTGAGATCATACCATTATATTAAGATTTTGTTACATGAACCTGATGGGCTAGTGGTCAGTTACATTTGAAATTCTTTAGATGCCTATATACACGTGTTGCATTAGAGGGCACTTGCTTCACGATTCATTTCGCTTCTCACTGAAGTCTTCCATGTGGATGATTCTTTCTTCATTGATTCGTAGTTAGCAAGTGCAAAAGTCTACTGTGGGTTCTGAATTCTGATTCAATAAGTTGGGTTTTGAGATGTATGTGCATGTCATGTGTTCCTCATCCCCTGAAAGCTGTGCTCCTACCTTTGTTTCAAGTCATGGAGTTCTCTAATCTTGTTGCTATTTCCAATTCTATCAGGTTAATAATCTGCCTGTAAATATTCTGCCTGTTGCATATGCTGGGCACAGCCATGGGCAGAGTTCCTACTCATCCGATGATCTACCTAAGAATTTTGTTATGGCTTTGAATCAAGGCTCAGCAGTGAAGAGTATGGACTTCCATCCATTGCAGCAGATTTTACTTCTTGGTAAGCTTCTGTATGGACAAAGGCCGAACTTCAGTTGTGAATTTTCGGAGGTGAAACAAAATTTGTGTAGTGCTGTTGACAGTTACATTTCATGTTTTTGATGGACTGAATGATGTTTCAGGTTCTCAAAATGCATTTTGTTTCTGAAGTTTTTCTTACTCTGATGTTTGAGATGATTCTCTTGGCTTCATGTATTGCTTGCTTATCCCGAGCCTTTAGAGCTTCCCATAGCTAAGTGCTTCCGATTTTTCAGTTGGCACAAACATGGGTGACGTCATGGTATGGGAGCTGGGTAGTCGTGAAAGGATTGCTTTAAAGAATTTCAAGGTTTGGGACCTTGGAGCATGTTCAATGGGGTTGCAGGTTTGCTTTTTAACCTTAAGCAAATGAATATGATACTTCTCAGACCAACTTGTGATTAATTCTCTGATTGTTTTGTAGGCATCTCTTGCTAATGATTATACAGCATCAGTGAACCGTGTCATGTGGAGTCCTGATGGAAGTCTATTTGGTATATATAAAATCCTCTTCTGAGAATCTAATTTTGTGTTCGTATGAAGAGGAAACTTAGAATTATGGGTTTTAATTGCAGGCATTGCTTACTCTAAGCACATTGTTCACATTTATTCATACCATGGAGGGGATGATATAAAGAACCACCTTGAGGTTTGTGCTTCCCTGATACTGAATGGAATTTTTTTAATTGTTCCTCTTACATACTGTAATCCTTTCATCATTTATGGTTTGTATCTTGCTATTTTTTTTTTGTACCTTGGTGTTTGCGGAGCTGGGATCTAAAAAACTACCGTCTTGTTTGCACAGATTGAGGCCCATGTTGGAAGTGTAAATGACCTTGCTTTCTCCTATCCCAACAAGCAACTGTGTGTAGTCACTTGTGGAGAAGACAGAGTGATTAAGGTTTGCATGACTACATAGTTGTTTCTGATAAAATTGGCAATACCCAGGGGGGCATATTTTAATGTCCTGAACTCTACAGGTGTGGGATGCAGCTACTGGCAATAAGCAGTTTACTTTTGAAGGTCATGAAGCTCCTGTATATTCTGTGTGCCCACATCACAAAGAAAATATCCAGGTAATGTCAAGTAAACAATGGTTAGCTTGATTTCAGTTCCTAGATTTATGGTTCTATATCATTCATCGGGATTGACTTTGGAATTTGAGGATTTTCTAGTCGCAGACCTCTTGCTTTCCTTTCCTTACTTTTGTTTTTGTTTTTCCAGTTTATATTCTCAACTGCAACTGATGGAAAGATTAAAGCATGGTTGTACGATACCATGGGTTCGCGAGTTGATTATGATGCTCCAGGACATTCATCAACCACAATGGCATATAGCGCTGATGGAACAAGGTGTTTTTTTTTTAGTTCCTTCACTGCCTTGTATGTTTGTTAGCTTGGAGTCCGAGTCATGATAGTATTAGAGTTGTTTTGTGATGGTGTCAAGTTGTTACAGTAATTTATGGTTGCTGGTTGTTGGTTAGCCTGTTGGTTTCTTGTCATCCTTTCACAGGTTACCTAATATTCTGCTATTGTTGGATGTCAAATAGACTCTTCTCTTGTGGGACAAACAAGGAGGGAGAATCCCATTTAGTTGAGTGGAATGAAAGTGAAGGTGCAGTAAAGCGTAGGTATACTGGCCTTGGAAAGCGATCAGTTGGAGTGGTGCAATTTGATACCACTAAGAATCGGTTCTTGGCTGCTGGTGATGAGTTCATGGTCAAATTCTGGGATATGGATAATGTCAGCTTATTGACAAGTATAGACGCAGATGGTGGACTGCCGGTAAATTTTGATATACATTCTATCTATCAAGGCTTTCTTCTTGCAGTTCTTTTCTTTGTTTACAACATCTTTTCCAATAAATCTGCATGCAGGCTTCTCCTTGCATAAGATTCAACAAAGAAGGAATTCTCATGGCTGTCTCGACCAGTGACAATAGTGTTAAAGTCCTAGCAAATCCTGATGGAATTAGGTTGCTAAAGACGGTGGAAAATCGCACATTTGATGCTTCAAGAGCTGCTTCTGCAGCTGTTGTCAAGGTAAGAATAGTTTCTGAAGTTGGAAAATGTCAACCCTGTTCCATCCTCCTGTTCGAGGATTACAAACTAAATGACACACATACAGGCCCCTTCAATACCAAATTTTGCTGCTGCCAATCCCAATCCTGGAACTAGCATGGGAAATCCAGCTGCTCCTTTACCACCCATGGTTGGAATGGTCCGTGTCGTTCTTCGTATTCTATTCAGATGTGTATTGAAGCTCTATTTTAATTATTAAGTACTCCATATCATTTATTAAATGAAGATAAAACTGATGTGATAGTATCCCTGCATAAGACGAGCTAAACCCTACAAATTGTTCTCGTCTTGTGCAGCAGATCAATGATAGCCGAGCTTTGGCTGATGTTAAACCTAGAATAAATGAAGAATCCATGGAGAAGTCAAGGATCTGGAAAGCAGCTGAAATTAATGAGCAATCGCAGTGTCGTTCTCTGAGGCTTCCTGATAATTTAACTGCAATGAGGGTACGCAGCTGTCTTATTTTTGTGATTTTGTTCTCCTTGTTCTGAGTAGGCCACATAATTGCAGACTTAAGAGGCTCCTTATTTTGAAGGGATCTATCCTCCTTTGCTTGATGGTTGGTTTATCATGGAATCAGCTAGAGCTTAGATCAATGGGTTAACCTAGTAAGAGTATCTGATACCGTTATAATTTACCATGTTACTGGCAATTGTTTCAGGTGGCCAGGTTGATGTATACAAATTCTGGGCTGGCCATATTAGCGTTAGCATCTAATGCTGTTCATAAGCTCTGGAAATGGCAGAGAAATGATAGAACTGGGAAGGTAATTATTACTTTTTCAAGTTTTCCATTTCATTTTCTGTTCTACCTGGAAGAGATGTTGGAAGGTGTATATTTATTTGTGTTTCTTGTTCATCTCCTCGATGTTATTAACAATGGAATTTCCCCCCCTCTGCAGGCCACTGCTAGCGTTGCTCCACAATTGTGGCAACCATCTAGTGGAATATTGATGACGAATGATATAAGTGATACAAACCCTGAAGAGGCTGTGCCATGCTTTGCTCTTTCAAAGAATGATTCTTATGTTATGTCGGCTTCAGGAGGAAAGATATCGCTTTTCAATATGATGACATTCAAGGTAGAAGCTTGTCTCTTCTGCATTGATCCGTAACAGGTAGTTCTCTCTTTATCATAATACACTTTCTCACGTCATGATATGGTTTGCAGACAATGACAACATTCATGCCCCCACCACCGGCTGCAAGTTTCCTGGCATTCCATCCTCAAGACAACAACATAATTGCTATCGGAATGGAGGATTCTTCAATCCAAATCTATAATGTCAGGGTTGATGAGGTTAAAACCAAGTTGAAAGGTCATCAGAAAAGAATCACGGGTCTCGCCTTCTCCAACACCCTAAACGTGCTCATCTCTTCCGGAGCAGACTCTCAGGTTAGATCATCACCCCACCCCACATATATATATCATAAATCCATGCTTTGAATGAATAGACTGGTTTTACTAATATTATTTTCCCTGACTACAGTTATGTGTGTGGAACACGGATGGATGGGATAGGCAGGCTAGTAAATTCCTGCAAATCCCTCCCGGGCGTCCGACCTCCCCTGTTTCGGATACCCGGGTCCAGTTTCATGTCGACCAGACACATCTGCTCGCCGTTCACGAATCACAGATAGCACTGTACGAAGCGCCGAAACTCGATTGTTTGAAGCAGGTAACTAGGACGGAATTGGTTTCTTTCAAGCCATGCTTTTGTAGTTGATTGATTATTGCTGAAGTCACGCTGTTGCTAAATTGTTCTTCTCTATAGTGGTTCCCTCGAGACGCAAATCCTATCACACATGCGACCTACTCTTGCGACAGCCAGTCGATATACGTCAGCTTCGAAGATGGAAGCGTGGGTGTTCTTACAGCTCCAGCTCTCAGACTGAGGTGCAGGATAAGTTCTGCCGCTTACCTACCTCCAAATCCAAGGTCCGTTCCTCTTCTCTGTTCACCAAAACTTTATTCTCGTCCCTCGGTTTAGCTGTTTGACACTTTGGAATGTTTCAACAGCTTGAGGGTCTATCCGTTGGTGATCGCGGCACATCCAACAGAAGCCAACCAGTTTGCTTTGGGACTAACAGACGGCGCAGTCCACGTGCTAGAACCATTGGAATCGGAAGGGAAATGGGGCACCGCGCCACCGGCTGAGAACGGTGCTGGAGGAGCGCCGAGCACTTCCGGTGCTGCTGGATCAGAACAACAAGCTCAAAGATGACACCTTTAGATGACTGCGTGGCGCTCACCGCTCTCTTGGCCCCACAGTTTGATTTTTCGAGGGAAAGCTGTGGAAGATTTCTAGGGTACCTATTCATAGGGTTTTCTTAGTGTAATTTGTGGCTCTCAACCCCAACCTGGTAGAAGAGTTTGGAAAGCTCCCTTCATATAAGAAAAGAAGACTAATGTGTTCTTGATGCATTCTCATGATCCCCTCTCTTTTTTCCCCCCTTCTTTCTTTTACATGATTATATATGATTGAAGAGACCTCTTAGACAGAGAATTGTGGTGTAAATTAGATAGTCAAAGAATGCATCAAGATAAGAGAGCAGGGTTTGAGGTCGTCTTCATCACAGTAGATTAATTTTTTTTTCTTTTAACTTTATTCATACTAAGGTATGGACTATGGAGGAATGATAGGGGAACTTGATCTATTTGTCTATTTCATCTGTTCATTCTTACTTAACAGTGCTTAGTCTTATGTCTAATTATCATTATTTCACTGTTTCAGTTGTAATCACAGTTGATTTAGTTGTTCCTGAGATGTTATTTGAAGTGTAAAATGCAATGTTGACATTAGCTGCAATGTACCGAATCGTAGCACTAAACGAAGGTATCGGGGAGCAAGAACCAAAATACATCTAATACGAACTCTACGAGCGGATAAGGCTTGGAACAGACAATGGTTATCTATCACAGTAGATTACATGATTGTACAACGAGAGGTTTTGAGGTTGAACAGAGCACGAAGTCACGAACAATGCTTCTTTCCTCGAGACAACTCCTGTATACACAACAGTGAAGTTTTTTCAAGAATGCAGAACCCTGTGCAAGATTGGTTACAGTTGGTACACTATTTAATTTCGTCTTCTATTCGACTTGGCATTCCTCTTGGTTTTGGCTGGGGAGGACTGCTTCAAAGGCATAGGTAATAATGTCCCTTCGCGGATGTCACTAGGATCTGTCATCTTATTCAGAGTCTTCTGAGCTTCAAGGTAAACTGTAAGATCTCGAATCTGCAAAATGCAGTCCTGCCAACCATTAACACAGCTTCTTCCAAAGAAATAAAGTTAAATCACTGTCAATGGCAGTAGCAAACTAGCAGTCATACCTGTTCTTCTAGATCAAGTATCATCTCATCCTTGGACCTTAAAGATGAAGATTGCCTGAAGGATGCGGAAGAGTAAAATTAAATTAGCTATGGAGTGTAGTAGCACTTATAACCCTAAACAAATTTGCGGAAACCGTACCTAGCTTCTATTTCTTTGGCCTTTTTACGCCAAGTGTCTTCATCCTTTATGAGACCACGGTTGACCTAGAAAATAATAACAAAACCATAATCCTTCCATTCTGTGAAGACACAGACCCAAAATATGTTCACAGGTCATTCGAGACACTTACTTCTGCCACTGCATTCTTTTCACGTTCACATTGTTCCAGCTTATTCTGGAGCTCCTGCATTGTTGAACTCACAGCTTCCTCCACTGCTCCCGAGATCGAGGTTTCTTGCTTACCTTTGGCTTCTGCTATTAAAGATTCGTAGTACTGCAAGCGAACGGAGAAAGAGCCAAACACCATAAGATGTGTGGAAAACTGATCATAGTAACTATAGAGAAACCTTCTGACTTAAACCAGGCCTAAAATTTCATTGCCATGAGTAAAAATCCAAGAATTCGGAAAATTGGGAGCAATAACCCAAGAAGTCAAAAGCGTTGGTTTACAAAAATGGAAACTAATAAACACTCACCTGTCTTTGAGTCTCTAGCTGTGTTGCAAGAAGACGGTTGTACTCATCGACAATCTGCAACGAAGTCATGCAAAGGCAACATATGAAGTCCACGCACTAGTTTGTAATTAGAATAAAAGGCTTAATGGACACAAAAAAGAGAACTCACTGCTTCAACTTTGCTACTATAGAGAACCCCACCAAAACCAGCATCGTCACTACTACAGTCACAGGTACCACAATCTCCTTCCATGTATGTACAGTTAGAGTTCACATCAACAGACTTATCATACGCTTTTGACTGGTTTAGGCGATGGACATAGTTGTCACCAACGTAGTCCCATATTTGCTGAGTTCTTAAATCAAGAGAGTATTGGTGCTCTGTACGTTTCCAATGCCTTACCGCGTGTCCTTCTTTATACCTAAATGGACAGTCAAATCTATAATCGCCCAGGTCATAATAGACACTAAATTGACTGTCAGAATTTGAAGGACCTATTACCTTCCACAACCCACAAAGCCGCAAAGCAGACAGACCCATAGATTTTCCAATGTGTCACATACAGCACAAGTCGGTTTCTCATCCTCCTGCTGACAATATCTACAGATCTGAGAGAATATGGATTCAATTAAACCCGAAAAACAAATTAATCTAGGGAGTAATACAAAGCACCAAAAGAAAAGGGAGCAGCTTTTTCACCTGGCAAGACAGATATGTCCACTTTGAAGTGCATGCACATTGAAATGAATGATCACAAAGGGTACTGACTATTCCACTAGTGTCAGGATCCAACCTCTCTGCAGTTCAAAACAACACCATAAAGAGCAGAACATGAAAGCTACCCCTCGAACCTACGCTTCTAATGAACACGCAAATGACTAACCAAGGCATATTGGACAAGTAGGCAACGCCGCGAACCCTGCCGGAGGAGCGCTGGCAACCTCAGCCGAATCAGTGTAATCCACTGAGAGCAGGAACAAGATGTGGCATACCTCTGCCTGAATTTATCATCACAACTCTCAGAAAACAAATCGAGGGTTCATAGCAAAGCTGAAAAAGATAACAAATTTGGGATACCCAAAAGCCGAAACTATACAGAAGCTCCTCAAGGTACCTCAGAAGGAGAGAATCGTTTCCCATTGAAGTTGCTGTAGAATCTATCGGCAGCCAATTGGGAATCGAGCTTGATCAACACGCTATACCGATCTTCCATCCCGTCATTTCTACAAATTCCAATTACGAATTTTAAGCAATCCCCAAAATTGAGCAAACGAATTCCTGGATTGGCGATACAAGTTCTCTTCGTACCTGATGAAGACGAGCTCAAGGAAAGTGTCGATGTGGGACTCGCAGAACCGGACGAACCCATCGGGCGACAAGTAGTTGGGGACGGCGACGACGAAGAGCGAAGTGGAGCGGGAGCTAGGGTTCGGGAGCGAACTCTGCGACGCGCTTCGGTACAGGTGAACGACGCCTCTCCGCTCACCGTACTTAGGGTTCCGGTTAGGTGTGGTCTCCGGGTGATTGGCGGCGGCGGCGGAGGAGACGACGGAGAAGGCGGTCTCCTCGAGATCGAGAGGGTGGTGGGGGTCGACGGAGTGAACTCGGAGGATGAACATGTTGGTAGAGGGGATTGAGTTGGATCAGTGAGTGGAATTGGAGAAAATTGAGGAAATTGATTTCAGATTGAAAACTGAGAGACCGCGGAATTGGGGGGAAGGTAACTGAAACGGACATTCGCGGGAAAAAAAAAAGGTGAACTGCTAATTTGGCGGTTAACGGCGTTGTTGACGGCGTTAGTGAAGGAGTGCCAAAATTCTTTTTGGATTCAACAAATTGATCCCTTCGCGCTCCTATTGAGAAATTTTACAATGCCTTAATAGAAATACATATAAATATTACACAAGGTGATCACTATGTATGCCTTGTGATCTTCCAATAGCTCAATAATTGGTATAGGATTTTTTTTTGTCAAAAGATATCATATATTGATCATAAAAAATAGTTACATCCTGGAAACCATCCAGGCCCTGAAATCAAACAAACAATACATAGTAGGAGACAAAGAGAGGGCCTTTCTAGCTACTATATGAACTACCCTATTGTTCTCCCGCCCTATAAATCGCACACTAAAACCCGGCTGGGCACACAACAAAAGACCAATTTCCTCCAGGATCGCACCCAACCAATTCTCTATAGCGTCACCCTGATTGATTTTATCAATAAGAACCTTAGCATCTCCCTCAAACCGGACCTCCGTCAACCCACTATCCAAACACCAAGTAATAGCCTCCCGAAGCGTAAGCAACTCCACCATCGCCGGCGCATCCAACGAGGGAAACCGAACCCCCTTAGCCAGAAGCAGCATCCTATCAGGGGTGAGAAGAACCATCCCACCCGCCGAATGCGAGCCACTTTTAGTTGCCCCATCCCATCGACAAATCAACCGGGAATCTCCCACGGCAGCCTCAGCAGGCACCACCAGGCTTCTGACCATAGGCCGCCCATCCGCCGGCAAGGCCAACCACTCCTCATACTGCTGATGGAATTGTCGCATAAGCGCCGGAATCCCAAACTGTTTGCCTTCAAAGACCACCCAGTTCCGGGATCTCCAGATCCGCCACAGGACTGCAACAACCGCCATAACCAGCGAGGGTTGGTGGATCAACTCCAACAGACGCTTGAGAAACAAAGGGAAAGTATGGCGGGGCAAACCCTCGCCCAGATATTCCAGCCCTGAATAATTGGTATAGGGTTCATAAAAAAAAAGTATATTTTTCCTTGATATGTAGGATGCATAGTAAATATGGCCTCGATAAAGACTTTTGATCTCGTTAACTTAAATTATCTAAACACGAATAAATGAGATAACAAGCTAATTTATCGATCAGTTCTTAATATATCTCGTGATTTCATGCAAATTATTAGTATCGATGAGGCTTGATACATGTATTTGGCATTGAATAAACGACTCAAGCGGAATATAAATATTCTCTCTCCTAATGTCTTTCAACATTTACGTTGCTTCTAAACAAGGCAGCAAAATAAGACTATATTATCCTCTATCTAAATCTGGTTAAGTGATTGTTACGTAAAAAAAAAATTGATAGTTTGAACGTCCGTTAGCAGGAAACACAGGTTTCCGGCCAAACTACACCAAGTAAGCCACCATTCATCTCCTCTATTTCTCCTTTGTTTCTTTTGCGTGGATCTGGCTGGGAGTGTCACATATGCTCTTTTTTAAACCTCTTAATTAATTACGTGTATGTTGCGAGTAAAGATTAAGATTTAAATATATGCTATTCTCACAATAGACTAGTACCATGCATACATACCAGCGTATTTCAAAATTTTCGAAACTAAATTATTTACTACCCAAGTTTACAACTTACAAACGACAAGAAAAACTCATCGAATCCACTACGTTATAAGTAGAGACGATGTTGCTCCATTATCTTCTCCTCCCCAACCCATTTATGAACTTGCTATTTGAGTTCGATTAAGAGCAAAGTGAACCCAAAAACGGTTCCATTAAGATTCAAGGCAATTGGATGTAGTTGCTACCTTGAATATTTCCATCTGTTTATAGAAACACGCAGAATCTCCACTTACCAATCTAAGAGCAAGAGAGAAGAAGAAGAAGAAGAAGAAGAAAAGACTCTTTTGTCTGCTTTCTTATCTTAGAAATCACGTGGACTGGCAATTATTGGGGAGGAATGGGATAGCCGTAGAGATAAGGAAAATATGGTAGCTGGTGGATCCTCCATTTCTGGAGAGGAAAGAAAGAAAAGAGTAATGCTCTGTTTCTCTCCTTCCACGGCCATGGCTCACACTTGACCATCCTTACACCATTCAATTAGAGAAAAGAGAGAGAAGGAGAGGGAGCTTTTTGGTCCGATTTATATCCAAGGTAGCTTCTTTTCTCTGTATAGAAGTGTTTTTGTGCTGTTTGATTCTTTCCCATGTTTGTTGATTCCCGTCCGAATCCAGCCAAAGCATACATTTCTCTGTATAGAAATGTGTTTTATGTTGTTTGATTCTTTCCCATGTTTGTTGATTGATCCGCTTCCGAATGGAGCCAAAAACAAAATCCATCTCTGCGTATAGAAAATGCCTTACTTGAAAGGGAATATATATTGAGAGAGGCAGCTTTATCCCCTTGAAACTGCTCTCAGATTCCGCCATTGCAGCCCGGAAAAATGGAGGGTCTAATCCAGATGCCTTACGACGCTACAGTCAAGCTCATGTTGTCTTCCTTGGAGCGCAATCTGCTGCCGGATGCCGTCGTCCGGCGCCTCACCCGCCTTCTTCTCGGGGTTCGCCTTCGTTGGGGTTACAAGGCTTCTGCAGAGCTCCAGCTCTCCCAGCTCCTCCAATTCGTGCATTGTAACTATTATCATCAACTGAATTTCCCCTGTTTTTTTTTTTTTTTGTGTGTGTTTCTTCTGTTTTGTTGTTTGGATTCCAACTTGAGGGTTGTCTTGTCTTGCTTGTTTTTCTGTTGTTGTGGTTTGCAGCTCTGAAGGAGATGCCTATTGCTGTCCAGACAGAGAAGCCGAAAGAACAGCACTACGAAGTCCCGACCTCCTTCTTCCGCCTCGCGCTGGGGAAGCACCTCAAGTACAGGTAGATAGCTCAATTGGGTTGCTCGGCGAACTCATCTCGTCACATATATGTGAGGACTTGTGTTAACTATTTTGCTTTTCTTGCAGTTGCTGCTATTTCTCTGACAAGGGAAGTACACTGGAGGATGCTGAGGCGGCAATGCTGGAACTGTACTGCGAGAGGTCGGAGCTGAAAGATGGACAGACAGTGCTTGATATCGGGTGCGGTTGGGGTTCGCTCGTCCTCTACATTGCATCCAAGTACAGTAACTGTAAGGTCACTGGGATCTGCAATTCCACGACTCAGAAAGCGTTCATCGAGGACCAATGTCGGTATGCTATACTGTTCGATCTCCAACCTTGTTATCGACGTGTAACCATGCCATCAAGAAAGGGAGGAAATTCAGGTTTATTTAAGGTTTCCCCGCTTTTGTTTCTTTTCGGTTTTCGATAGGGATCGCCAGTTGCAGAATGTAGAGATACATGTTGCTGATATTAGCAAGTTTGAAATGGAGGCTTCCTTTGATCGAATATACTCGATCGAGATGTTTGAGGTAATGTAGTGCCCTTTGTCCCTGCTTTGTCAGGAGATCATAGATTTGTTAACTGTACTGTTGTGCAAAACAGCATATGAAGAACTACAGAGATCTGCTGGGAAAGATATCCAAGTGGATGAAACAAGATGGCCGCCTTTTCGTTCATCACTTCTGCCACAAGGTGTTTCCATATCATTTTGAGGTACCTATGGCTTTGAACCCAAGTTTGCTGAGTGTGGTGGGCTCTGATTTGCGGTTACAAACACGAGTTTCTGCTTGTTTTTGTTCAGGACAATCAAGAGGAGGATTGGCTAGCTAGGTACTTCTTCAGTGGAGGCACAATGCCTTCTGCTAATCTCTTGCTCTATTTCCAGGTGAAATTTCGATCCATCTCTCTAATCAGGTCGCGGTTTAGGCAACCCTACTTGATACTATAGTTGCCTTACTTCTCACCGAGTTGAAACGTACATGCGTGTAGGATGATGTCTCAGTTGTAGATCAGTGGCTTGTGAATGGAAATCATTATGCACAGACAAGGTGAGGATATGCAACTGTCTGAGAATTTTCTTACATAGAATACCCAGAACTGATTTGCTTAGCTTTCTCCTCCAACATTGTACCGAATGCTAATCGATACCGTACTGAATGCTTGCAGTGAGGAGTGGCTGAAAAGGATGGACAAGAACATGGGTTCCATCAAGCCGATAATGGAGTCCACCTACGGCAAGGATCAGGCTGTGAAGTGGACTGTCTACTGGCGAACGTTCTTCATGGCAGTGGCAGAGCTCTTTAGGTACAACAATGGCGAAGAATGGCTGGTGGCGCTTTACCTATTCAAGAAGAAATGAGCATGTAGTTTGATTATTCGAGATTTATTTTAAGAATATCGACGAGAATGAGAAGTTATTGCGGATTTAAAATTCGAAATTGAAATTGGAAAAGAACATTGTTAGAATCGAATGAAAAAACATGTTGTTGAAACAATTTCCTTCGGTGAGTGTGACTGTAACATATTTACAAGTTGCAGAAAAAATGTCTGTTTGTCTGATCGGCTGCTGCATTCTTCAACCTCTCCTACTTCTTTTCCTGTCTCTTCCGTCGCTCTTTCTTCGCCTCCTCTTTCTATCTCTACCTTCATCATCGGAGCTCGACTCTTCCACCTCCGATTCCGAACCACCAAGCTTCTTCTCTCGATCTTCCTTGGCAACTCTTTCCATCTCCTTCAGATGCTCCCTCATCCCTTCAGTCAACCCACCAAGCCCTATCTGCGTAAAGAAGTTGATCGAGAACCTCGCGTTCCTCGTACTATCCTTCGGAAAAATCGAGTCCCCCAGCACAGCAGCATTCTCTGTCAGCCTCTCGTTCAGCTTCCGAATCCCCAGCTGCTCCGACATCTCCTGAAACAGATACTTCACAAAGATCCTCGACGACGAGTTCGTGTCCTCCTCGGACAGCCGAACATATCCCAAAACATCCCACGGCAATGCTTCAGTTGCAATCAAGTGCGCGAACAATGTGGCCACATTTCTCAACTTGTTTGTCTCCAGACGGTGGCTCGTCGAGTACTGCTCCGCGAAGCACTTCTCGAAATTCGCCCGATAGGCTAGGCGAATCATGGAGAGCCGCTGGGCTACGAGACCGTAAATCCGGTTGTAGGTCTTCTCCTGTGCACAAGCCTCTACTAGCATCCTGCAAATCTCCAGCTCCTGCCCTGGTGCAATGTTTAGGGAGAGCAGCTTGTGTCCAAGCTCCTCGAATCTCAGGCTGTTCATGATCGTCAGGTAGATGGTCCGACGGAGCTCCACTGCTTCTGTCTCGGTCTTGTCCTTGATCTCGAGATCATCTTCTTCTTCCGATTCGTCGGATTCAGATTCTGAACCGGTGGATGTTTCTTCTTCTTCTTCTTCGTCCTGATCGCCGAGAATGCTCTTCTTTTTCGCTTCGAATTGGGACTCATGTAGAGCATAGTCGGGGTCGAATTTGAACACATTCCGACCTAGCTCCGGATCGACGCCCGAATCGTCGAGAGAAACATCATGAGTGAGTTGCTGGTCATCCTCCAAGAGATCCAGCTCGGGCCGAATCGCAGGGTAACCTCTGAAATTCGCCTTTCGAATTGCGAACAGGCCTTCGATCAGAAACTGCACTCGCTTGTCGATCTCCCCCTCGTGCAGGACGTCGCGCAATCGATCGAAACACGCGGCCAGTCCTCTCGGCGAGAGGTCGTGAAGGAGCGCTCCGCATTCCATCAGGAAGGCGACCGCGAGCTCGACGCCGTCGTCGCTAGGGTTTTCGAGCAGGCGGTGGAGCAGCTCGAGTGCGAGTGTGTGGTGCGCGACTCGCTGGTTGACGAGGTGCGCGACGAACTTCGCAAGCGCGAGGAGCCGTGGCTTGTCGTTGCAGCGGAGAGATTTGTTGAGCTGCCAGACGATCCGCTTCAGGAGGAGCTCTCCGATCTCCGGGATCCGGGAGTTGACGACGGCGATCACCGCGGCGAACACGTCGGTGAAGCACGGGGAGGCCATCTGCGACCTGAGGCAGGATCGACACAGGAGGCCGGCGCCGCGAATTAGGTCCTCGGCGAAGAGCTCCGGGATGACGTTGCCGATGTTCGACGAGTTGACCTTGTTGATCAGGCCGTTGATGCTCTTCTTCAGAGCTTCCCAGGCGAGTCTCTGGTAGGCTTCGTCGTCGCTCCGGCCGCCGGAATTCTTCGCTGCGGCTAGTTTGAAAGGCGGGATGTAGAGAGCTTGTAGCGTAGCCTTCTGCATCTTCGATCGGCGGCGAATCGCGAGAGAGAAGAACGGAACTGTGATTTCTGACTTCTCTATGGAGAATGTGTGTAGCTAATGGAAATAGGCAATTACTAGAAGCTTTATATAGCCGGTGAAGGAATTCAGATTCGGATTCGGAATAGGAAAGAAAGAATCCTAATCTGTTGGGGTGATGAAGATGGGCCGAAAGTGGGCTAGAAGGCCCATTTTACAATTGGCGGGAGCCCAGATCTAGTACAAGATTATAAATTCTCAAATTTTCGCGCCACAATACAGCATCATATTGGAACCATCTCACAAAATTGGTCTTAGCAGGGGAAAAGAAAAATACACAAAAGCCAATCGCAACAACCCCTTCGTTGTTGCAAAAAGAATGAAGCTATAAAAAAATTTACCTTTTCGTCATAATATTATGTCGAAATGGCGATCTACCTGCAAAAACTTCGGTGGCAGCCGTAGTACACTGGCAACAATGAGAGATTTGCAGCAGGAACGTTTGCTGCCGTTGATAGCGATGAATCTCGCATCAGTTGCTGCTTCTAGTAGTAATGGTTCGTTGGTGGCCACTTTTAACCACCCGATGGGGAGTTGGTCCTCGGCATTTGAAGAGAAGGGCCGAGAGATTTAGTCATAATATGGCTGAGAATCCATACAGAGATGCACCAGTTTCCTTTGGTACTGTCCGAAGTATTCACCGACGACCAAAACATCTTCGTTCTCTGGGTCCAAACCGGGCAAGTTAGGCGGCGGATCCTTGACTGACGGACCATCTAGTTCTTCCTCTGAATTCGAGAGGATTTCGGAGTGGATTTCACGGCAGGCGAGGATGAACATGGCAGCTGTATCGGGTTGGTGCGCCTCGCGGAGTGCTGCCAAAGCCTCGGGCAAAGCACCGGCAGCAACGTATAGTATAAGTGCCCTACATTATAGTAAAGAAGGCTCGTGATATAGTCGAGGAAAGTTATCCGCGGAGATGGCCAACCAACGAAGCTGTGAAACGAGATAAAAAAGTAGTGTTTACCTCCAGACATTATGCTCCGTGTGAAGAACATGGCCTGCCCACCTCTGCAGCACCCTTGCATAATCTGATCCTTTCAAATGAGTAGCTGCCAGAGTTGCAGCATCAGTCCAGCACCCAGCATCTTGCAGCTGCACGAGTAATGTACAGAGGTGTATATACGATATTCAGTGCTCTCCCAGAGCTGAAATGTTTGCCTACTTACTTTCTCGTGCGTTCTGCCTTTTCAATTCGGTGAACAAGAGACCGAGGAATAAGATGACGTGAATGTACAAGAGATGATAAGCAAATAGAACTAAACCTGTGAACATGCTTCTTGATGCCTTCCAACAGCACAAAGTAGATGAGTACCAGAGAGTGATCTGTCAGTCCTGACCATGTTGGCTGCAACAACCTAAGATGATCATACGATAGCATAGCGTCACTGAAAAGTTACATTGAAGTTTATTTCTCCGTGGGTCTATGCAGCTCCAAAGACACTAGCTCTCACCTTGACTGCAAGTTCAAGGAGAGACTTGGACACAGCAGAAGAAAGAGCCACTGCACGTAGGGCATTCGAGTAGAAGTAGTTGCTCTCTGGAGGAGTGGAAAGCAACAAACTAACAGCTGCTTCTAAGTTCCCAACCGTCACGAGTCTGTTAATGAAGTGAAGAATTAATGAGGTAATTCACCTGGTTTACTAGAATGCTACCTGTTTCCCCAAAACATAATTCGTTGGAGATGAGAGAGACTTACTCGTGCACTTGATTCTGCATGGCTGCTTCTCCCTCCAGTTTCTCGTGCCAAGGAATACGCTCATTGGCACTCTCCCACAACTCTTCTTGCTGAAAAGCCATTAATCTAAGTTGACCCTGATTCTGCTACAAAGATAGCAAAGTCAAAACAATGTCACTTTACATTCAAGTAACAGAAGCAATATAATTTAAGAACAAGCATTAAAAAATATCCTAGATCTCTCTCACCAACGAGTCCGTATTCCCCATAGTAACCAATGACTTCTCCCTCGAGATGATTCTGGTCAACATAACTGCACCATCTAGCTCTGCCGCTGTTGCCGACATTGCAGATTTCAACGGTGACTTGCTAACTAATTTGCTCATCAAATGCTTCACAGCACGAGGCAATTGCATCCAGAAGAGTGCTTCTGAGGCTTCGCCAAAAATAGCAGCTGCAAATGCAAACCTTACAGCCGAACCTTTATTGACCACAGTTGCATAGAGTTTTGCTACTTCATCATCAAGTATGCAGCCTGGGAAATATGTAAAGGTAAGCAATCAGACTGACTAAAAGATGAGCGAAGGGGGAACAAACATTAAAGAAGAAGAAATAATAATAATAATATAATAAACACCTTCTTTTCGATATGGTTCCAAGACTTTAAGGAGCATTTCTGGCACCACAGAATCACCAATAGCTGGTAGATCGATCATGTAACTACGTAAATCTCCTGCTGATGAAGAAGCCTCAGGAATTGACTGTGGTCTCTTATCAATGGCTGTGCTACAAGTATTAAACCATGAAGGCTTCACACCCAATTGCAAGATCATTCGCAAAGCCTGCAATAAAAACAACATAAGAAGTAGACAGGCTGCTTTTGGGTCAATAAAGGCTTCACACGGGAAAGATAAAATCACCAGAGAAGAATTATAATTACCAGTGCATGGGGAGTAGGTAGCAGTATGGGAGAGCAAATGGGAACAGGGCGGAATCTCTCTTTAACTGGCTGAGGCTGAGGTATATAGCCATGTCTTTTATCTTGCCTGCATATACAGCATCATCAATAGTTTAAGCATCAAATATCATAAAAAAAAATCTTAACTTCAAAATTCTTTCCCAAGTTATTCTATGCATAGTGAATTATTCTCCAAAAAGATCTTAACTTATAATTTCTTAGGGAAAATTATGAAATACAATACATTAATTATGTCGTTTACCATGTCAAACTCCTAGAGTCGAACGTAATACTGAATGATCAGGTTTGGATAGTTTGTAGCATAAAATATAAACTGATTCCTTGTTTAAGGTGGAACATACACATTAACTTCAAGAAGGCGAAAGCTACTATCAGCTCCAGCAATACACAATACCAGAGGGTCATGTTTATCTGTTCTCAGGGGCAACCAATCGAGTTCCAACACTAAAGTTCCAGGAAACTGGGGCTGGAGAAGGGAATTAGCTAACGGGTCTGGTGAATCCTGCACATTGAAGTAAAAAACAAACACACACACACAAGAAATCAATAAATACATGAAAATTGCACATCAATAAATCTTATCCATCCATAGGTTGCATTTCAAACAGAAATCCGAATGACACTAGGCAAGAGTGGTTCATGCAGTTACCTAGGAAATGCATGATAATTGATAAGATCTGTCAATTGGAAGGGTTTCAAACTTACAAGATCGAATACAGAAAATGTATTATCATAGAAAAGCACAGCTATCCGGCCTCTGCTTTGATCTCCAGGGACTACAGGAGAGAACTTAAGCCTTCGAATCCCCTCTCGGTGAGTATTAAATGAGGAAGATGACCCAGTTGTTACATCCCACCACCTTATGTTCCCTGTTCTGTCCCCCATTACCTGAGAAATATTCAGTCACTTCATAAAAAATGATAATCGGGGAAGAACCAAACTGTGATTAATCTGGCAGACTGAGCCTTTGTGCATACCACATGAGGCAACCGGTAGGCCATTGCTGTGATTAGTCCATCGGATGCAACAAATGAAGAAGAAGGCCATTTTGGTCTAACACGAGGAAAAGAAACCAGAAGAAACATTATAAGCAAGGAAAGCACTACAAAAAGCATCACTAATACCTGATAAGTTAGCAAGCACAGCAAGGAAATTGAGTAGCAGCATCCAAGAAACCCACATAGTTCTTTTGACAATGTAGAAATGGACAGCACATACCTAAAATCTCGGATTTTCCGTCCATGAACCTCAAAAACTCCAAGTGCTCCATTCACAAGTGCAAATGCAAAGCTTTCTGCGGCTTCATCTTGAGATGTATCTGAGCTCGCAGCTGCTGCACATAAAAGCTACTTCCATATTCAGGGGTAGTCTTTTATAAACAAAGAAAACTATCCAGATACTTCTAGACACTCGGACTAATAACAAGATCATAAAAAAAATACTTCTGCTTGAAAGCTCACTAGATTCTGATGAAGTCGCTTTTGGGGTGGATGATCCATCTGATGCTCTAGGTGTACCTTCCTTTGCTTTTGGCGTAGAAGGACCATTCTGGACTGGCTTTGGAACGGTTGGAAGGGTCCATTCCAACACCGTGAATGGAAGAGCTAATGATCTAAGCTACAGAGATATTGATGACTAATAAGCATTTGTCAAAAGAAGTATTGTTAAACTTCATACCAACATTACTTCCATCTACATGTTCCTCTTGAGTCTTGACAGTTGAAGCCATTTGACATATCAAAATGAAAAGAACAAACTATGGTCCACAAGAAGCCAACAGGAGAAGACCTTAGGAGGTTGAAGAAAATGTCAAAAATCTCAGGACCCCCAGCACATAGAAGTTAGAACCCCAAAAGAAGATAAAGGGAAAAAGGAACTATTTAGGAAGAAGGCTGAAAAGGCAGCATGGATGACTGCTATGGTCTGGGAAACCCAAGATTAATTTGCTGAGCAAAACTATAGTTAGTTAACAACTTCCTATTAAGAATTACATGGAGGTGAGAAATAAAAGAGCCGAAGGATATTAAAATAGATATGCAAGACGAAACAGATAGAATTTTCTCGTATACTAGAATATGCTATTTGTAACCAAATTCACACCTTGATAGAATTAAGGCAGCTGGTATTAACATAAACAGTTAAAATGTAACCAATTGGAGAATATGAAAAGAGAAGGTATTTGACAACAAACCATAATGGGACTTTTTGTCATTGCCCAAACTTCCACGGGTGCATCACGAAACAAAATAAGGAGATACCTAAATTTGACAACCGCACAATTTGAGATGAAAATAAGAAAAATGTTACGATATATCAACCATGCGGTTGGAAGGCATTATAGAGATAAGTTAATCAACATTTGAACTTTCCAGTTACCTTCCTGATGAAGAAGCCCGTAAAGCTCTAATTGGTGCTCGCTCTGGCTTGTGTAAAACTCGAAATGGTCTGTTAAGGCCACTTCTAACACAGGTCACGACAAGCCTATTGACATAACCTCCAGTTTTTTCATTAGCCTGGCTCCAACATGTACAAAGTGTTGAAATGGCAGGATAGAACATATTCAAGTTTACAATGCCGTGATTAAGTAATGACAAAAAATTAGATAGATCTGCACCTGATTGTAAGAAAATGAAACCAATCTAGAGTTTCCAAGCCATCGCAGACCACGAACTGCGCTTGTGTGAACAGAAAAACTAGCCGCAACAGCATTAGCAGAGACATCAACAATATCAATCATTCCACTCTGAGTTCCTAAAGCAACAAGTGGGATAGCTACAGCAGGATAATTCCCCCCACCTGCGTGATATTATCTCATTAACCAATTTGTTTCCAATTTAGGTATCACCTCATTAAACAATTGGCAGTAGCAGCACTAAAGGTACTGCTAACTCAAAAAAGTAATCAATACTGGAAATGAAACAAATAAAAGCAGAAAGATGAGACTTACGAGCTAAAGTAGCTGTTAGAGAAGGAGATGGCACCGCCAGCATTGTTAATGTAGAAGAAAGAAGCTGCAACTGCCCAACCAAGCATATCTGCATCCGTTATTGGTCTCGTTAGTTTGCGTAAATGATCCAGAAAGAACAAAACGGTTTTAGTTCATTCCCCACAATAACAAGTGAATACAAGAAAAAAACAATAAGCATGTTACTTCTCACACTCTTGACAAGTAATAAAGACCTCATGGACTTAGCATCACAGATGTGCTACAGTAACAGTGCTTATCATTGTAAATATGCTACATTAACTAGTCCTTCACTGTTTGTACCACCTAAGAAAAGCAAGCATCTTAAGCCATTGCTAATTAGCTTCCCCTGATGGATGCAATTAATTTTCTTTGAAGGCTCTTCATCCTAACAATTTGACAGCTTTCTTACAAAAGTCTAGTTACATACGAGCTTGGAAACGTTAGCTAACAGGTCCAAGCAAAATAAGAAACCCCTATTAGGAAGATAATGATTATGCTCAATTAATACACACACTTAAGAACCTTCAAAATGTAGATGATTTTAGAAGCAAGAAATGAGTAAGCCAATATGGGTGGCAAAGACTATGTATTAAGTACGCAATCACCATTAAGCTTACATTTCGAAGAAAGACCATTCTCAAATGCACTTAGGTAAGGATCTAAGATAAAAGCTGAAATTCCAAAATTTTAAGAATAAGAAAGGGGAGCAAGAGATTCCTTGCCTTGAATGTTGTATTCTCCTCACTGGCAACAGATGATGACCGACCTTTATTGCCGCTCAAATTTTCCTGCTGCTTGTTTCTTTCCAGGTTGATACCGTCAGTGGAAGCTATACCATCAGCATCCTCTCCTGTGTATGGGATAACCTCGACATCCCTTTCTACTATCTCTTTAGCAGTCAGAAGCCAATTACATACTTTGCCATCATCAGAAATTGAAATCATGTGTGACTTAGAAAGAAGTTGAGTCTCCTCATAGAAATCAAAAGGATTATCAAAATCCTTGGTCTGAGGAGTGTTAGGCACATCCCGGTATAACTTGGCAACATTCTGGAGCGTTGACTCTGATTGACAGATGGTTACAGCAAGTAATGACGGCGAAGGAACAGAAGAGCCGATTGAAGGCATTAGTTCTTCCATTGCACAACATAAGTGCACCTGCTCTCCTCTTTTTGAAGGAAAAAAGAGAGCGAGAGAGAGATTGTGAATTAAGCTATGCATATCAAAATTCAAAAGTAACAACAAAATACAAATCTAATCAAGTAAGGTAAAAAAAACCCAATGGCAGATAGAAAGGTTCGGACCAGGGAGACTCTCATCCTCAGTACACGTGCATCAAAATTGAATGACCGTAGGAATAAGTTTAGGCAGTGGCAATATGCTAATGATAGCAGAATGAGTAACCAGCTTATCGCTTCAAAGAACTAGAATATATCAGGTAAAAGCAATTTGATCCCAACAATGCGCAGTGGCGAATGTAAGTATCAGCTTTAAGCCATTTAGTATTGAGAAAAAATTCCAGATACGGTAAAACAAAATAGAAATTAAGATTGAAAGCAGTTCATAAACAACCTTTTGGATCTTTCATTAGGATCTCATTAACCACATTTCACATCCCTACCAGCCATTCAAAAGTGAAAATAACGGCTCTCCCCACGTCAAAAGAATTCATTTGAGCTCTAACTTGGTTCTAGCAAACGAATCTTTCCTAGATCATGAGCAATGAAGCAACATTTTTCCAGTACTAGAACACCATTCGGATGGACTTGCCTATGTCAAATTGTCCTTTAACGGAATGCTAGAACACCAACCCTGTTCCCTTTGGTGTTTCATTAACTCTTCCATTTGCAAATACAATTAACTAGGAACTCCGCGAAACAGACCTAGTTCTTGCTATGGAAAGCCATTACATTCACTCAATCGCCTAGAAGGAAAACTAGAGATTCTCAGCGCCTACAACTATCAGTCATATTGAATTCCTCATTTGCTTCAGACATACTAAATTCCCCATTGAATCATATAGCACAACTTACTCTTTTCGCCGCCAGACGCTTAGCTTGCCATCCAAGTGCGCACAGTACAAGAAGTCGCTGTTCGGATCCGTCAACACATCCAGAAACTTGGAGCACCCTCTCGGCAGGGAAGAACTGGAAAGCGCCGTCTCATACTGCAAATCGAAAACCACCAGCTCCCTAGGAAACGTCACGAACAGAATGTGCCTCCACTGCGGCGAGAACGTCAGCTTCACGGAGTACCGCGGGAAGGCGGCCGCCGCTGGCGTGGTGGAGGAGGAAGATCCATTGCTGGCAGCATCCCTCTCGAGCTTCAGAAACTCCGTGCAATCGGTAGGAATCCGAAGCACCTCCACCACAACCTCGTCCTCCGCTTCTCCCAGCACCACGATGGAGAGCAGGAAGCCCTTGAGCCCAATCACGCAGCAATGCCGGGGATCGAACGGATCGCGGCGGACGCAGGAGAGGAGCTCCGGAGTCGAATCGTACTTGAAGAAGCAGTGTCCCGTGGTGGCGTTGTAGAGGGAGAGCGTCGAGGGGCCGGAGATCGCCGCGAGGATGTAGGCGTCGGGGCGGAATAGGATCCAGCAGAGGTCCTGAATTCCGGACTTGGAGGCGGAATCGGAGGAATCGAGCCAGAGGAGGACGGATTTGTGGCGGAAGTCGACGAGCGCGATCCGTCCGTGCCGGTCCCCGACGGCGAGGATGAGGTGGGAGGAGGACGGCTCGGTGACGAGGAGGTCGCGGCTGAGGGGGAGGGGAGTCCAGCGGACGGAGGTGACGAACGGGGATAGAGCGGCGGCGGAGGCGGAGGAGGAGGAGGAGGGGGAAGAAGGGGCGGGGAGCGGGATGGTGGAGATGTGCTGTAGGGAACGGGAGTCGACGACCGAGATTGAGGATCCGGATGGGAAGGCGAGGAGGCCGGAGGGGGAAATGTCGACGGAGCCGAAGTTGTTGCGGGACGGCGGGCCGGGGAGCATGCATTCCCATGGGGAGGAGTCCGCCGCGGGATGCGGCGGCGTTCCGGCGAGAGACATCCGTTGTTTGTCTCGGGGGAGACGAGGGACGTTATGGGAGGAAAATGGCTGGGGGAAGAGATGGAAATCTGTTATGTGTCGGAGTCCATGGCCGCTCCGTTTGTCTCTGCTGTCGTCTCGTCGTACGTCATATTGACTTTTGTTGCTCCGGATTTGGCTCGTTTTCACAAGATTCCAAGAGCCAAGTTTCAAATTAGGGAGGAAGAAAAAAATGAGGATATTATGAACCCAATAGGCCTGGATCAGTCAGGCCCAAAAGAGAAACGGGCCATTATTTCTTTCGGCCCGCCATATCCTCTTTCAGGAAGTTTGTATAGTGCTAAATGAGCCCATACTCTCAAGACAGGGTTCGGTTCAAGAAAAGGTTGTTTGGCACTCGGCTCGTCTACTAACGAGTCGAAGTTGAATCATGCGTTTTTAATCTTGCAAGTCTCACGAGTCAGTGGCTTGTTGAGTTCAAGTTGTGAGCTATTGAGTTCACGAGCTCACTCATAATGTGGCTAGTGAGTCAGTTTGACTTTACTAGCGACTTATGAGTGAATCGATTTATAACTTATGAGGGGGCGAAAAACCTATACGTTATGAATTGGTTTGTTGATAAAAATCATTAGTTTGTTAGATTATATATATTTTTTACTAGATATGATGTTTGCTAAAACCATCTATCGATTTGAGATCCAGCACCCTGTATTCCCGGTCCGACTGAACGGGAGGGTACGATTTCAAAACCGTTGTCTGGCGTAGTAAAGGTTCCTTGTTTCGTTGGCTCGTTTTCTAAAATGCATTTAAAAAAATAATTATTAATAATATCACAGAACTCACAACTCATGATAATCTCTTTCACTATTAACATACAAATTCGCCACAATTTCAAAACACTTGCTCAATACGAATGATAAAAAAAATTCTGAACTCATGTCACACAACCCATCGTTCATGGTGTGATGCGAGTCGTCGTCTGGAGAAAAAAAAAACCCTCGCAAAGAGCAAAGCTAAACACCTAATAATGTCGTCCTTTTCACGAGCATGCCTAAACAAAACAAGGACATAACTGAATTTGCGAATCAATTCTAAACCGAACCGAGCCATACCCACCGACCAGTCGATCGGCCGCATACTATGACCTAATCACATCATCATCATGACATGTATTCTAACCTTTCACTAACATATTGTCCTTGCGGAACTAACCAACCGTAGTACACATCTTTGAATCGACATTAGCTATGGGTGGATAAAAACGGGTAGCTCCAAGGCTACCGGCCTCTCAAACTTCCGGCAATTATTCGGGCCACCACCAACCCTAATTAACTCTTTCCTGAAGAATCCAATCCATGAGAACGACATATAGTGAAAAAGAACCCTACTTTGTTGATATTTTTGCAAAGATATTGTTATGGAGGAAGGGCCATACCCTTTTGTCCTCTTCATATAGTTTCCTATGCAACCTAACCCGTCTTTGTGAAGTGAATGGACTCCATTACTTTGACTCCTTTTCTCATTTGTCCTTATCTTTTCTCTTGGCATTGGTGCATTCCCCTCACCACATGGATGACAAGTTGAGAGTGAGATGAGCTTGATAACAAAAGAGGTTATGGTTGATCTCCTCGTTGGATTTGAGTGACGGATTTGTCGTCCAAATTCCGAGCACGATGAGTTTGAGCAATTCTCTTGTTTGTTGGATTCAACAATTGGAAGCTAACTTCGTGGAGGGGAGTGGAGTGGAGTGGACTGCACAGATTTTGATGTTGGAATTGTAAATCTCGTGTTTTATTTATGATTTCGTTTGAGGCGAGAAAATATTGGTACAGAAAGATATGAGTCCATGATAAAAATAATTAACTACACAAACAATGGGCTCCTTCAATTACATAATGCATCAAATCTGCGGCAGATTTTCAAAATTCAAAACTCTTGTTTTCAAATCCGACAAGCAAACCACTAAGAGGTCGTTTGGATGAAGAAATTACTTCGTATCACAATTGATGTATCATTTCGAAATGCTTGCCCCCTCCCCCCTATCAATTCAGATTGATGCAAAATGGAGCATTTCAAATTGTCACGGTCCCATTGATGCATTCCTATTTTCTGTTCCCAAACAATGAAACTTGATACGATTACTTTATTTTTTGCGTAATTGGGTCAAATTATTTCATCCGATTTTATCATCTAAACGACCCATTAGTTTAGAAAGTTCCCTAAAGAAGGGATTCCTTTTGATTGATAGTCACCAAAGTTCATGTTATCTCAACTTCCCCCACCCCCAAAAGGGATTGATGCAAAGCAAGGCACGATAAACCCTTTAAGCCATTCTCAAGAGCTTTGACTTTCAAAAGGTTACTAGACACTTGGCTGATTGTAAATGTAGGTACTATAAAAGCGTAATCTGACATGATTTGGCTAAGTAATCAACTTTAAAACACAATTATCCTGTTTTGGAGTTGTTATAATAGAATTTAACATCCGGCAACTACGTATATGATGAACCTAATGAATATGATCACGAGATTATGGAGAAGCAATCAATCAAACTATTAAGTTCTCATGGAAAATACTCTCGTAAAGTTTACGATTTATTCTCGGGTTTCTACATTGTCCTTTCTTTTTTTTTGAATAAAGTACATTGTCCTTTCATTGTGAAATCTGCATTCATCGAGGCTCGAAAATGGATTTTATTAATACAATATGTGATAAAATCATTCATATCTTATCTATAACTAGTCAACAACAATGAACAAAGGCACAAAGGAAATAATCGAAGAGCCAAAAGGGAGAAAAAAAGGAAGAGAATTTCACGCGCTTTACTACTAGTTAGCTACTCAGTCCACTCAAAACAGCAGAGCTACGAAAACCGACAAAAGCGCGGCGGCCGACACTCCGGCGACGGACGCGGCGGAATTGGGCGACGGCGGGGCCATGTCGCCCGAACCGGGAGACGGCGATCCTGATGGGGAAGCACCGCCGGCTTCGCCGGTGACATTGATGGATAGCTGCTGGCCGGCGGTGCAGTGGCCGGGAATTGCGCAGAGGTAGAAATGCTCGCCGGGAGTGGTCAACGTGATTCTGGTCGGCGGCATGCTGTCCAGAGATATCGGGCTGGTGGTGGTGCACGCCGCGTAGGCGTCGCTCGTCACCTCCGCCACGTTGTGAGCGCCGGCGGAGTAGTTGAAAACTGCCGGCAAAGAAGTTCACAACGTTAATATCCAATTTTAAAAAAAATAAGTATGATAATTAAAGATCCCAATAGCAATAAGCATGTGGGAAAATTGGGGGAATTTTGATTTTAATATCACAATTAGTTTAATCAAGTACCACTTAGTACTTACCGAGGACATCGCCGACCATGAAGTCCTTGCCGGCGGCCCAGCTCTGGAACAGAGTAGCGTTCCTGGGGATGTTCCACCCGAAAGAATCCGCCACCGTGTAAGTCATCGGCGGCCTGGCGGATGAACCCGGCGCCGACGACGGAGAATCGCCGGAAACAGGGGAAGTCGACGGGGTCGGAGCCGAGGCGGTGGAGGCAGGGGAAGGAGCGGAAGCAGGGGTGAGAGCTCGGCGTGGAGCAGGAGAAGAAGAAGCCATGGGAGCCGGAGAGGGAGCAGAGTTGGAAGCGAGGACGTTGACGGTGACCTTCTGGCCGGCGCTGCAGTGGCCGGGGAAGCCGCAGATGAAGTAATGCTCGCCGGAGGAGTTCAACGTCACTCTGGCCGGACTCATTGTCGCAATCAGCATCGGGTCGGATGCAGAGCAGGCATCATAGTTCGCCTTGCTCACTTGCGTCACGTCGTGAATTCCGACGGCGAAATTGAATACTAATTGTGACGGGGGAAAAGAGAATTAGAATCTTACATTCAACATCCTATGTTGCTGGTAGTACAACCGATTAAAGTTTAGTGAACTCACCGAGAATGTCACCGACGGCGAACGAATTGCCGGAGGCCCAATTGGTGTAAACAGAATCGCCGCCCTGAGGGATGGTCCAGCCGGTGGTTCCGCCGACGGTGTAGGTACTCTGAGCGGCGGAGCTGTGGAGCAGAGCGGCAAGCACGATTGCTGTGAAAGCTAAGGTCTTTGTTCTAACCACCGCCATTGTTGTGTTCTCTGAGGGAAGGAAATGGTCGCCCCTGTTCTGTTAATGGATGCTCTGTTTTTTCTACAGAGAAGTGAATGAATGTGCGGTGAGGATTATTAATGTCCGGCGAGTTTATATAGAGTATTTTGGCGTGTGAATGTGGGCCGTCGATGGGCGACGCGTGGCTAGATATTTTAGTGGACGGTGGAGATAGGCGCTGATTCTTCTCGTGAGGCGGCCGGAGGATGTGACCGGTTCGTTTTTGTGTTTCCGCGTGAGTGGAGCATTTGGGTTGATCGGTTATGGCCTATGGGTCATGGGTCAGCTTTTTTAATAATTACTTGGTCTTTAATAGTCATCAATTATGCACACATGTTTACCAATAAGACGGTGACTAATTTACCACTAAGAAGACTATTTCCTCCATAATCTTTATGTTCACATTTCTAGAATAGTTTAAATTTTGGAAGAATTATTGTTGTGAACATGGTAATAATATTAACTAGCATCATAATAACATCAAAGTCGGCTAAAAATTGAGAAAATTCACTATAGGAATACTAAGTTAGTGAGCCAACGAGATAATGATTCATGAGTCTGTAGGTCAGTATGGAAGTCTACTTTCCCTAGAGTATGGATGTTTATTAAGGTTAGCTCGATCAGATTTTTTTAGTTAATAGACTTAAGATCACACAGAGGAGATTTGAGGCGTACGAAATTCAAATACGTTTTATTGACCTAATATAAAATCACATAATTTGTCTATATCACGATTTAGAAGACTTCTTGTTTTCATATGGAGTAAAGTGTTATAAAATTTGAGATCTTAATTATCCGATCATCAGTAACTTGAAGGACTAATGAGTGCCTTGTTGGTTGATTTCGAATGGATTACCGAAGCAAAGACAATACGAATTGATGATGTGTTTGTTTGAGGATGATTTGAGATTGATGATTCAACTAGAAAGTAGGACTTTTTACATTATCATGTCGATCAATGGGTTTGCATGGATAGGTCCCCACAATGGGGCAAGTGATGGATCCCATACACTTTAATTTCAAAGATGTTATGACTTATGAAAAGAAGGGATGGGTGAGTATTAAGAGGTGATAGAGAAAGTGGGTCTTTGATGATTTGAGCTCCAAAAAAAATTATTAACATAATGTGTGGATAATCAATTTATATAACAACTTAGAAGTTAGAAAAACACGCTAATACAAATCAAGAAAGATAAGCAAAGGATAGCCAAACAGAAATATCATAGTCTCGATCGATCAATGTATCATTTTTAGCCGTTCGATCAAGAGTTTGGTATGAGCTATTCGAAACGCTTCAAAAGAACTTATAAACGAGCACGATGCTTCGATCAGTCAAATAGTTTACCTAGTAGTACAATGTTTGGAAGGAGTAAAGAGTTCGTGAGGTTATGTGGCAAGCATTGGTAACTTGAAGAGCTCCAGATGGAGCAGGACACTTCAACGACACAATAAGTTATTGTGCAATGCAGCCTAACAATGACGGCTAGGATAGAAGCGAACTCTAGTTTCAAAACATAACCTCATTTTTTTTTTACAGTTTTGAGTCGAACGCAAAAGTATAGTTGATGAGCATCGACAAGGGAATGTTTCTATGGCTGGTTCAATGAAGGGAAAGGAGAGGAGAGGAAGAAGGTTACACATTACGAATTCTAAATTTAAGATTGTTAACTTCAGAATCCGACGTTATAATAATTCAACCAAACTTGTATAGATCACATGTTTGGGCTAAAAAAAATCCTTTTATTAATACAATGTATGTGAGAAATCAATCTATATAACAAACCAATAACCAACACACTAATACAGATCTCAAAAAGAAACGCGAAAGAAACAAAAAGTATCACATCGCCGACTGTAATAAGGCATCTCTATTCTCTACCGAGTACCGATCACTCCATTTACAACAAAAGAGCTGCGACAACGGACAAAAATGCGGCGGCCGATACGCCTCCAACGGTGGCGGCGGAGTTCGGGGACGGCGGGGCCATGTCACCGGCGGTAGGAGACGGCGACGAGGGAGTGGTCGACCCTGACGGCGATGGGCTGGTGCTGCCTGCACCGGAGACGTTGATGGAAAGCTGTTGGCCGGCGGAGCAGTGCCCGGGAATCGCGCAGAGGTAGAAATGCTCGCCGGCGGTGGTCAGCGTGATTCTGCTCGGCGGGTTGCTGTCCAGAGAGATCGGGTTGACGGTGGTGCACGCCGTGAAGGCGTCGCTGGTCACCTCCGCCACGTTGTGTGCGCCGGCTGTGTAGTTGAAGACTGCATAGCAAAAAAACAATTCACAACATTAATTAAAAATTGTAAATTTCCCAATTAAGAAGCTTGGCTTAGTAATTAAGATTATAATATCACTTATCATTAATGTAGTTAAATCGCATTTTAGAATCACACTGCTCATTACAATTGTAATAAAGTATTACATACCAAGGATGTCGCCGACCATGAAGTCTTTTCCGGCGGCCCAGTTCTGGAACTGACTCGCACCGCTCGTGGGAATGTTCCACCCGAAGGAATCGCCGACGGTGTAAGTCATCGGCGGCCTGGCAGAAGGAGACGGCGCTGACAACGGGACATCGCCGGCGACAGGGGAGGTGGATGGAGTCGGGGCAGAGACGGTGGTTGGAGCAGGGGATGGAGCAGAAGCAGGAGTGAGAGCCCGGCGGGGAGCAGGGGAAGGAGATGGAGGCATCATCATTGGAGCCGGAGAAGGAGAAGGAGAAGACCCAGTAGTCGAAGCAAGAACATTGACGGTAACCTTCTGGCCGGCGCTGCAGTGGCCGGGAACCCCACAGATGAAGTAATGCTCGCCGGAAGTGTTCAATGTTATCCTCGCCGGAGTATTCGTTGAAGTCATCATCGGATTGGACGCCGAGCAGGAGTCGTAGTCCGCCTTGTTCACTTGGGTCACATCGTGAGCTCCAGCGGCGAAATTGAAAACTAAATTTCAGAGAAAGAAGAAAAAGCCACAAAGATCAGAACTTGAATTCAGCACTATTTCGAATTTCGAGTTCCTTTTCCTAGTTAAAACCAAACTCAGAGTCTTACCCAGAATATCTCCGACGGAGAAGGAATTGCCGGAAGCCCAGTTGGAGTAGACCGAATCACCGCCCTGAGGGATGGTCCACCCGGTGTTTCCTCCGACGGTGTGGGTAGTCTGAGCGACGGAGCTATGGAGAAGAGCGGCGATCGCGATTGCTGCGAAAGCTAACGTCTTTGATCTCGACACCGCCATTGTTGTGTTCTCTGAGGGGGAAAAAAATTTTGGTCGCCCCTGTTTTTTGTATCGATGCTCTGTTTTCCTTTTGCTCTGTTTCTCCTCTGTTTTTCTTGATGGAGAGAAATGGTTTGTTGAGGTTCCGATTTGGGTTCAAGGTGGGGGAATTTATACTGCGCGGTGGTGGGAAATGGCGCGGGGAAGGTGAGCCGTTGGATGGATGACGCGTGGCGGGGAGGTTTTGAAAGGGCAGAATGAAGGGTGGAGATGGGGCGCGCTGATTCTTCTTGTTAGGCGGCCGGGAAAAGTGACTTCTTTGTATTTCCGCGTATTCAGATTTCAGGGATTTCAGTTTTTCACCAAACATGTGTGACTTTTTGGGTTTATGGGTCATCGGTGTTGTTGACCTCATTGATTAAGGGTAATTAATGGTCTTAATTAACCGTGTTTAAGAAAAAGATCGTGAAGTACACGATAGGACTTCTCCCTTAATCCTTCCATGGTAATTTGAGTTATGAGATCTTGGAAGTAAGAGACTTTGTCAAGCACAAGGTTGTCAAACCGGTTTATGCCAGTGTGCTGATTTAGCAAGTGGAATGGTTCGACTGGTGGCACATACCGGTTTGTGCCGGTTCATGCCGGTCAATATTATAAATAAAATTATAAATACTTTAAACATGACATTTAACGTCAATACTTAAACATTTATACTTGAATCCAACAAAAAACATCAATATTTAACTTTTACACTCATAAAATAAATGATAAAATTATTTTTATCAATTAAAGTCACTAAAATAAGACCATTTTACTTAGAGATTCGTATATCGATCATGCCGGTCATACTGGTAATGTCACGCCGGTTTTATGACCAATATCGATTGAATCAGGTTCAACCGGTGGCACGCCGGCCAGCGTGACAACCATGGTCAAGCAATATTGATTCGGGATTAGGGGATCTTCTGCATTAATTGCTATGACATTGTTTTTAATCATTTTTAGAGTCACTCGTAATGGCGAGTTACACAAAGAAAATTTGAGTTGCACATCAATTAATAAGTCTTTCTCCGGCTCGCATGAACTTCTCACTCATTATTTCGTGATAGGAATGAATGTGCTAATTTGTATTAGTCAAAAGATTGATAGGTTCTAGAAACATTACAATTTGTCCAATACTAAAAACGGAATCAATCCAATCAACAGCATAAGTGCATAAAGTGAGCCTATAGGGAACATTTATCTGTTGGCAAGATATAATAATTTGTTGCGTAACTGGCATTTCTGATTCAATCACGTCGAAATTAACGTACAAAGTAATTTATGAAAATTGACAACACATTCTTAAAATCTTTCATATGTATGGAAATTCGGTGGAAATGTGTGCTAAAAGGTAGGGGTGGGCAATGGGCGGGTTGGGTGGATTTTGGTTTAAAATTGACCCACCCGCTTACTAGCGGGTTGGAATATTTGTGACTCGCAATCCACCCACATACTTATGCGAGTTGGGTTGGGTGGGTGGCGGATGGGTGTGGTTGGGTCGCGGGTTAACCCGCAAAAGCAATTCTCCAACTAACCATTAAGAAGATTGACTAACATTTATAATAAGTTCATAGCACATTAGTAAGATTGTATCAATAATTTGCGATTTCGATACAGTTAATAATTTATAGTTTGTATCTCAATATTTAATGGATATTAACAATAATTTGCATACCAATATCCATTGCAAATGGATATTGCACAACACAATAACCAATAATAGTAGTCAAAATTATTCTTTATTCTCCACCTTTTGCAGTATATGGTCAGACTGTAGTACATTTTGAAAATATGATGAATATTTGATACTATAAGAAACAACATTTTTCCATGTAAAAAATAGAATGCGGATCATATGGGTGACCCGCAATCCACCCGCCATCCACCCACATAAGTGCGGGTGGGAGATTTAACAATCCGCAATCCACCCACATCAATCACCCATTGCATGCGGGTCGGGTTATTTGCGGGTGGATCGATATCAATCCACGGATTAACCACCCACGTGCCCACCCCTACTAAAAGGGTGTGGAAAGACTTTTAAGGATTAGTGGAATGGAATGTTGTGCAAACATTACACCATCTATAAAATTCTTATTCCATATGCTAAAAAGGTAGTAGAAAGAAATATATACTAATAAAAAGGTAGAAAGGAATATATACTAATAAAAAGTGGAATGAATGACATGAGCCCTGAAACATTCCTATTTCAGACAAATAAAATCAATATTGACAAAGAATGCGTTTTCCACACAAATTGGTAATTTATTATATTTATTTTTGTCAAATTGAGCTATAAAATGATGTAAGAACCGGTCCACTTAGAAGTTTCCCAAGGAAAAAGGAGGAAGAAGAGAAACACGGAATGTAAAAGTCAGGAGCTTGTATTATAATACTGGATAATAATTTTTTTAATTTTATAAATATCAGTGTTTGTGAAATTGTATCGTATAGAAATTCTAAATTGAGAGAAATTCTTAATTTTATCATCATAGATTTCAGGCGATTTTCTTGAAATGCCATTTTCTTTCGATTTTGAATGCTACGGATCAGTGATTCAAACCGAGGCTATTCTCCATCGATGGTGAAGTCTATAGAACCTATTCTCCGCCTACAATTAAGTCCATTAGGCTACAATTTGGGGGAAATACTTTTAGGATGACATTTTCGTAAATTTTAGGTCGATTTTTTTTTGAATGTCCATTTTACTTGGATTTTGAAGGCTACAAATCACAGATTCGGCCTATGACTATTCTTCAAGGATGATTAAGTCAATTAAGCACCAGATTTGGGCGAATTTATTCCAGGTCAATTTTTTTCAGATTCCAAAGGGGTATTATCACATATTTCGAGTAATTTTCCCGAAATGACATTTTCTTTCGATTTTGAAGGCTACGGATCACAGATCGGGCAAGAGGCTATTCTCCATCGGTGGTGGAGTCTATGGATCCTGTTCTCCACCGACAATTAAGTCCATTAAGCAACAATTTGGGGAATTACTTTTAGGATGACATTTACGTAATTTTTTGGGCGGTTTTTTTTCGAATGACAATTTTACTTGGATTTTGAAGACTTCAGATCGCAGATTCGGCCCGAGACTATTTTTCAAGTATGATTAAGTCGATTAAGCACCGATTTGGGAAGATTTATTCCGTGTCAATTTTTGTCAGATTCCAAAGGGGTACCATCACAGATTTCAGACGATTTTCCCGAAATGCCATTTTATTTTCATTTTGAAATCTACGGATCACGGATTCTACCATGGGCTATTCTCGACTGATGGTGAAATCTATGGATCCTGTTCTCCACCGACGATTAAGTCCATTAAGAATCATTTTGAAGGAATTACTTTTAGAATGACATTTTGGTAATTTTTTGGGCGATTTTTTTTCTTAAGGCCATTTTACTTGGATTTTAAAGGCTAAAGATCACAGATTCGGCCCGAGACAATTCTTCAAGGATGATTAAGTCCATTAAGCACCCATTTGGGAAGATTTATTCCGGGTCAATTTTTGTCAGATTCCAAAGGGGTACCATCACAAATTTCAAGCGATTTTTCCGAAATGCCATTTTCTTTCGATTTTGAATGCTACGGATCATTGATTCGGCCCGAGGCTATTCTCCATCGATAGTGAAGTCTATGGAACCTATTCTCCGCCTACAATTAAGTCCATTAAGCTACAATTTGGGAGAATTACCTTTATGATGACATTTTCGTAAATTTTAGAGCGATTTTTTTGAAGGTCCATTTTACTTGGATTTTGAAGGCCACAAATCCCAGATTCGGCCTAAGACTGTTTTTCAAGGATGATTAAGTCAATTAAGTACCGATTTGGGCGGATTTATTACAGGTCAATTTTTGTCAGATTCCAAAGGGGTATCATCACAGATTTCGGGCAATTTTCCCGAAATGACATTTTCTTTTGATTTTGAAGGCTATGGATCACGGATCGAGCCAGAGGTTATTCTCCATCGGTGGTGAAGTCTATGGATCCTGTTCTCCACCAACGATTAAGTCCATTTAGCAACAATTTGAGGAATTACTTTTAGGATGACATTTTCGTAATTTTTTGGACGATTTTTTTTTCAAAGGTCCATTTTACTTTGATTTTGAAAGCTACAGATCACTGATTCGGCCAGAGACTATTCTTCAAGGATGATTAAGTTCATTGAGTACCAATTTGGAAGGATTTATTACGGGTCAATTTTTGTAAGATTTCAAAGGGGTATCATCATAGATTTCGGGGGATTTTCCCGAAATGACATTTTCTTCCGATTTTGAAGACTACGGATCACAGATCGGGCCGGAGGCTATACTACACTGATGGTGAAGTCTATGGATCTTGTTCCCCACCGACGATTAAGTCAATTAAGCAACAATTTGGGCGAATTACTTTTAGGATGGCATTTTCGTAAATTATTGGGCGATTTTTTTTTCGAAGGGCCATTTTTCTTGGATTTTGAATGCTGCAGATCACAGATTTGGCCTGAGACTATTCTCCAAAGATGATTAAGTCCATTAAGCACCGATTTGGGCGGATTTATTCTTGTTCAATTTTTGTCAAATTCCAAAGGGGTACCATCACAGATTTCGGGCGATTTTTCCGAAATGACATTTTCTTGAGATTTTGAAGGCTACGGATCACTGATCGGGCCAGAGGCTATTCTCCAACGATGGTGATGTCTATGGATCCTGTTCTCCGCCGACGATTAAGTCCATTAAACAACAATTTGGGGGAATTACTTTTATGATGACATTTTCATAATTTTTGGGGCGATTTTTTTCGAATGGCCATTTTACTTGGATTTTGAATACTACAGATCACAGATTCGGCCTGAGACTATTTTTCAAGTTTTATTAAGTCCATTTAGCACCCATTTGGGCATATGTATTCTAGGTCAATTTTTGTCAGATTTCAAAGGGGTACCATCACAAATTTCGGGCGATTTTCCCGAAATGCCATTTTTTTATATTTTGAATGCTACAGATCAGTGATTCTGCCTGAGGCTATTCTCCACCAATGGTGAAGTCTATGGATCATATTCTCCGCCTACGATTAAGTCCATTCAGCAACAATTTGGGGGAATTACTTTTAGTATGGAATTTTCGTAAATTTTTGGGCGAATTTTTTTTCGAAGAGCCATTTTACTTGAATTTTGAAGGCTACAGATCATAGATTCGGCTTGAGGATATTCTTCAACTATGATTAAGTCCATTAAGCACCGATTTGGGGATTTATTCCAGGTCAATTTTTGTTAGATTCCAAAGGGGTACCATCATAGAATTCAGGCGATTTTCCCGAAATTACATTTTCTTGAGATTTTGAAGGCTACGGATCACGGATCGGGCCAGAGGTTATTCTCCACCGATGGTGAAGTCTATGGATCATGTTCTCCACCGACAATTAAGTCCATTAAGCAACAATTTGAGGAATTACTTTTAAGATGGCATTTTCGTAATTTTTTGGGCGATTTTTTTCGAAGGGACATTTTACTTGGATTTTGAAACCTGCAGATCACTGATTCGGCCTGAGACTATTCTCCAAGGATGATTAAGTTCATTAAGCACCAATTTGGGCGGATTTATTCCGGGTCAATTTTTGTGAGATTTCAAAGGGGTACCATCACAGATTTCGGGCGATTTTCCCGAAATGACATTTTCTTTCAATTTTGAAGACTACGGATCACGGATTGGGCCGGATGCTATTCTCCACTGATAGTGAAGTCTATGGATCTTGTTCTCCACCGACGATTAAGTCAATTAAGCAACAATTTGGAGGGTATTACTTTTAGGATGACATTTTCTTAAATTTTTTAGCGATTTTTTTTCCCGAAGGGCCATTTTTCTAGGATTTTGAATGCTACAGATCACAGATTTGGCCTGAGACTATTCTTCAACAATGATTAAGTCCATTAAGCATTGATTTGGGCGGATTTAATCAGGGTCAATTTTTGTCAGATTCCAAAGGGGTACCATCATAGATTTCGGGCGATTTTCCCGAAATGATATTTTCTGGAGACTTTGAATCCTACAGATCACATATCAGAGGCTATTCTCCATCGATGGTGAAGTCTATGGATCCTGTTCTCAACCGACGATTTAGTCCATTAAGCAACAATTTGGGGAAATTACTTTTAGGATGACATTTTCGTATTTTTTTGATCGATTTTTTCAAAAGGTCATTTTACTTGGATTTTGAAGACTACAGATCACAAATTCGGTCTGAGACTATTTTTCAAGTATGATTAAATCCATTAAGCACCCATTTTGGTAGATTTATTCTGAGTCAATTTTTCTCAGATTCCAAAGGGGTACCATCACAGATTTTTGGTGATTTTATCGAAATACCATTTTCTTGAGATTTTGAATCCTACGGATCAGTGATTCGGGCTGAGGCTATTCTCCACCGATGGTGAAGTCTATGGATCCTATTCTCCGCCTACGATTAAGTCCATTAAGCAACAATTTGGGGGAATTACTTTTAGGATGGCATTTCCATAAATTATTGGGCGAATTTTTTTTTTCAAATGACCGTTTTACTTCGATTTTGAAGGCTACAGATCACAGATTTGGCCTGAGACTATTCTTTTAGGATGATTAAGTTCATTAAGCACTGGTTTGGGCGGATTTATTGCAGGTCAATTTTTGTTAGATTCCAAAGGAGTACCATTACAGATTTCGACGCGATTTTCCTGAAATGACATTTTTTCGATTTTGAAGACTACGTATCACAGATCGGGCTTGAGCCTATTCTCCACTGATGGTGAAGTCTATGGATCCTGTTCTCCACCGACGATTAAGTCAATTAAGCAACAATTAGGGGGAATTACTTTTAGGATGACATTTTCGTAAATTTTTGGGCGATTTTTTTTCGAAGGGCCGTTTCTCTTTGATTTTGAATGCTACATATCCCAAATTTGGCCTGAGACTATACTTCAAGGATGATTAACTCCATTAAGTAGCGATTTGGGTTGATTTATTCCGGGTCAATTTTTGTAAGATTCCAAAGGGGTACCATCACAAATTTTGGCGATTTCCCGAAATGACATTTTTTGAGATTTTGAAGGCTACGGATCACGGATCGGGCCAGAGGCTATTCTCCACTGATGGTGAAGTCTATGAATCATGTTCTCCACCGACGATTAAGTCCATTAAACAACAATTTGGGGTAATTACTATTAGGATGACATTTTCGTAAATTTTTTGGGCGATTTTTTTCAAAGGGCCATTTTACTTATATTTTGAGGACTACAGATCACAGATTCGGCTTGAGACTATTTTTCAAGTATGATTAAGTCTAGTAAGCACCCATTTGAGCAGATTTATTTCTGGTCAATTTTTTTTAGATTCCAAAGGGGTACCAACACAGATTTCGGGCGATTTTGCCGAAATACCATTTTCTTTCGATTTTGAATGTTGCGGTTCAATGATTCGGCCCGAGGCTATTCTCCACCGATGGTGAAGTCTATGGATCTTATTCTCCGCCTACGATTAAGTCCATTAAGCAACAATTTGGTTGAATTACTTTTAGGATGGCATTTTAGTAAATTTTTTGGTGATTTTTTTTTCGAATGACCATTTTTCTTGGATTTTGAAGGCTACAAAACACAGAATCAGCCTGAGACTATTCTTCAAGGATGATTAAGTCCATTAAGCACCGATTCGGGTGGATTTATTACCGGTCAATTTTTGTTGGATTCCAAAGCGGTAACATCACAGATTTTGGGCGATTTTCCTGAAATGGCATTTTCTTTCGATTTTGAAGGCTACGGATCGCGGATCGAGCCAGAGGCTATTCTCCATCGGTTGTGAAGTCTATGGATCTTGTTCTCCACCGAAGATTAAGTCCATTAAGCAAAAATTTGGGGGAATTACTTATAGGATGGTTTTTTAGTAATTTTTTGTGCGGCTTTTTTTGGAGGGCCATTTTATTTTGATTTTGAAGGCTACAGATCACAGATTTCACTTGAGACTATTCTTCAAGGATGCTTAAGTCCATTAAGCACCTATTTGGGCGGATTTTTTCCGTGTCATTTTTTGTCAGAATCTAAAGGGGGTACCATCACAAATTTCTTGTGATTTTCTCAAAATACCATTTTCTTTCGATTTTGAAGGCTACTGACAAGCCAAAACACAACACCAATCTGCGACCAAGTGTAATCGCAGACCGGGAATGCAGTAACAGGCAAGTTATATTATCAACCCGGGCTCTAGATCTACTGCTTACTCAGTGATTCTCTATTATCTAGCCAACTAGAGTAAGTGATTGTTGTTTAAACTGAAAGCAGAAATAAAGCAGGAAATTAATCGGTTTTCTTAAGCAGGAAAGAGTCACTCGGGAATGAATCCCCCTAGCTCTTTAGTTAGGTTTCAATTGCAATTTACCCTGGGTTGATTTACTGTTGATTAAACTGCGGAAGATCCGACAGTAGCTTGGAATCTCTTAAGCTGACCAAGCCCTCTCAGTCTAACTACCCGGCAGACGACTAGTCTTCACCGGGATAGAAAGCTGAAGCAGTAAGAACAGAAATTCACTACTGGAATTAGATTCCAGTACAAAGCAGTAAACTGGCTAACTCTCGTATAACCAGTCTCCTACTATCGAATGATGAGACTCTAGCAACCTAATCAGATTCTATCTATCTCAGATTGCAGCAGGAATCAGGAAAAGTTGATCAGACTTCAATTGACTCAATAAACATGCATCATTCGATTAAAATCAAACAGTAATATCATCCCAAGTCATTACAATCAATCCCCTAACACATAGAACTAGGGTTCTTCATCCCCAAGTGAGAGAGAGGTTCTACTCCATAGAGAGAGAAAAGAAAACAGTAATCGGAGCAGTCATACTCATAATGATGAGGAAAATCTGCTCCGGGATGATGATTTCCACTCCTAGGACGATCTCCAAGCTTGAATTGATGAATTCCAGCTCCAAGATGGCTTCTAGGGTGAGTTCTTCGCACTTTCTCTCTCTAAAGCTCTGTTTTTGCTCAAGAAATTCGATCTCCCCTTCCTTGGCTCGATTCTGGCCTCAAAAACCCGACTCTGGGCGAATTACGGGCTGAATTACGGCCGTAATCACGTCCTGCCCGTAATTCGCCCCAAAACACACGTTTCAATTAAGCTGAAGGAGGAGAAGATACGCCCGTAATTTCACAATTACCGCCAGTAATTTGGGAATTACGGTCGTAATTCTTGGAAGTCATGCCCGTAATTTTATCACCGAGAGGAAATTCTGGGGAAAAGGCTCGACAATTGTTTTACGGGCATGCCCTAACCAATTACGGTCGTAATTTGGCAGGGGCTGCCCGTAATTCGCTCTGTGATTCGCCATCTGACCTCCGAATGACCTGAAACTTGCGCCTATGCCCCACTGTACTTGCTAGGACCTGAAATATGGCAAAACAATACAACCTAGCGTAAAATAGGCCAAGCAACAATCAATTCGAGCCAAAATGGACAAGAAATCTGAGTGAAAACACGTGCAAATACGATGCTATCAAATTCCCCCACACTTAACCGTTTGCTTGTCCCCAAGCAAACCAAGTCAGACACAAGGTAAGCTCACATAATTCAATCAACAAACATTGGGGACAAGTCATAAAGGCACAGAACACGTGAATCGAACTGGTTTCCAAACAGCAATACATGACCAACTTCAATAGCAAACTGGACAACCACCACAAAGGACATTCGAGTGCAGCAAAATCGAGTAAAGGAAGAGTCTCTCTTCTGTTCACCAACCAACCTAGACTTGACTCAACCACTTACTCAAAACAGTCAACTCATGCATCCAACTCAAGACATCAGAATAGAGACCGAGCAATCTAGGTCCTCACCAGGGTACAAGAGTATATAGAATATGAAAATGAATCACTCACTCTCGACCAGTGGGGTCAGGACAATTTGATGCGAAAAATGCGCATGCTATTTCTCTCAATCCCTAACATCTCTTCACCATGATGGCAGCCTCTAAATGCTAGAGCTCACATATGGGGTGTCACCACTAACTAATCAGGAGGTTTTAGACACATGTTCAAATGACTGGCTAGGGTCTTGGACATGGGAAAAAGGCCTTTTAAGTGGTGGAAGTATTCATAGCACAAGGTTCCACATTTTCCAAACACACAATCACAGTCAAACAAACCGGTATTTTCTTTCTGCTATCCTGCATTACTCAATATCTCAATAGCACAAGAGCGAAGGAGGTATAAATGTCAGTATTTCCAAGCCAGACTGCTAAGAAACACTACTTACCGGGCATTATTCAGATTTTTGGTAGTGGCTCTCTTTGCTTTCAATTTTTCTTTGTTTTTCTTTCATTTTCTTTTCATTTCTTAAGAGAGCCACCACTTCTGCACATATTTCAAACATCTGCCCAACTTTTTGGCACTACCTCCAACACTCACATTCAATTTAGCAGAAACAGCAGAGAATCTGTAAAAACCACTCTGTGGAACCTTCTAAAAGATGCAAAAGGGTGATTTTTTCATTATAGACCAAAAAGAAAGGATAACACACGGCTCAAAGGGGCTGACTAGAGGGTATGACACATCAGGACAGTCAAATTTGGTCGTGGGCTAATCCTATGCCCCCATCATCTTAGCTAGTGACAACGTGAATGCTACACATCATGGAAGAGGGATCTATCGCACAAGAAAGAAACGAGCAGGCTCAAATCTCACATGGCTACCTATATGCTCTATCTCACATTCTGATACCCTGAACTAGATGCATAAACGACTGTCAAGACAAGTGATCAGATCAAGTCACAGTTGGTAAGCACACAGTTTAAAAACTGAACCCCTACATCGTTCTACTGCACATCTCAGCCCTCATCATAGGTTGTCCTAGTCGCAAACAAGTTGTCATGCATTAATCCGAAAACCGTTCAATTCATCAATCAAAACATAGTGCCAATATGATCAAACAGCAGTACTTGGAGCCCTCAAATCGTAAGATTCGGACAGCGGACTAGGCTCCAAGCACCCATATATACGTTCCAATAAATACAAAGAACCCCCCCCCACACTTAAATGCGACAGTGTCCTCAATGGAGCCGAGGGAAGGGGAACGATGTTACTGTGAAACAGTGGTCAGGAACGTGGACTGGATGGCGGACCAGTCAAAAGCAGAGGACTGGACAAGGACCAGTCCGACGGGCACAGAGCTAGAACCAACAGAACACACACATGGGGTGAAATAAAACATAGTTCCAAGTCAACAATCCACACAATACGGAACAAGGAATAAAAACCAAACACAATACGGAGTCTAAGTCTGGAAAGATAGAAAAAAGCGAAGCCCAACACGATGGGCTAGCAAAGCCAGCTCAGTACTCATCCCCTCCATCGCCGGTCGGGGGCGGGTAGTTGTCCTCATGCCCCGGGGACGCCTCCCAAGGGTAGCTAACAGCAGCAGGATCCATGTTCCAGTAGCTCATCATGTAATGCTGAGCTGAGATGATGCGGCGGCGACCTTCGCGCTCACGGTCGAGGCGGGCGTTGAGGTGCTCCTGGCCAAGAAGGATCTGCTCATTCTGGCGGGAAAGGGCCGCCAGCTGCTCGGCAATGTAAGTGGTGGGGGCGGCAGCAGATGGGCCGGCAGCAGAGGTGGAGGCGTCAGGCGCAGAAGGAGTGTTCCGCCGACGACGATTGGCCCGACTGGCCGCAGCAGCACTCGCCTCAGGGAGTTCCTCACCCGCTGGTGCACGAGGAACAGGGCGAGGAAGGCCCCGGATCCAGGTCACGTCCCCCTCCTTCTCTAGTATCAGCTGGCGCCGTAGGGTGTCCCTGGAGAAGGGCTTCGCCTCCTGGATGAGAGTGAACCTGGAGAGGTCGATGTTGTAGTACCGTGCCAGGGCAGTGACCACCGGCCCACACGCCAGGGGTCGACCACACCGAGAAGCCCTGACGACAGTCCTGGCGATGAGGGAGGACAGATGGAGGTTGTCCACCTCGTGGCTCATGGAGTGCAGGCAATGCAAGGTGCGGAGCTGAAGATGACTGGTGGAGCCCTCGCTGGGGGTGTAAGACTTCCCCAACAGCTGGTTGATGATGCGCCACTCTGGGCGCAGCTGAGTGGCCGTGGTGTGGCCCGGTGTGAAAACAGCGCCTGAGAACTCCGGGAGGCAGATCCTCTCGAAGAACTCCTGGTCCCGAAAGATGGGACTGTCGGGCTCTTCGATCGCCAGGTGACAGGCGAAAGGTGGAAGGAGCCCCAGTGCCCGACCAAAGTCATCGTAGCTCAGGGAGTAAAACTCCCCTCCGAGTCGGAACTGGATGGCGTTGCCGTGTGAGCCCGCGTGGGTCTGGAAATGCTCGAAGGTAGAGTAGAACTCCCAGAGAAGCTCCTGATAGGTCGGCTCAGCGAGGCAGAGGAGGCGGCGCCAAGAGTAAGCGCGGATGGCAGCCTCCATTGCCTCGCGAGCGCCCAGCTCCTCGAAAACCCTCCAATCGAGGTAATGGTGCTTAACTAGTTTGCGGCGTCGGATGTCCTTCAGAATCTTCCTCTGGTCGGCGTCGAGCATGGCCAAGTAGGTTGTCATCTTCCTGGAGGCACAAGAAGATATCGCGGGGAAGGTGAGGGAAAAACGAGAGAACACGAGAATCGCCGGGGAGCTCGCCGGAAAGCTCGCCGGAGTGTCGTCGCCGGCAACTTCACCAGAGCCAAACTGACCCAAAACTTTGGGGAATGAGGCCCCGGGTACCAGGAACACGGTGGTGGTCGCGGTTTTCCAATTGAAGGTCGGAGGAGAGAGATTTGGCCGGAGGAACACCGAAGGGTCGCGGTTTTCCGGCGACCCAAACCACCACGAAACTCAACCCCACTAGTATAGACTTGTGGGCGCCGACGAGAGGAGCATGGGGGTGGTCTCGGAATTTGATTTGGACCTCCGGTGAGTGAGATATGGCCGGAAAACCACCTGAGAAGAGGGTGGTTCGAGTTTCCGGTGAGAGGAGAGGGAATTTGGTCTGAAAAAAAAATGGGGGAGAGAGAGAGGGTCCCGGCCGAGCACTTTTGAAACTGGTCTCGGGTGTAATTACGGGCAGAATTACGGCCACGCCAAAACACAACACCTAACAATGGCCAAGTGTAACCAATGAAAGGGACTGCAGTATAGTGGCACAAGTAATAAATATCGAATCCACGGGTCTCTAGAGTTACTATTACTCAGCTTCAGTTCATTATCTAGCAAACTAGATTAATGATTGATTAACTAAACTACTCTACTAACTAAACTAAGTAAAACTACTAATTACAGTTTGGGAACTCACTTAGGTATGATTCCCCCTAGCTCCTCAATTAGGTCCAAGTTGCAATTACCTTTGGTTGATCCACTGTTGATTAAACTGCGGAAGATCCTAAATTAGCTTGGAATCTCTTAAGCTGACCAAACCCTCTCAGACAGAATACCCGGCAGGCGACTAGCCTTTACCGGGATAGACTGCTAAGGCGATTCACACAGATCTCCACTACTGGAATGAATTCCAGTACAAAGCAGTGAATTGATTGACTCTCGCACAACCAATTCACTACTATCAATCAAGGAAGCTCTCTTAACCTAATCAGATTCTATCTATCATAGGTTAAAGCAGAAATCAAGAGAATTTGATCAAGATCCAATTGACTCAATAAATCATGCCTCAATCGATTATAATCAAACAATAAAGCATCCAAAACTTCATACAAGAAAGATCCTAACTCATGGAACTAGGGTTCCTCAAAACCTAAGTGAAGGGAAGTTACTCCATAGAGAAGAGAGAGGCTGCAGAAATCTGATCTAGATCTTCAATCTCCATCTCCAAGCTTGATTCCCGAGCTCCAATGGCGAAGAAATCCTCCAAAATAGCTCCAAGAATGTTTCCAAGTCGCTCTCTCTCTCTAGGGTTCGTCCCTTGGGTGTTTGGGATCCAAAACCCAGCTCTCCCTCTCCTTTGGTTCGGAATTTGGCTTAAAACCAGGAAATCCCGACTCGCACGGCCAGGGTGCACGGCCGTGCACATCACCATTATGGCCGTGCACCTCAAAACGCGGCGTATCAATTAGTTGAACCTCAGCCAACTCGCACGGCCAGAATTGTATGTTGCACGGCCGTGCGTGGCCACGCTGGTCTGCCCGTGCAGCTTGCTCAGCCTCTGTTTAATGCTTCGTTTCTCCCTCGTCCGGACTCCGAATCAATCGCCGTTTGATCCCAGACGCTCGTAGTCTCGTCCTCTTTCGTTTCATAACAAGCTTGCATGATTCTTTGTCCATAAAGTGAGGTAGAAATCCATTCTTCTTCAGGTCATGCCCGAGTTTCTTCTCTCGAATCGTCAATTGATCTCTGATTGACTTGAAACTTGCGCCTATGCTTCACTTTATGTGCTAGGACCTGAAATGGGACAAAGGAACACAACCTAGCATAAAATAGGCCAAAGACGCAATAATTCAAGCTCAAACAATCAAGAAACAAAGGGGAAAACATGTGCAAATACCGAGTCATCAAATCCCCCCACACTTAACTGTTTGCTTGTCCCCAAGCAAACCTAACTCAAACCAATGCAACTCTCCAGACCTCTATAGCAACAAACAACCCAGATCTTAGGTAGAGGACTTCCTAGATCATTTAGCAACTTACGAGGTCAACCGACGCACAAGTCATCTCATAACTTCTTCGGCGAGTCGGCATCATGGCAAATAGTGAACAGAGGACAAATGGATTGTGGATGAAGAGATTCTCAAAAACAAAGGATCATGGACTCACATTTTTCAAGGTGCTCTATTTTCTTCTTGAAGATGGTTGGAACCCCTTTTTTTCTGTTTTGCTTGTTTTCTGTTATTTTTCTTTTCTTTTCAAGGGTCCCAACCTGCTCTTACCGGCCATGCCAGGAGCGGATGTCTCGAGCCTCGTGCGGGGGAAAGACATGTAAGGGGGCTGGAGGTAGTAGGTGGAAATTGGGAACGGATTCCCGTCTCCCCTTACACACTTTCGCCCTATTCGCACGGGAGACGTTATTTTGAAGCACAATTTCGAGCACCTGTTAAACTCAAAACATGATACAAGAGTCCATGACAGGTAGAGAATCCACAACACCACACAGTTCAAGGGTCCTAAGATCACTAATTCACTCAATCAACCAACTCAATATGAAGAAGAAATGAAACTTCTTAAATGCATCAACATCCTCCATAGTGCTACACTACCTCCCTAGGTTGCATATTACTGTAAAGACTGTCAATTCAAAGCATACTGAGCAGGCACTTGCAAGGAAACACGTACTTGGAGCCCTCAAATTTAAAAATTTGGACAGTGGACTAGGCTCCAAGCACACAAACAGCCAAACATTCATCCGCATACATAATCGAACATCCCCCCACACTTAAGCACGACATTGTCCTCAATGGAGGAAAGATAAGGAGGGTAGAACGAAGTTACCAGATCAAGGGTGAATGATGATGAACGGGTCAGGCGGTGCATTCCAGAAAGAGAGAGTAATCAGAACACAAACACCACACAAAATCTCACAAAGGTTGAGTTATTGACTCTAAAATCAAATAACAAAACTGACTCAACCGAGGAGAAATAGAGAAAGAAATGCAAACCGACTGGTTGGGTTGCCTCCCAACAAGCGCTTCTTTCACGTCGTGAGCCGGACGATGGCTCCTAAGTTTCGGTCCATGAGAGAACCTCCTTGAAGTTGAGGTTCTCGTCGATGAGGTGGAGTCTCAAGTCACGAGCATGTGGTGTGGCAGGTGAGGAAGGCTCATGTACTTGATGCAGATGAAGTCTCCACCCTAGAGACCTCTTCTTCTCTTCTCTCGTCTCATTGCCCCAAACCAGATATGACAGCATCGATTGGCCACCATCGCGTCCACCAAGAGGGACCGATGTCGATGTGGCCTTGGTTTGGCAAAGAGACACTGCAAATGGGTCCTTGCTAAGTAGTTCCTCGAAGTTTGGTGGAGATATCAAATGTAACTCATGGCCGGTGCAGGCCTCTTCCACCTCAACTCCGTCCTCAGCCTGGACGCCAATTGCTTTTTCAACCCCCCTTTCTTCTTCATGTGGTATCACCCCTGAGAAAAGATCAAGAACTCCTTCTGCTTCACTTTTGTCATCCTCCACAACTTCTTTCTGCACCCTTTCTTGCTCTTCTTCTTCCAGCACGAATTGGAGAGCAAGTCTCCATGCAAGGTTCTCGATAAGGTCAGCTTGCATCTCCTCACTCGAGCCCAGCATGTCAGAGTGGAAATGGTGAAAGTTATGATCTACCACCAGAGGATACACTTGATCATGATTATCATGGGAGCTTTCTGTGACAACTTCTGTATGCTCCTCAACATCCTCATGATTGCCTTTTTCTTCCTCCTCCTCTACTTGTATGGCAGCATAAAGGTTGTCTTGAGAAAACTGTGAACAAGCTTTCTCAATGACCTCTAGGTGCTTCTTTATGCTCCGGATGGTATCCTCTGTTTCACGGGGGAAGGAAAAGTCAGTTTGGGCAATGGCCTGGATATGAGGATCCATCTCGGGAAAAGATCTCTCAGGTACTCGAGCAATCTGCTCCACGAGAAGCCTCAATTCATAGTTTGGATCTGGCTGTGGAGTGTAGCATGGCTCTGCAGAATGGCCCGTGAAGGCCGCCATGGGTAACTCCAGATCCGATGGCCCTTCTTGTTGTGGGAGGAATTCTTCTTGATAAGGAGATTGTTCTTGATATGTCCAGGGGTCTGGTTGTTCTCCGTAGTAAGGGGGTTGGTACTGGAACCCGAATCCATAGTCTTCTCCTCCTTGATTGCTGTAGGGAGTCTCGGGGTAATACCACCCAGATGGTGGTGGATACCCCCAATGATTGGAGAAGCCATGAGGATCCATGATTCAGATCTGCACCAACAAAAACAAAAACACCCAAGTGAAAAGCAAGGGTGGAAAAGAAAAGAAACGAAAAACGCTAAAGTAACAAACTTCTGCCTTTCCTAATAATCTAGAAAGTCCCCGGCAACGGCGCCAAAAACTTGACAAGCCAAAACACAACACCAATCTGCGACCAAGTGTAATCGCAGACCGGGAATGCAGTAACAGGCAAGTTATATTATCAACCCGGGCTCTAGATCTACTGCTTACTCAGTGATTCTCTGTTATCTAGCCAACTAGAGTAAGTGATTGTTGTTTAAACTGAAAGCAGAAATAAAGCAGGAAATTAATCGGTTTTCTTAAGCAGGAAAGAGTCACTCGGGAATGAATCCCCCTAGCTCTTTAGTTAGGTTTCAATTGCAATTTACCCTGGGTTGATTTACTGTTGATTAAACTGCGGAAGATCCGACAGTAGCTTGGAATCTCTTAAGCTGACCAAGCCCTCTCAGTCTAACTACCCGGCAGACGACTAGTCTTCACCGGGATAGAAAGCTGAAGCAGTAAGAACAGAAATTCACTACTGGAATTAGATTCCAGTACAAAGCAGTAAACTGGCTAACTCTCGTATAACCAGTCTCCTACTATCGAATGATGAGACTCTAGCAACCTAATCAGATTCTATCTATCTCAGATTGCAGCAGGAATCAGGAAAAGTTGATCAGACTTCAATTGACTCAATAAACATGCATCATTCGATTAAAATCAAACAGTAATATCATCCCAAGTCATTACAATCAATCCCCTAACACATAGAACTAGGGTTCTTCATCCCCAAGTGAGAGAGAGGTTCTACTCCATAGAGAGAGAAAAGAAAACAGTAATCGGAGCAGTCATACTCATAATGATGAGGAAAATCTGCTCCGGGATGATGATTTCCACTCCTAGGACGATCTCCAAGCTTGAATTGATGAATTCCAGCTCCAAGATGGCTTCTAGGGTGAGTTCTTCGCACTTTCTCTCTCTAAAGCTCTGTTTTTGCTCAAGAAATTCGATCTCCCCTTCCTTGGCTCGATTCTGGCCTCAAAAACCCGACTCTGGGCGAATTACGGGCTGAATTACGGCCGTAATCACGTCCTGCCCGTAATTCGCCCCAAAACACACGTTTCAATTAAGCTGAAGGAGGAGAAGATACGCCCGTAATTTCACAATTACCGCCAGTAATTTGGGAATTACGGTCGTAATTCTTGGAAGTCATGCCCGTAATTTTATCACCGAGAGGAAATTCTGGGGAAAAGGCTCGGCAATTGTTTTACGGGCATGCCCTGACCAATTACGGTCGTAATTTGGCAGGGGCTGCCCGTAATTCGCTCTGTGATTCGCCATCTGACCTCCGAATGACCTGAAACTTGCGCCTATGCCCCACTGTACTTGCTAGGACCTGAAATATGGCAAAACAACACAACCTAGCGTAAAATAGGCCAAGCAACAATCAATTCGAGCCAAAATGGACAAGAAATCTGAGTGAAAACACGTGCAAATACGATGCTATCAGCTACGGATCACGAATTATGCCCGAGACTATTCTCCACTGATGGTCTAGTCTATGGATCCTTTTCTCCACCAACTATTAAGTCAATTAAGCAATAATTTGGGGGAATTGATTATAGGATGACATTTTCGTAATTTTTTGGTCGATTTTTCTTCGAATGACCATTTTACTTGGATTTTGAAGGCTACATATATAAGATTTGCCTTGAGACTATTCTTCAATGATGATTAAGTCTATTAAGCATCGATTTGTTCGGATTTATTCGGTGTCAATTTTTGTCATTTTTCAAAGGGGTTCCCGTAATGACATTTTCTTTAGTTTTGAAGGCTACGGATCACGGATTGGGACTGAGGCTATTCTCCACCGATGGTGAAGTATATGGATCCTGTTCTCCACCGACGATTAAGTTCAGTAAGCAACAATTTGGGGGATACTTTTAGGATGGCATTTTCGTAAATTTTTGGGCGAATTTTTTTGGAAGGGCCATTTTTCTTGGATGTTGAATGCTACAGATCACAGATTTGGCCCGAGACTATTTTTCAAGGATGATTAAGTCCATTAAGCACCGATTTGAGGGATTTATTCTGGGTCAATTTTTTCCAGATTCCAAAGGGGTACCATCACATATTTCGGGCATTTTTCCTGAAATGACATTTTCTTGAGATTTTAAAGGCTACGGATCACGGATCGGGCCAGAAGCTATTCTCCACCGATGGTGAAGTCTATGGATCCTGTTCTCCACCGACAATTTGGGGAATTACTTTTAGGATGACATTTTCGTAAATTTTTGGGCGATTTTTTTGAAGGGCCATTTTATTTAGATTTTGAAGACTACAGATCACATATTCGGCATGAGACTATTTTTCAAGTATGATTAAGTCCATTAAGCACCCATTTGGGCAGATTTATTTCGGGTCAATTTTTGTCAATATCCAAAGGGGTACCATTACAGATTTCAGACGATTTTCCCGAAATGCCATTTTCTTTCGATTTTGAATGCTACGGATCAGTGATTCCGCCCGAGGCTATTGTCCACCAATGGTGAAGTCTATCGATCCTATTCTCCGCCTACGATTAAGTCTATTAAACAACAATTTGTGGGAATTACTTTGAGGATGATATTTTTATAAATATTTGTGCGATTGTTTTTTTCGAAGGGCCATTTTACTTGGATTTTGAAGGCTACAAATCACGGATTCGGCCTGAGACTATTCTTCTAGGATGATTAAGTCAATCAAGCACCGATTTGGGCTGATTTATTCCGCGCCAATTTTTGTCATATTCCAAAGGGGTACCATCACAGATTTCGTGTGATTTTCTCGAAATATCATTTTTCTTTCGATTTTGAAGGCTACGGATCATGGATTCTGCCCGAGACTATTCTCCACAGATGGTGCAGTCTACAGATCCTGTTCTCCACCTAAGATTAAGTCAATTATCAACAATTTGGGGAAATTAATTTTAGGATGACATTTTCGAAATTTTTTGGCCGATTTTTTTGCAAGAGCCATTTTACCTGGCTTTTGAAGGCTACAGATCACAGATTCGCCGTGAGACTGTTTTTCAAGGATGATTAAGTCTATTAAACATCGATTTGTTCATATTTATTTTGTGTCAATTTTTGTCAGATTACAAAGGGTACCATCACAGATTTTAGGGGATTTTCCGAAATGACATTTTCTCAAGATTTTGAAAAGTTACGGATCACGGATTGGGATAGAGGCTATTCTCCACCGATGGTGAAGTCTATGGATCTTGTTCTCCACCGACGATTAAGTCCATTAAGCAACTACTTGGGGGAATTACTTTTAGGTTGGCATTTTCGTAATTTTTTTGGCGATTTTTTTCGAAAGGCCATTTTACTTGTATTTTGAAAGCTACAGATCACAGATTCGGTCTGAGACTATTCTTCAAGGATGATTAAGTCTATTAAGCACCCCTTTGGACAGATTTATTCCGGGTCAATTTTTGTTCAAATTCCAAAGTGGTACCATCACAGATTTAGGGCGATTTTCACGAAATGCCATATTCTTCCGATTTTGAAGGCTATGGATCACAGATTCTGCCCGAGGCTATTCTCCACTGATGGTAAAGTCCATGGATCCTGTTCTCCACCGACGATTAAATCCATTAAGCACCAATTTGGGGGAATGACTTTTAGGATGGCATTTTCCTAAAATTTTTTTTTCGAAAGTCCATTTTACTTGGATTTAGAAGGCTACAGATCACAAATTCGGTCATATACTATTCTTTAAGGATGATTAAGCCCATTAAGCTCCGATTTGGGCGGATTAATTCTGGGTCAATTTTTGCCAGATTACAAAGGGGTAACCATCACAGATTTCAGGCGATTTTCAAGAAATGAAATTTTTTTTCGATTTTGAAGGCTACGGATCACGAATTCTGCTTGAGGGTATTCTCCACTGATGGTGAAGTCTATGAATCCAGTTCTCCACCGACAATTAAGTCCATTAACACCCAATTTGAGGGAATTACTTTTAGGGTAACATTTTCGTAATTTTTTGCGTGACTTTTTTGCAATGGGTCATTTTACTTGGATTTTGAAGGCTACATATCACAGATTCCACCTGAGACTATTCTTCAAGGATGATTAAGTCCATTAAGCTTCGATTAGGGCGGATTTATTCCGGGTCAATTTTTGTCAAATTCCAAAGGGGTACCATCACAAATTTCGAGCGATTTTCCAGAAATTCCATTTTTTCGATTTTGAAGGCTACTGATCACGAATCGGGTCAGAGGCTATTCTCCACTGATGGTGAAGTCTATTGATCATGTTCTCCACCGACGATTAAGTCCATTAAGCAACAATATGGGGGAATTACTTTTAGGATGACATTTTCGTAAATTTTTGCCCGGATTTTTTTTCCGAAATGCCATTTTTATTGGATTTTGAAGGCTACATATCACAAATTCGGCCTGAGACTATTCTTCAAGGATGATTAAGTCCATTAAGCTCCGATTTTGGCGGATTTATTCCGGGTTAATTTTTTCAGATTCTAAAGGGGTACCATTACAGATTTCAGGCGATTTTCCCGAAATGCCATATTCTTTTGATTTTGAATCCTACGGATCACTGATTCGGCCTGAGCCTATTCTCCACCGATGGTGAATTCTATAGATCCTATTCTCCGCCTATGATTAAGTCCATTACAACAATTTGGAGGAACTACTTTTAGGATGACATTTTCATAAATTTTTGGTCGAAAGGCCATTCTACTTGGATTGTGAAGGCCACAAATCACATATTTGCCCTGAGACTATTCTTCAAGAATGATTAAGTCCATTAAGCTCCGATTTGGGCGGATTTATTCTGGGTCAATTTTTGCCAGATTCCAAAGGGGTACCATCACAGTTTTCAGACGATTTTCACGAAATGAAATTTTCTTTCGATTTTGAAGGCCACGGATCACAGATTCTGGTCAAGGCTATTCTCCACTGATGGTGAAGTCTATGGATCCAGTTCTCCAGCGACGATTAAGTCTATTAAGCAACAATATGGGAAATTACTTTTAGGATGACATTTTCGTAAATTTTTAGGCAATTTTTTTTGAAGGGCCATTTTACATGAATTTTGAAGGATACAGATCACAGTTTCGCCTTGAGACTATTCTTCAAGGATGTTTAAGCCCATTAACCATCGATTTGGGCGGATTTATTCCGGGTCAATTATTGTCAAATTCCAAAGGGGTACCATCACAGATTTAGGACGGTTTCATGAAATGCCATTTTCTTCCAATTTTGAAGGCTATGGATCACGGATTATGCCCGAGGCTATTCTCCACTGATGGTGAAGTCCATGGATCCTGTTCTCCACCGATGATTAAATCTTAAGCAACAATTTGGGGGAATTACTTTTACGATGGCATTTTCCTAACTTTTTGCGCGATTTTTTTTCGAAAGTCCATTTTACTTGGATTTAGATGGCTAGAAATCACAAATTCGGCCTGAGACTATTCTTCCAGGATGATTTAGTCCATTAAGCTCCGATTTGGGCAGATTTATTCCGGGTCAATTTTTGCTAGATTCCAAAGGGGTACGATCACAGATTTCGGGCGATTTTCAAGAAATGAAATTTTCTTTCGATTTTGAAGGCTACGGATCACAGATTCTGCCCGAGGCTATGCTCCACTGATGATGAAGTCTATGGATCCAGTTCTCCACCGACGATTAAGTCCATTAAGCAACAATTTGAGAGAATTACTTTTAGGGTAGCATTTTCGTAATTTTTTTGCGTGACTTTTTTTTAGAATGGCCATTTTACTGGGATTTTGAAGGCTACCGATCACAGATTTCATCTGAGACTACTCTTCAGGGATGATTAAGTTCATTAAGCACCGATTTGGGTAGATTTATTCCGGGTCAATTTTTCTCAGATTCCAAAGGGGTACCAACACAGTTTTCGGGCGATTTTCCCGAAATGACATTTTCTTTCAATTTTGAAAGCTATAGATCACGGATCAAGTCAGAGGTTATTCTCCACCGATGGTGAAGTCTATGGATCTTGTTCTCCACTGATGATTAAGTACATTAAGTTACAATTTGGGAGAATTACTTTTAGGATGACATTTTTCGTAATTTTTTAGACAATTTTTTTTTCGAAGGGCTATTTTACATGCATTTTGAAGGCTACAGATCACATATTCGCTTGAGACTATTGTTCAAGGATGATTAAGTCCATTAAGCACTGATTTGGGCGGATTTATTCCGGGTCAATTTTTGTCAGATTCCAACGGGGTACCATCACAGATTTCGGGCGATTTTCCCGAAATGCCATTTACTTTCGATTTTGAAGGCTACGGATCATGAATTCTGCCCGAGGCTATTGTCCACTGATGGTGAAGTCTATGGATCCTGTTCTCCACCGATGATAAAATCCCTTAAGCATCAATTTTGGGGAAATACTTTAAGAATGGCATTTTTTCGTAAATTTTAGGGCGATTTTTTTTTCCGAAGGGCCATTTTACTTGGATTTTGAAGGCTACGGATCACAGATTCGGTCTGAGACTATTCTTCAAGGATGATTAAGTCCATTAAGCTCCGATTTGGGCGGATTTATTCAGGGTCAATTTTTGCCAGATTCCAAAGGGGTACTATCACAGTTTTCGACCGATTTTCAAGAAATGAAATTTTATTTCGATTTTGAAGGCTACGGATCACAGATTATGGCCGAGACTATTCTCCACTGATGGTGAAGTCTATGGATCCAGTTCTCCACCGACGATTAAGTCCATTAAGCAACAATTTGAGAGAATTACTTTTAGGATAGCATTTACGTAATTTTTTGCGTGACTTTTTTTAGAAGGGCCATTTTACTGGGATTTTGAAGGCTACCGATCACAGATTTCATCTTAGACTACTCTTCAAGGATGATTAAGTTCATTAAGCACCGATTTGGGTAGATTTATTCCGGGTCAATTTTTGTCAGATTCCAAAGGGGTACCATCACAGCTTTCGAGCGATTTTCCTGAAATGACATTTTCTTTCAATTTTGAAAGCTATAGATCACGGATCAGGTCAGAGGTTATTCTTCACCGATGGTGAAGTCTATGGATCCTGTTCTCCACCGATGATTAAGTTCATTAAGCAATAATTTGGGGGAATTACTTTTAGGATGACATTTTTCGTAATTTTTTAGACGTTTTTTTTTTCGAAGGGATATTTTACATGCATTTTGAAGGCTACAGATCAAAGATTCGCCTGAGACTATTGTTCAAGGATGATTAAGTCCATTAAGCACTGATTTGGAGGGATTTATTCCGGGTCAATTTTTGTCATATTCCAAAGGGGTACCATCACAGATTTCGGGCGATTTTCCCGAAATGCCATTTTCATTCGATTTTGAAGGCTACAGATCACAGATTCTGCCCGAGGCTATTCTCCACCGATGGTGATGTCTATGGATCCTGTTCTCCACCGATGATTAAATCCCTTAAGCAACAATTTGGGGGAAATACTTTAAGAATGGCATTTTCGTAATTTTTGGGCGTTTTTTTTTTCGAAGGGCCATTTTACTTGGATTTTGAAGGCTACAGATCACAGATTCGGCCTGAGACTATTCTTCAAGGATGACTAAGTCTATTAAGCTCCGATTTGGGCGGATTTATTCATAGTCAATCTTTGCCAGATTCCAAAAGGGTACCATCACAGTTTTCGGGCGATTTTCATGAAATGAAAATTTCTTTTGATTTTGAAGGCTACGGATCACGAATTCTGGCCGAGGCTATTCTCCACTGATGGCGAAGTCTATGGATCCAGTTCTCCACCGACGATTAAGTTCATTAGGCAACAATTTGAGGGAATTACTTTTAGGATAGCATTTTCGTAATTTTTTGCGTGACTTTTTTTTCTAAGAGTCATTTTACTTGGATATTGAAGGCTACAAAACACAGATTCCACTTGGGACTATTCTTCAATGATAATTAAGTCCATTAAGCACCGATTTAGGCGAATTTATTCCGTGTCAATTTTTGTCAGATTCCAATGGGGTACCATCACAAATTTCGGGCAATTTTCTCGAAATGCCATTTTCTTTCGATTTTGAAGTATACTGATCACGGATTCTGCCTGAGGCTATTCTCCAATGATGGTGAAGTCTATGGATCCTATTGTCCACCGACGATTAAGACAATTAAGCAACAATTGGGGGGAATTACTTTTAGGATTGCATTTTCGTAAATTTTTGGTCGATTTTTATCGAAGGGCCATATAACTTGGATTTTTAAGGCTACAGATCACAGATTCGCCGTGAGACTATTCTTCAAGGATGATTAAGTTCATTAAGCACCGATTTGTTTGGATTTATTCTGTGTCAATTTTTGTCAGATTCCAAAGGGGTACCATCACAGATTTCGAGCGCTTTCTCGAAATGCCATTTTCTTTCTATTTTGAAGGCTACAAATCACGGATTCCGCCCGAGGCTATTCTCCACTGATGGTGAAGTCTATGGATCCTGTTCTCCATCGACGTTTAAGTCCATTAAGCAACAATTTGGGGGAATTACTTTTAGGATGGCATTTTCGTAATTTTTTGTGCAATTTTTTTTTCGAAGGGCCATTTTACTTGAGTTTTGAAGGGTACAGATCACAGATTCGGTCTGAGACTATTCTTCAAGGATGATTAAGTCCATTAAGCACCGATTTGGGCGAATTTATTCCGGACTAATTTTTGTCAGATTCCAAAGGGGTGCCATCACAGATTTCGTGCGATTTCCCTAAATGCCATTTTCTTTCAACAAAATGAAACACACCTAGGATCTCAGATCGCAGGCTCTGATACCATGTCAAAATATACTAAAAACAAAGGAACACCAAGGTTTTTTAACGTGGTTTCGTCAATATGACACTAGTCCACGGTGAGAATCTCCCTCATAGGTTTTTTTGTTTCTTATTGCTTAATTACCTCTCTACAAGTTACACAGGTAATATATATAGGTTTAGAACCCTAAACCTGGATATTTACACATTGGTACTTTATAATATAAATTAACAAGTTTCACTACTATACTTGATAAGATTATAGATTATAAAGAGATTGAGAAGTATATATAGTACTTCTTCATGTGGCCTAACTCGATCTAATCTAATATGGTAAAGAATAAGCCCATACATCGTAAGACTATATACAAACCAGATCAATAACAGAAACCAAAACGTGTATAAGCCCATACATCGTACATGGATAATCCGATTCAAGTCATACCAAACACCAATATTAACCGTTATCTTAAAGCACATGACAGGCATGACGGGGCCGTGCAAAGTTTCAAACTCATGAATTAAGACAAGATGTTTGAGTAAGTGGTGAAAAATCCAGACATGGATTAACTTTTACGTCTTCAGCAATCAGCATTAATAGACCAAGTCAGATTTCGTCTATATATATTGGGGAGCTCTGCTGGTGTTAACGTATGACGTTTTGGTGACAGGAGGGGCGGCGGTGGCCGGCGGCAACATGATAAGTACGTAGCAGCATGTCACTTGATGAAGAGTGGGCAGTAAAATATTGGCCGGCGGGAGGATATGAAGTTGGTCACAGGCCTCTGTGGTATCAGCATGGGTTGTTATCAAAGAATGGGTGATGACACAGGATGGAGAATAGGAATGGTGATTTAGATTTGATCCGTTCTACTTGACTTGTTCGGGCTGTTTCAGAGTGATATGGGTATGGTTACACTACTCGATTTTTTTATTCGTTTGTCTCTCGACCCATTCTGTGTAACTATATGTAATTTTTTTACTTAACATTAATTTACCTTTTTTTACTCAACACATGAAATCCGGTGTTGAGAGATCACGTTCTTATATTATTATATACATCGCTGCCCACGGCGGTGCCGGTAGTACATTTAGAGAAGGTTTATGTACGATGCTATGGGAATTTCCCTTAAAGGTTTATCATTAATACGAGCTAAGACGTCTGTCTTTTACTATAAAAAAGAAATTGGTTCGCGATATATGTATATTGTGTAATGAAATCGCAAGCAGACTTGAGTGGGGTTTTTTAAATTTTAATAACACAAATTTTGTAATGTATTTAATGAATTTTGAGTTGATTGGATACTCAGGTGGTGAGCTAACATGTAACATCTATGAGATTATTATGAGGTTCTAAATGTGAAGGATCATACTAAACCTTATATACGTAATTAATTTTGTTGTCCCATTCTTTTTTTTTTTTCAAGTGGTGGACTAGGACCCCTCTCCTTAATACCTCCCTCTGCCGCTCTATGTAATCCACTAGTTAAGATCTATGTAGCATCCAATATACAACTACATAGATCTTGTTACATTCCATGACAGCTGAATAAATAAACTAACTTACAGAGAAACTTTGGCCACATAAACAAGTTGCAGCGCCTAAAACCATGGCTCAGGGCAATAATAGTACAGGGAAAGTTAAGAACACTGGACACTCTTGCTTTCTGGTCCTCTTGAATAAGATTGATCACAGGCATTCCAACAAGTCAAAGACAGCCAAGACTAATTGCAGACGAAAGTTTCATCCAATGGCGCCATCCTTCTGAACAACACGAGCAAGCCTTTCAAGCTTCACCGCCTTCTGCTTCCTAACACGGGAGGGGGTCTTTTAATTAAGCCAGCCACTGCATAAATTCTTTCTTCTGAGAATCCAGCCACTCCATAATTCTCTCTTTGACAGTCCAGACACTGCATAAATGGGATGAAAAGGTAATATTAGCAACAAGTTCCTGTGCATCCCTTTACTATTACTAGTGTTCGGAATACAAGTTGGGTTTGCAAGAACATCAGACTTCTCAAGCGATTAGAGACAGGCATGCAAAGTAAGTGTTTGTGCTACTCAACAAAAGACAACTTCCTTTTTTAGGAGGGACTAGAGTTCTTGATGTGGTTGCTGACATGTTGTTTTCTAGGAGAAACTTCTTTCGGACTTTATCGGCGAATTCCTAAACCCGAAACACAGATGCAAGCAAATGCAGAAAACAGAGTAAACATTTGTACAAGCATGAGTAGATTATTACCGTTTGTTCCAGTCTCAAAACACTCAAAAATGTAGGTGGAGCAGATGTATGCCTAAGTGAAATTAGGTGCAGAGCACCTTGCGAGACCGAAATATTCCAGCTACCCATGGGGAGTCGAGAAGCGTTAAATCGGATGGGAGGTACATCAAGGCGAAAGGGATTAAACCCAGCAATTACTGGATGAAACCCCAAAACTCTGGAATTCATACAGAACCAAAACAACCCTCCGTTGCACGATGTAGAAACTACATTAAGATTAAACCATAAGAGATGCTCATTAAGAACAAGAGCCTCCTTCGTCCACTCTCCAGACTCGGAACAAAACACGTCTATCCTTATAGAATCGGGCAAGGGATATATACAGACCACCCGAAACCGATATGCAGAGGAATAAACAAATGGTTTTTGGCCATCTCCTAGATCAAGTTCAACATTAGAGCAGGGTTCACAAACTAACCTTGCCTCCTTAAATCCAATCGCAGAAGACCGCCACGATTCAGGCGCTAGAGGAAGAGCGATCCACTGCTCCGTAAACGGGTTGCAGAGGAAGAGAGATCTCGGATATTCGGCACGAAATCCCCTTGCCTCGGTAAATCCGCACAAAACCAAGTCCTTGTAGGAATCAAAAACTCGGAAATACCATCGTTGTTCGCAACAAAATTTATCAGGCAGGGGGAGGAAGCTCAAAATGGATTCGCCGAAGCATGAGGCCATCAAAGGTGGTTCTTCGAATTCGCCGCCGCCGCCGTATCGGTTCCATCTGCTCTGGTGGTGAGAAATGAAACGGCCAACAAAGTGGGGATCGGAAATCAGAGACTTCCATCGCTTGCAGACTGCTTTGCATCGCCAGGCGGATTTGGGTTCCGGGAGGCGAATCAGAACTTCTGCCAGGAGATCGTCACCGAGATTGCTGATCGGAGAAGGAGGGTTTACTTCTTCCGAGTCATCGACCCGCCGTCGTTTCCTGGACGCGCAAGGGAGAAGACCTAATCTTAGCTCCAGATCCAAATCTGGGTAGGATGTGCAGTTCTCGCTCGCCATAGCGGCGGTAGAACTTACAGGATGGACACGAAGATTAGCACGCCGACGGTGAAGGAGAAAGTATGCGGTGCCGGTGGTAGATGAGAATGAGAAAGCGATTTGAAACTCCGATTAATAGACATATATAAATGGTAATATATGAAAGCCGAATCTAGTTTGGATTAGGAAAGCCTATTACTTTGTTCTCTTCGGATTGAGACTACAGGCCCCCAATTAGAAACCTGTCTAATTCAACCTGTAAAGCCAAAGTCTGTCTCAGTCTCAGGTCAAAGCAAAAAGTTGCTAGCTTGATCAACAGATCGGTTTGATGTGATTTATGTCGCCTGTTACAGCTCAAGTTCCTCAGGAACCAGAGCAGCAGCCTTAGCCCTTTTGTACAGCAGGGTATACTCTTGCTAGAGAGCTCAAGACAATCAGCCATTTCTCTAAAGGAATATGTTATCATAGCAAGAAAAAGCCAATATTATTTGGTACGTACTGTTGAAGTTTGACATGAATTCGTATTGCATCTGTATAGCTATCTGAACTCTCTTCCGTTGTTGGTCCCCGAGTGCCTGCTTTACAAAAGATGAATTGTTTCTTGAACATCACTGTCTTAACAACAGAAGCAATACCAGGGTACAGATTGTCGAAACCAACTGATACGACCTCAATAAACCTCGAGCTGGAAAACCCTGCATCAATGAGTATAACCCAGGAGGCGATAAGCTAATGAAGACATACAAAGACTGGACTGCATTCAGAAACTAGGAGTTCTAGGTGTGGTCAGTATGGGGAATGAAGAGAAGCAAACCGAGAAAAAAGGGAAGTTGAGTGTTTACCTTCAATGACAGAACTATTGAATCAGCAGAAGAAGATTTAAGCCCTTTGTACCCAACATCATAGGCAATGCTCCCATCCGGCTTAAAGAGGCCGAAATTCCTCTCAGAAGTCGGACCAGGCTTCTGATTCTCGTTAAAAGTAGCAAAAACATATGCCTTCACCACGTTCTTCGGCCTCCTAGGAGTGCCTTTCTTCTTTGCCAGCCTCTTACGCAGGTTAAAATTGTAAATCCTTGCATTCTCTGGGGTTGCAGCAGCTTCATTCCCGTCACCTTTAGAAGCCCACCCCGTCTCTGTCACTATAACTTCCATCTTGTCGAACCCTGCATCTTCCAGAGCAGCATACGCAGCATCTATCTGGGCATCAAGCATGTTATCATAGTGCAGCTCAGTCTTCGGATCGAAGATCCCTTTCGTCTTCTGGAAAAGTGCGTAATTAATGTCGATGCTTGCCGGATCGTTCATGTAGTCGAGGAATGGGTATGCGTTCAAGCAGAACGGGGATCCTGCTTCCGAGAAGAACTGCAGCAACGACTTCATGTACTGAGCAATGTTCTCCCGGAATACACACGAGGAAGGAGGGTAGGAGTTGGAGAAGACGGCCTGCGAGTGAGCTGTGGAGACTTGAACTGCATCCGATAACCCGAGCTGGCTTAGAGCGCTGTGGATGTTCTTGACTGCACCTAAAAGAGCACCATAGAGCTCGGCATCGCTTCCTCCTAAAACTTCATTTCCTATTGCCACGCCACATATTCCTGGCATGAATTTCTGGACGTTGTCTTTGACCCAGCTCAAAGCATTGCTTGCATTGCTGCTCATGTCTTTGATAAATCCATTGGGAAGCCCGATCACGAGCTTGAACCCTGCTCCACTGAATGCAGTGAGCACGCTGTGGTCAGCATCAAAGATACGAACATTACGTATCTTTGCTGACCGGAGAAGAGTGACCACTTTGTCGGGGGATGGAATGTTGTCAGCGAGTCTTCCATAGTTTATTCCGTATGTTCCGACGAATGCTGGGTCTGATAGTGATGCTGCAGCACATGAAAAGAGAAAATCGACAACAGTAACACATTAGACACTGAATGGTGATCTAGAGTGAGGCAAATATGGTAAAGAACAGAAGCAGAAAACGTTAGGCAAAGCCCTTAAATAGCTAGGAAGAGATTAGGGCCTTGGAGAATCAATCCACATATTTGGGACTCCATTTATGGCTATCCAAGTGGACAGAATCGTCATATTTTCTTCAATAGAAGGAATTTAAGCTCAATTCCACCGCTGAATTCGCTCATCGATGACCCAATTGTCCCTAGAGCAATCTAGTTGAGTTTTCTGAAGCTGTGTTTGGAATTGTGTATCAGCAACTTTGACTTGCTAACTAAAGAGCAAGTGAAGCTTATCAAGACAAGTAGACTGTCACACAAAGAGCAATTAGACCTCAAATTGACATGAGTCAACAGGATTTCAAACTATCAAGAACAGAAAAAAGATTGATTCAGAAGGAAGATAGCGAGGGAAAACCAAGCTCAATCCACCAATCAATCACCAAAAGAACACAGAAGACACAAAGCAATCGTGATCACGAATTCAATCAATCTATGTACAGAGAAAATCTAGGATCAATCATGTTGAAGAGTAATCATACTACCAAAAGTAAGCAAGTAAAAAATTCAAAAAGGGGGGGAGCAGCTGATTACCCATTGGACCAAAGAAGAGCAAGAACAGAATAAATCCAAGTTTATGGTGCTGACTCATTGCAACTATACTGGGATTCAGAAAAAAGAAACTGATCCTAAGTTTCAACTTCAACTGTTGAGGAGAAAGATCTTTTGAGCACAAACCCAGAACCCAAAACAGCTGCAGCAATTCTTCTTCTCCCCCACTTTATTCCTTCTCCTCGTGTGCTGCTGATTGTGGTAAGGTGGTGATGGCATTCCATACGAGTAGATAAAAGAAAAGATTCCAACTTTCACTCTCTCTTCCACCAGCTCAAATCACAAGGAGAATTTCACCTTGGTCTTCCCCATCAGCTGGGTTCTGTGCTTTCTTTTCCCCCTTTACCTAATCTAATCTTCCACTACCCCTCTCTCTATCTCCTGAGATCCTGATCTTTCTGTCGACGTGATATTCCGAAGGCCCAAAAAGGGCATAACTAAGAAATTTGTTTATGGCGGTCGTTTTCTCCTGTGGGAAGGAAAATCGGGAAGATGGGGGAGAGAAAGAGAGGGTTTTGGGCTTCGGGGTCTGAACTTACTCTCTATTTAATTCTGGTGGGTTGAAGTTATTAGCGAGATTGATTAGTGAGTTAATTACTTATTAAATTGTCGTTTCCAAGTTTTTAAATATATTTTCATCCAGACGTCGTATGGTAATTGAATTTAATTTTTTCAGGTTCCCTTTTGTGTTGATGGGCTATGTCGGATTGGTATAAAAATGGTTAATTTTCATACGAAATGGATGAGTTACTTCTAATCACTAGTGTGCAACCTCGCAACACATTACACATTCAAGTGCATCTCGATGTGGTTTTATCATCTCAACTATTGTAGCTACTCGTAGTTGTACAACATGTTTAAGTGCATTTGTGATATATTTTATGTCATTCAAATTTGGGTCCGAACATTTTCCTCTCTTCTCAACTCCTACTTTCAAGTTGGATGTGAAGAGACCCGTTTTACCACTCGTTAAGCAAAGTTAAAAAAAATTTATTTGAGCTTATCTCCATTCAAAAGTCGAATAGGATTATACCGACAAACGGTGACACATGATCGGGTTCACACTTATATGACTATTTTGAATATTGACTATTTTTAATGGAAGAAGAATAGTTTTGATATCTAATTTATGGGTGTGCATTTTAGGATGCTTTTTCATTATGGGGCCTTATTTCTTTGATGAATCATCATTGAGCTTTAGTCAAGGTGATGAATGTGACAAAATTAATAACGCGTGGAGCCCAATCAACTTCATTGTACAATGACAATGGATGATGCATTAGTTCACACACCAACCCCTCTTTTGTCTAACCTAATATTCATTGTTATAATTTGTAAATAAATATTTAGGATTTGATTAGTTGCAAAGTGTTTCGATCCCATAAAGAAACAATTAGGGATAATTAATAATCTAGAGTATACATTAATTAATTAGGTGACTCAACCCCTCTTATTTCTTAATGTTGGCAGCTTAGAAGACAAAAATCTTATCACCCTAAACTAAATGATTGTTTTATTAGTTGAAAACTAAAAGAAGCCATGAAAAAATATAAAAAATGTTATTTTAACTACATTACTCTTAGCTGTTTTGTAACACTCACTTAAACATATAAATAATACTATTGCTTTGTCCACTTAATTATCACAATTTATGCTTTGGCTAGTAGGTGAAGGAACCAACCTACTTGATCAATGCCTATAGAGAAAAGTGACCTAAAACGAAATTTTATTAATTGAACAATGAACCAAAGGAAAGGAAAGAAGGATATAACTAAAAAAGAATTCAGATGTCAATAATTTTTGATGAGTATACTCTTTTTATATATTATTTTCGTAATTTAGGTGAGACGTACTATCCATATTAAAACTTGTTCATATGCGGGTTCGAGATAGATCCACCTCTTGAATGATTTACGGATGATTAAAGTATTACTTGTTATATATACGAATCTGAGTGGTTTTGGTACACAAAATACTTAAAAATAGCGATTCATAAACATTACCACTACCACCATGGACGGTTTCGGAGACAAAAGTTACCCATTATTTGTCAAATTTTCTTTGTTATTGGAAATTTGGAATTCATTTGATACTTAAAATACCAATCCGAGCATCACCGTCAAGACCTTATCCTCTCAACAAGACAAACTTCCCACCTCTCCAGCCTCAACTCATATAAGGATTCGAAATTTGTCCTCCAAACAAAACAATAAAAACCCAAGAAAAAAGAAATTCTCAGAACAAGAATGGCAACTCCATTCCTCTCAACAGCAAACACCTTCCTCTCCCCATCTCACCCTTCCCCAACATCTCAATCACCATTACCTCATTCCTCATCTTCTTCACTAGCAGTTCTACAGCCCTCGAGGACAGCCAAGAAGCTCCCCAATTTATGCAGAGCTTCCAATGAATCCTCATCAGCAGCAGAATCCCCTGATGTAGTGACCAAGAGGAGAAGCTTAGCGATTTGCCTAATCACTGGCCTTGCTTTCTCATCACTGCCCAATGCAGCAGACATGACTACTTCTTCTGCTCATGCTGCTATACTGGAAGCTGATGAAGATGATGAACTCATGGAGAAAGTGAAGCTGGACAGGAAGAGGAGGATTGAGAGGCAAGGGGTTCTCAACTCTGCCAAGAAAGAAACTGGTACCCTTTCTTTCTTCTAAGTTAATTGACCCTTACCCATATGTGGAGTGAAGTAAAGTTTTGATCTTTGATGGTTGTGTTAGTAATTTGTTGCTTCCAGATTGAGTGAACTGGATGTTGAATTTTGTGACAAAGGGGGTTTGAACGTTTGGCAGGGTATTTGCAAGATGTGGTTTACAATCTGAGTAAAGTAGGCCAAGCTATAGAGAACAGTGACCTACCTGCAGCTGGTTCAGTTCTTGGCAAAGGGACCAATGCTGATTGGGTTCAAAAGGCCAATGTAGCCTTTGCCAAGGTATGTAGATAATGATTAATGAGAAACCCACTTCACAATTTTGAATGCTTCCTTTTTACCAAAAGCATCTTCACTCACTAGTTGGTTCTCCTTCGATGCTAATGCAGTTGAGCTCGGGCCCTGAAGAGAAAACCGAAGTGGACACCTTCAACTCCTCCCTAGCTTCATTGATTTCTTCAGGTGGGTTGTGTTTGCTGATCATGAGAGTAGAAGTTAATCGAATCAATATGAATCCTTTCAGATTAAACAATCCTTTGTTGTGATTCTTCTGCAGTCGTTGGCAACGACATCGAATCCTCGAAAGTCGCCTTCTATGCATCAGCCTCAGCTTTCGAGAAATGGACCACCTTGACTGGCATAATTACACAGCTCAAAGGGCTCTGAATATGGCAAAACACACAAATTGGCATCGTCATTTTCTAATTGTCCATTCATTCAAAAGGGCAATCCTTTCCAATTGCGACTTGCGAGCATTGACTGTATGTGAAGAGCAACCGAGTCTTCCTGTATCTGCATTTTATACTTCTCCGATTTTGAGAAAGTTGTAACCTCCGGCTAGAACTTGTTTGAGTTACAAAGTTCGGCTCTACTTCTTCAGTAGGTAGTAATGTAAAAGTTTCTCACCTGAAAAGGTGAAAAGTTAAATTCCCACAGAACGCCTTGCGTAGATTGTGTAGGTAAATTACTCTGAATCAAATCACAAGCAATGGATGTATGACCAGCATTAAATCTCTAGTACAGAGCTTATTCCCACAACAGCAGTACATAGCAGTAAACCGACAGCATACAACTGTTACAATTCTTACTACAGGCTAACAAGTTGTGTCTGTCTTTCTTTCTACTTAAGTCTCTCCCTGAGGAGATTGCTACAATGCACACCTAATCTGCAGTTATATCACACCACTGTCTGAATGAACAATCAGAGAGCTGATGATGCTAACTCCTTACAACATCACGACTACTACAGTCATCCAAAATACTCACAAATGCCTAAAATGGTCAGGGGGAAATAAAGGGGTGGTGTAATACATTAACAAAAGAACAACCACCAAATGAAAGTCCTTCAACAAGGAATTTCATCATCAGGTAGCAGTAGCTGTAGCTGCAGCAGTAGCAGCATGACTGCCGTTCTCAACTGATGCTCCTTCGACTTTCTCAGTTGGCTGGCTGGTGGTTGTCTCATCCGGTTTCTCAGCAGTCCCATTTGCTGCCGCCGCCTCTTTGTCCTTGGTGGACTCTCCTTCAGGTGCCGGTTCCCCTTTGTTGGTTTCTTCTTGTTTCTCCACCCCTTCAACTTCAGTTTTCTTCTCCTCTGCAATAGTTGCTGCTGCCTCAACCTGTGGTTGCTCTTCCTTTTCCTGAGTTGTCTCAGCCTCAGCATCAGTCTTCTTTTCACTTTCATTCTCAGCCACTGCATCAGAGATCCCCTTCTGCTGATCTTCAGCTACATCAGCTTCCTTCTGGGGTGGAGCTCCATCAGCTGCATCCATCTTTGCATCGGGATCTTGTGCTTTTTCTTCACCCTGTTCCAGATTTTCCTTAACAGCATTTTCTTTGTTTTCTGCCTCGGTATCGTCCTTCCCAGTTCCTTCGGCTTCCTCCATATTGGTGTCTTTGGCCTCCTCAGTTGCTTCATTGCCAGTTCCTGTGTCTTTAGTTTCCTTTTTGGCACCTGATGATGACCTCTTGCCACGCTTCTTTGGGGGCTCCTTTTGAGGAGATGGGGTTGCCTTTACCTTCTCACTGATCCTTGCTGACCGCCTTGGGGTCTCACCAGTGCCCCAATCAAAGTCAGATGCAGCTGGGCCACCAGGGTGTGCCTTGAGATACTGTTCTAACTGTCTTCTACCAGTGATTTCCTCCCCAGTTGGGGCAATGAATGAGATTTCACTCTTCTTCTTGGGGAAGAACTGAAAAGTCAACAAAAATAAGTGGAAGTGTTATGTGCAGCACAAACTCCATTCATGATCATGTATTCATGTTACTGCATTATCAATCACCACCGTCATAGATGTGCCAGGATGAGGTAGCGATTTAAACTGGTGAATGAAAATCAACTTTGAATAAACTCAGAAAGAGGATTTATATGACGAAAAACCATAGAAAAAGGCAGAATAGAGTCAATAGTCTTTGCACAGCTACAAGTTAAACATCCTTTGAATAAAAGCACGAAAAGAATGATATGAGGGTAGGCTACCAAGTTTATAACATATATGGAACTCATAACAAAGAAATACATGTGAAACATGTTTAAAAATCTGTAAATGTATGCAGAAGGTTTATAAAGTTTTCTTGATATAGAAGTTCAGGTTAATCATTCAAAGTATAACAAGACAGACCCGTCAGGAATCAAACAGTCAAAAAAAGAGAGAAGAAATCCAGATTGAAATGCTGAAAAGATCAACGTTTACGCCAAGCAAAACCAAAATAAATATTAATTTCTGTCATTTGACAGAGGGCATCGGTAACAGTGAGACTCATCATCCGAACAAGATATCTGCGCATGATTGTCTTAAGGTACTGCTACAACCCCACAGGGCCAGTGAATGAAGAACTGTCATTAGCATCACAAACATGCCATGTTGAGCTTTTGCCTCCTAGTTTCTAATTTGTCAATAAGCAATATAAGCTCCTTATTTGTTTTGGAAATCTAGGTCATTCGCAGATTATAGATGCAGAATCTAATCAAGGCATCGGATAAGAAAAATTACAGAATATATCATTGAGGTCAAGAAACACAACTACAGCTCCAACTTCATATATGTAAACAACCAGCGAGGAAGCTAATCCGCAGTTTGCGAACACAGTTCTCTAGCCCCTAGTTCAAATTGGGTAAATGGATGATCTTAACACCTTCTAAAGTCCTACACAACGTCCCACCAGAAAAAAAGTCATGGGCAACTAGCATTGTTGATTTGAGTACCTCCAACCATCAGACCATCCCTAGAATGAAGTCATCTTTGTATTCCAACCTTTTTCTTCCTCTTGTTCCTACTACTATTTCATAAGCTCTACGCAAACAAACAATGAAGCACTTATCATATATGTCACCCACATCCCCAGTATAATTGCTATAACTACGCAGCGAGTTCAGCCTCTTTTCTCCTTAGCTAATTGTTCTGCAGAGCACTGGGCAGTTCAAATCTTATTGAAGCTAAAACTTTACGTCTTACACCACCAATTCACTCAAAGTGCCAAACCATACCCTAAAGCCACAGCAGCCGACTAACTGACCCTAAATTTTCAAGGTTTCCCCAATACTGTTTTTGTTAATCCATCCAATTCACAAAAATCCTGGTCATCCCCTAGTGAGATAGAATATTTAGCATCTTCAACTAGATATGCATTGGCAAATTACTCTTGTGAAAGGAAGAGAGCAAAAAGATAGAACTTTTACTATAATTAGCACCCTGCAAATAGCTAAATGGATACGGGAGTGTACCAGAACAAATTCAGGCACAAAACGTCAAAAGCCAAAGGCTTCTCCTAGCCCCTGAACTAAAAAGCACTAACATGTATAGTTCGTTTAACCTCCAAAGCTCTCACATTGCCATAACTATCTCCCAGTTGCAACAAGCATCCCTGTGGCAAATAAACCCCTCAATGGAAACCATCAAATTTCAAGCCAAAAAAAGGGGGTCTTTCATTCAAGCCAAGACCTAGAACAAGTGAACAACCCTAATTCGCCCCCCCCAAAAAAAAAAAAAAAAACCTAATTGGCAAAACATGGGAGAAAGGGAGGAAACCAAGTACAGTAGGAAGAAGCGGCATAGTTATTCTCACAGAACCACTCCCAACAACCCCCCACATACAACCGAATGAAACCCTAATTTTCTAATTGCCCACACAGTGAGCCAGCTGAATTGAAATTTAAGATACAAAACCCAGAGAAGCAAATTCATAGTAACAGAGAGGGGAAATTGAAGAAGCAAAAGAGGTTAAAGAGAGAGAACCATCTTCTTCCAGCCGGAAGGAGCAGGGAGCTCGACCGAGAAACCCTCGTCCTGGACAAGAGTATTGATCTCTTCCTTCTTCTCCGCCGAGTTCGCCATGTCGGTTCTCTTGCAAACCCTTTTTCACCTAACTTCCACCCACAAAGCACCAAAGCGAGAAATTAATAAGAACCCTTTCGAACCTGCACCACCCAGAGAAGTGGTAGCTAGAGATGGGGATAGAGAGAGAAAGAAGATATAGAGAGAGAGAGTTCAATTTTACCCACCAGAAAACTGCACGCAAAGAAACACACACAAACAGAGAGAGACCCTCAAAAAGGATATTTCGAGAACAACACTAGCGCACAAGCAGATGCCACACAAGCTCAGCTGAGTGAGCCAAACCCGGAAAACAATAATAAATAAAGATTTAATCTTTTTGATAAAAAAAATAAGAACAATATATGAAGTAAGCTTTAGCAGAGCAGAAGAAGGACTGAAAGCAGAGGAGTTATTCTGTCTCTTTCTGGGCTTTATCCGTTTGATTTTCCCATTTTTGTCTTCTCTTTTTCCTATTTTCCCCCAAGGAGAAAAAAAAAACAGAAATAAATTGAATGGTGAAGGCGAGATGTCGGGAGGAGGACACTTGTCGCCATCTCCACGGCCGGTCCAACGGTCGGGATTTGTGCTTTCTTATTTCGTCGGTGACCGTTCGCTGCCGCAGCGTAGCTTTTATTGAAAAACTTGAACTAAATTAAATAATATATAAAAAGAGGAATATTAAAATAATCCTATTGGATCGAAAAGCTTATGTTAGCCAATCAGCTGCCGAGAAATTTCCAAGTAATTATAATTTTTTTCTTTCAAGTGTAGGTTTGGGCCATTTCGAATGCAACATGGGCTTACGGATTCGTTTTGGTCCGTATACAGCCTCCGGTGGGCTGGGCTTTATCTCCATTTCTCACCGAAATCCATCAATCATTTCAATTCCAAAGCCGCCAAAGGGAATACGATAGAGCAAACCGTGGTCCAGGGTGGCCCGTTGCCAAGAAGAGGCCCAAGTACACTAGTTACATTGCGTGGTAGTGGGCTTTTGAGTAACGTAAAAGGCATATGGCCCATAGGCACATGGAGTGGAGCTTGAGAAGGGGCAATGTCCAACATGGTGTAATGTTGAAGAAAGAGGGGGTAGTGTTGAAGGTGTGTAGATAATTAAGAGGAGAGATGAAAGCACAAAAGAAGCTCTTGTTTTGGAAGAAGAAGAAGAAAAAAACGTGTTTGTGTTGGCCAAATGAAAGCATGTTCGAGCTTAGATCGTTAATATGACACGATGTTAATTGGATTTGCAGGGCAAATGACATCCACCTCTCGCACCTAGCGTTGTACAGCAAAGACTGATCACAAGTGGCAGTCGATTCTTAGAGGTCGAAGAGAATACAATCTATAATACTTATGTGCTTAGCAAGAAATTATATACATAGTCATGAAAATTACTAGGGTTGGTATAACCAGAAATCTCGAGTCATGTTTAAGTCTGCGAGCAAAAGGTTATAAGGCGAATGCATGCCTGCTACTACAAACTCTTAGCCACCTTCGATTATCGAATGAAACTTCGATTTTTTTTTTTTTTGCTTGCTTAATAGATAACGCACTCTGCTGGCTCTTCTTTTCCCTCAACTTGATTTAAGCGTTCGAGAGTCACTTTACAAACCCTCAGACATTCCACATGTTATGCATCCATGTATGTGGACAATATGTAGCTAGGGAAAGTTAGGCAATGGGGATGGAGAGAAGAGAAGCTATATGGATAGTTTCAAAATTTAGATGCTAAGTCCAACATCAAGAGCTTTTTTGTAGGTGACTAGGTGAGACAAACAAATTGACCATGCCACATCTCTAGGTCTTATAACTTGAATATATAGCTAAGCTAACACAAATATATGAATATGCACGCATCCTCTTCTTGACTCATCACCGTCGATCATTAATGCACCCAATTAGCTATTCCATCTACAATGAAGTTTACATAACGGATAACCTATCCACTTCTCCATCTACATGCCTAATTGGTAGGCAGGGCTGTCAGTTCGGTTTTGGGTTTTCGATTTAAACTAAAGTTGAACCGATAAGGTGTTTTTATCGGTTAAAATCGAAATGATAAGAAACTGAAAATTTCAACCACGATAAACAACCATTGCACAATATGTTTGATTTTTAGTTCCATGAAACCATGTCGAACAATTAAACCACCTAATGGTTTGGTTCGATTTCAAGGGAGGGGGCTTGCTTCGATTTCTTGGTTTCTAGAATTACGATTAGGTTTAACAGGAAAAAATCTCGATATCCCAGTCCTATCAGTAGGTTCGTTCGATCAAGCTGATAGCTGGATGGTTACTACGATTTAAGAGTTAGGATCAACTATGCATTTTTTTAGCTTTTGGGTATGTGACAAGACACACAATATGCTGTCCATGTCTAGCTAGTTGTATAATAACTTAACTAGGTAAAGTGATCACGAGGCAACTATATATATAGCGACGTCTATGACTTATAATAGTTTGAAAGAAACTATATATCTCATTTGATCAGTTGGTATGGAATACAGTTGAACCCAAATGGCCAAATGGGCTTTAAGCTAGTCTCTTTTGATTCCATATGAGGAAAAAACGACATTTCATCCCATATTTGCGTATCTTCTTCTGTGTGGATCGGCTCCTTTGCAAAAAGGTTGAAATGACATTTCATTCCAATATCATCAATAAATTAACATGTCATGCATTTTTTATTGTTTGGATCGATTACATAAGCGATCACTCGTGTGTTGGAGTTGCTAGTGTTCAAATCTCAACAAATTGGACACTAATTGCTCTACTAACTAACCGCGCGATCAGTTATTTCGTTGAGTTTCCATCCATCTGCAGCCTAAAATTACTGCATAGTCAAGACATGTCGTCAACAAAATTTAATGTAAGAAATCTCACGTGACTCGTTATACCAAACCCCAAGCCACTTGACCGACGCCCTGCCCACCGATCCACACTAACCGATCTACAATAATCGTATTGTTAGTTTTTCATATTTTCATGACCGTTGTAGTACTCTTTTATTGTTATCTTCCCATAATTTTTCGATCCCTCTTTACATATTTGAGTGTCTGCATGGGCTTGTCGTCTCTCCCTTTTACTTCCTTTCCTTTTTCAAGCATATGTCGTTTCTGGGAAAACAGTAATACAAATCTATCACCATTCATCCAACCCGGCCGACACGGACCAACAACCGTGGGAGTCAATGACCATACACAACAGTTCCAAAATTGACTAATTTCGTTTTTCTCAGTGTTGGTAACCAAGTGATCATATAGGAACGTTACAATTAGTGGTTCACGGTCCAATTCGATTCTAATAACATCGCCAGAATTTTGTTCACGAGTAGTCATCGATTTCGCGAGTTATTATCACGAAAACTCGACGTGTGTTCTTAATTATCACAGGAAGTCCAAACTAAGTACGTTGATAATTAAGCTATGCGTAATGAACTTGTCTCCTAATTAGCAATTCGTGCAAGGTACGTACATTTTCCTGTCGATTCATATAGACTGTGTGTTGCACATGTAGATGCGCTTGTTTAGGGAGACAACATTTACAAATTTCCCCATCATGGGATGTAGGCTCTGCTCGGAAAGTGTAATTTCCCCCCAAGTGTGGGAGATTCATGGTATTTTGTTCTTTTATTATGAGTTGCTTGTTGAGGTTCATGAACCCATTTGACCAAATCGATTCATCGTTATGATACATCGTGAATCGGGATTGAGGATCTTATTGTGTCATTATCATCGTTTCGACGTTAAACGATCGTATGATCCAGAGTTGTGAAAGTCTTAAAAAAAGAAATATTTATACCTTGATGAGAAGCAGGCAGTCAATTGATAAGATAAATAAAAAGAAGGCAATGTCTAATGAAGGAGAATTTTAGGTTAATAGTATAAATTGCTCATCGATCTACTACATTTGTGTTCTACACTCCTCCTCGTCCATTAATGGCGAGCATAGGTAAGTAGTCTTCACATACGTTGGTCCCCGTCGGCATTGAAACACGATAAACTTCCAGATAGATTATCACACCAAAACAAGAGGTAAAGTTAGAAAACAGTTATATCGAAGACGAGCTACGTTTTCGTACCGTAGTGAAAGGCGGTGGTTAACAATAAATGGGCGTTTAGCAAAACAAGAAAATGGTGGTGGGGGATGGCCATGGCGATTAGAATTCATTGCGGAGCAGACAAGGAAAGGGACAGAAGCTTGAATGGGCAAATCCCAAGTACTCTACTGATGATAGATCGCCAAGTTGGGTAAGTAATCGCCAAAGTTGAGATCCTAATAATATTTCTCGACCGCTTTCTCCCCATCTTCTCCTTCGAGCCGTGGCAATTTGATACTAGTTTTGTAATGGACAAGCAAATTATGATGGTGTAGTTGCAATCTTCAAGTTCAAATGGGCTTTTGTGAAATGTCATGCAAAAGAATAATGATTGTAAGATATAATCTTACCAATTCAAATCACTGAGACGATTATAAACATGATACTGGAGCATTTAGTCAAGAGGTAATCGTTAGTAAATGATATAAGATTTATAATTAAAAAAATCTCTCAACAACTCAATTTTTTTTACCAATTTGTGTTTGACATGTACTTCTACCTACATTTGGAATTTGAGTGAGGGTCAACTTGCCTCAGCCCCTGATTCATTCCGTCCACAAACGAAAGTCCGTTGGACTTGAAGAACATTCTATATATTGGGACAACCGGGATTCAAACATATGACTTTTCGGCCAACGACCGGTAAGTCCAATTATTGGTGTAAAGGAATCATATAACTGTTTGGTTTGCTATTTTTTTCTTAATGTCGTTTGTGACATAATATTCCTTTCGTTCAACTAGTTTGCGACGTGATTTTCTTGTTTTGTTATAATTTTTTACTCTTTAATTACCCAGTAAGAGATCTACCGAAACTCTCCATGAAATTACCAGTTCTTATGTTGCATTTTGCCTAGTTAGAATCGTAACTTAACTCGATTTTGTTCTTCAATTTTGTGTTTGATCAGATCAAATTAAAGACTGTTCAATTATCGTGAATCTTTTGGTTAATGTAGCTATCCATGGAAACTTCTTTGTTTTGTTCTAGTTGTGTTGTTCCACTAGACAAGAAAGTCATCCACCAAACGAGCGATGAAATTCACTTTTTTTTTGCCATTTGCCCTAGTATTTGCTTGAAAGTAACTGTCTATTTTCATCGGTTGCATTGTTTAGTTGATCAGATTATCTGGGTTACTTTGAAATCTTTTTTATTGCAATAGTGTTTGATCTTCCTATATGGGTAAGGACGATATCTTTTGTCATTTAATTAGCTCGATTAGGGGTTTCGTGGAAATTTCTTGCTTTTTGTTGTTTGTTATCCTTGATATATGTTGTTTAGTGGATACAAAATCTTGATGTCATTGTTGCAATAGTTTTTAAACTTCCTATGAGTAAGGACGATATCTACTGTTACTTAGAATACAACTCTCAATTCTTTTGCTACTATTTGCCAAGGAAGTTTTCTTTATTTTCTTCTTTTGTTTTATGAAATCTTTTTGTTATCGTTGCAATAGTTTTTAACTTTCCTACGGGTAAGGACGATATCTACTGTTACTTAAAATAAAACTCTAAATCCTTTGGTACCTTTTGCCTAAAGGAAGTTTTTGTTTTTGTTTTTTGTAATTTTGTTCAAGTTGAACAATTAAATTTGATGTTTAATATGTGATGTAATTTTGGTTTTTTGGTGTGGGTACTTCCAATAGGCATAGAAGTTATCAACATGAATAAGTTTTGGGTTTTCTATAATCTCCTTTTGGTATGCTATTTACTCTGATTTTGGTTTGATAGTGTTTGGTATTTTGACTCAGTATATTATGTTGTTCTTATTCTATGTTAGTTTTCTTTCCAATGGTTATGGAAGTTATCAACACAAAAGTATTTTGGTTATTTTGTGATCTCCTTTTCTTCTGCCATTTTGATTAAATTTCTGGTATATAGATTCAGTACATCATGTTCTTATTCTCTGTTAATTGTTTAACTATATTTTTGGGTCATTTTCTCTAGAAGATGGGAAATAGAATCAGCTCCCTTTATTCACTTTTAAAGAAACGGTAAGGCATAGTTTGCACAATTTTAGTCTAGTTATTCCTTCTAAATCAAATATGTGGTACTTTTTAGTTTTTAGTCTTTTTTAGCTCAATTTTCCTTTTTTTCATTATGATGCATTGATTATTCTTTTCTTACTTGTATTGTAGTAAAATTGGTGAGTTGGATGAAGCTGTGAGACAAAGCGAAGTACTCAATAAAGAAAATTGGAAAGTTGGAGCTAGATATTTTAAATATTTATTCTCAATCAATGTTACTAGAGAATATATTTTAGTAGACAAAAGCTTGTGAAGAACGGAATGCTCAAGTCATTATAAGACTGAAGGTATCTTCTTATGTTCATAGTAATAATGGTAATATGGACGATAATCGAGAAGCAAATCTTTAAGTATTTATTCATTTAATGAATTAGCTAATCTTAACCGTTATGAAATATTAATTTTTTACTATACTCTATTATGCATGAATATAAGCAAGTAAATATACCATATATTAACATTTCAATACTTGACTTTAGAAATTGAATCTTCAGTGGCTATGGCATATTCCACACATTCTGATATGATTGAAGCCTATGACATTGAGATTATGAATTATAAACTTTACCTAATTATATAGAATATATGAATATAGAATAGATATTGAAAATAAAAATGGTAAAAATGGTGGAAGCAAATCATCATGTATGAAGATGATTCGAGAAGCAAGTCATTTTAAAATTTATGTAGTAAGTTGAAACTTTACTGAATTTCTAATGAAGATGATTGTCTATTATGAAGGAATTTAAGACGGTCAATATCCCAGATCTCAACATTCCTATTCCAGATCTCAAAGGCGGGGATTAAGATGAGTGTTGTTGAAGAGATGACAGAAAAAGATGTCGAGATTGAGAAAGTCTGCTCCAGTATTAATTGAAATTGATTTTATTTTACGAATATAGATTTTATTCTTTTAGTACAACTTATTGTTTTTTCTTTATGTTGATGGCTTATCTCTACTTGAATGTAATTGATGGGCTTGATGAAGTTGAGAGACATAACCAATTACTTAATCAAAACATTGGACTGTTGTAGTTATAAATTGCTAAAAAGGAATCTGACGGTGGACTACTTGATCTTACACTTCAAATGGCCATGAATAAAAAACATAAGTATGATAAGGTAGTAAAAAGGCTGAAGACCGAGCATAATGAGGAAGTTGAGGACACTGTTTAGGTACTCAAACATATGTTCGTAGAGCTAATTATGCGGGAACATATCAAACTTTCCATGGATTCTTTCCTATCGTCTTCAAGGTTGCGATCTTAAGTAGGAGAATGAAAGCTGCAATCTCTCAGCAGCAAGATTGTGAGAGGCTGATCAAGAGGATTAAAGCGGGTGATGTAAGTAATTTTTGATGAACACTAAATTCTATGATCATATATTATGGTAGATGTACTAAAATCTTCTTATCTTGGAAATTGTTAGTCTTTTAGTTAATTTTGTACATGTTCACCTTGTCTTCTATAATTTATTTTGTAGGAGAATACTGCTTTGCTACTTCCAAATCTGAACATCCCTCATAATGAGTGAGATTCAGTAGATGACCCAACTGCTCATAATGCAAACCATTTAGTCCAGGTTCTTGAATCATCATGAACATTTGGGTTTCTTTTCTAGTTGTTGTTATTTATATTATATTAACATTTTTATTATTTTTGCAGGAGGGCAATGTTCTTGATCTCAACGTCCCTGTTCCTATGGAGAATGTTAACGTTGAAATGCCACAGCTTGAAAATGCCCCTGTTGTTAATCTAGAAAATTAGTTAGTTGAGGTGGTTTGTGTCTGACTTGCATTTTTGCTTTTTCAAGTTAAATATTGGTATAAATGCCTAAACTTTATTCCTATGTTTTGTAGGAGGGTAATGTCGACATTGACATGCCTCCCTTTGAGAATGATCAGGTGGCTAATGATGAAAATCAGGTAGTCAAGCTGGTTGAATCTATTATATAGACTATTTTTTCAGTTGATATTGGTATAGTTGTTTTAACACTCTTCCTATGTTTGCAGGATGATGATAATGAGGATATTGTTGAATAAAGATTTAAGTGGTGTAGGTTTAATTTTACTTTCTTCGTTACCTTTGTTAGAAGTTATACATTTAAGTTTATAACATATGTTATTTCATATGTTCAGGAGAACCAGATAGGGTGGAAGTTGTACATCATTGTGATTCTGAAGACCAGTTTATTGTAGCTTATGAAAAATTAGAGAATTGTATTGGAGTGTATAGGATATTGCAGATTAAGGCAACAGTTTTCACTATGATAGTTGAGGGAGTTCGCTTTTGCTTAAATCTAGACAATGATTGTTTGGATTAATGGGGTAGGTTGATGTTGACAGTATGTTGCACTTAGTGGATGTTGTCCTGTAAATGAATGGTAACATTTGATTTTTTATATGATAAATATGATAGTTCAATGTTCAAGTTTGTGCATATATGAATATTGAATTTTTTTTTTACATTTAACAAAGTGTTACTGCTTTATTTCTCTGACAATTAATCTTTTCCTTTTATTTCTCTTCCGTCTAAAAATCTTCTTCTCTTGTTTATTGCTGGTCTTCCACTTTGAATTGCAAGTTTCAGAAGAAAAAAAACTCTACTGCATATTAAAACCACAAAGGGTGTCTAATGAAGATTTTAAGACAAATGGATGTGGAATGAAGATTAGGGGGTTTGAATCACCACTTACCCATTCTCTAGAAAAATTTTCACTACCTCTCTAAGGTGGTTGCAATTACCCCAACTATGAACAAAGGTTCGTCACTATTTCTGAGTACTCACATGCAGCGTACAATGTTGATCATGCAGTGTTCGTAACTACATTTATTTCGATATTTTTATGAGCTATTTTTTTTATATTGAAGGTATTTTCAATCTCCCACAAATTTTCAATGGACTATATGTCATTCTAACAATAAATTTTCACATCTCACCATTGTTCTATCATAACTAAATATTGTCCGGATTCTACACCAACTCCTAAGAAACATGTCAGTTATCCCAAAAAAACATAGGTTTCCCTCATTTCCCCTTATAATATGCACCATCAAATTTCTAACATGTCAAAATCAGTGACTAAAATTTGAATTATGGAGTTCCATATAACTTTGAGTTTTATACTGAAACCCCATCAATATATAATGCTAATAATTATCAGATTACCAACTTCTCTTAATATCTTTTAATCACGTATGAATCATGATCACCTTTTGAAACAATATCACTATAATACCGATAATCTTATAATTTCTTAAAGTTCCTTTGCTAATATTGAAGCAAGCAAATCATGCATCTCTCGTAGTTGTCGAACACATCCCCACTAAAACAATGATCAATTTAATCAATCGAAGACTCCTTCATAAAATATAACCAATAAATAAGTCTCTTCATAAAATAAAACATGGTCAATTAATCATATCACACGGAAGTTGAGGACACTGTTCAAGTACTCAGACATCTATTCTGAGAGCTAATTATGCAGGAACATATCAAATCATATTCCCAGATTTGAACAGTGTTGTTTTGAAAGAGACTTTGGGAAATCAAACTTCTAAGGTCAACGCTGATGTGACTGAAGCTCCTGTTGCACATATTCAAAGCCCTATATGGTTGAGTTAATATTTAAAGTTAAGAATGTGGTCAATGTGACGAATAATATTTTATATAATGATGTTGGTATTCTTTTTTTTTTTCAAGAGATGAACCGATTCAATCTTTCGGATCTCAACATTTCTCGTTTTGAGGAGAATTTGGATGATGGAGCCTCTCCAACTACGAAGCTTTTGCATGTAATATTCCAGGACCCATTGTTAAGGTATAAATTTGAAGTTAAAAAATTTAAGGTATATTCCATGACCCATTGTGGGCACTGATTTTATGAAATAGAAATTTTCGTGATTGCTCTGTGCATGAGAAGTAGATGTTATAGCTGCAAGTATATGGTGTATATCCGAGAAATGTTGCTGAAAGCATAGGTTTTGTGATTGGTCTATGTGCAGGAGGATTAAATGTTACAAATGTAGATTCAAAACCTTAGCTTTTGTACTTCTATTTGCCCATTTGCTAGGCTCATTTACAGGACCTATTGGCAGTACTGGATTGTGAAACTACAAGTATATGTGTAGTGAAGAAGTGTTGCGGAAAAACGAGGTTTTATGACTGCTCTATGTGCAGGAGAAGTAGATGTTAGAAATAAAGATTATACACTTTGGTCTGTGTACTTCTTTTTGCTCATTTACTAGGCTTATTAATGGTGGATTATGAAAACAACTTGTGGTAAAAAAAAAAAGTAGAATCTTCACTTGCTCCTATTCTAGAATTTTTGCTTGTGTTTGCTCATTTTCTAGGCTCCAATTTTATGTGGTTCAGTTTTTGTTGAGCTATCTTTTATCTTTATGAATTATTGTTTATTGGTCAATTGGGGTTGTAGCCTTAAAACTCAAGCACATTGAAACTAATTGACATGGTAAGCATTTTTTTCTCTGAATGTGAGAATGTTCGTATTCAACGAACAAGTGGAAAGTGCATAAGAAATGGACTAACTTTAAAAATACAATAACAGAAGTTATATAATAAAGAAAAATAGAGCTAGTATGATAGGTTACATGCTCGATGAGGTTTAAAAGAAGAGACAGAATTGTTCCCAAAAACCAAAGAGTAAAGAAATCTATTTTGATATGTTAGGATAACTCTACTTTGATTGTGGACAATGCCGATATTGTATCGCAACTTTTTTCCGCAAAGTCTCATATTTGAAATTCATATAAATCACCAATACGAATAGTTGATTTAAACTCATGGTAGGAACTCATTTAAACGTACAAAGATCGCGCGGCGCTCATCGGTACCTCGAGAGTTCGAGACAATCAAACATGGCTAGATAGCTACATATGCTTTGATGTTCTTCACTTCGATCGTATTCCATATGATCAAGATTCAAGAAAGGAAAAGGGCAGGCAGGGCCATAATTGGTCTTCGGGAGTGTCTCTCTTTTGTGCATTAAAAAAAGCAAGACTTGATGCTTCAAAGTGCTAAGTGGGTGTACAATGATTGGTTACCTGATAGTTAATTATGTCACTATTGTGGAATAGAGATATTTCTTGTTCACGATTAGGAAGATTGTCATTTTGCAAATTAGGTGTGTTAGAACGCATTAGGAAATCGATATTTCATAAAAGTAAAAAATATACAGATATACGTGGTAACACTATGTGTGTTAGCTAAACCACGGGAACAAGAGACCGGTTTCACTATACTTGATGGGATACATTATATAGAGATTGAGAAGGTAGCAGGCTAACCTAATCAAATCAAGAAAATAAAAGGTACATATTGAGACACCACTAACTTCCAGTCGACGACATATAATATGTACTCAAGTCATAGCAACAAGATGGATCTTTTAGTTGAGAACTAGTTGATGTCAATATTTTGATGTCTGTTGGACAAGTAGTGTTTGCGTACTACGTTTGGAGTTTGTACAAGTTCACCCATCAAACCTTAAACTTGCACGACAAGGAGGAGTTACAATTACTATGTCTCGTTGTGCTTGGTGGATTCAACCGTAGGGTTTTTGCCCTAGTACAATTACTAGGTTTAAGACTAAATTGAATTTGTCGACTATTTACACGAGTTTCGAATAAGCTCGAACATAAGCAACACAATACCAAGATGCCTATAATTGAAATTCAACCATTACATGGACTCATATTTATCTCTTTTGTTTATGTACCTCGATGTAGTGATGACAATGAGGCAGGATGAAGCATATACCTCCATACATAATATCGGTTCCATACCAAGCTCGTGTCAGGTCGACTAATGCTTGTAGGGTATGTGTTGAGGTAGATCGACCATTATTATATGTTATTTGAAAACTAGGAGTAAATAGGTAGTTCATGAATGAAAATGGAGATAATCGACAGACTATTTGAGTCTAAATAGTAGAAAGTTAAAGAGCAGTAAGAACATGAAATAAGTCAAGAACGGGAAGGGACGTGTCGAAAAATAGTACTCATGTCTCGCCCGACACTACTGCACATTTGATATTACCTGCCCTGCACGAATCAGGTCGAGTAATACTCGACTGAGCACAAATAATTACCATATACTACCTTGATGTCTAAGAATTGCCTCGTTTCTTGCTAAAGTTTTTGTGTGCATTAAATAGCTAGAAAACAACCACAAAAGTTGAAACCCTAGAAAGTTTGGAAGAGATAGAGAAATGGAGGATGGATCGCCCCCCTCGTCCGCTGTCGTACTACTACTCCATCAATGGCGCGCAGTGGAAGTGAATTGGGAGAGGGGAAAGTGTGGTCACATTCACTACTCTGCTCTGCTGCATCGCCATGCCTACAAACCTCCATCTCTATTCACACAAAACCAAAATTCAGAACAACACAAAAACAATAGAGAGAGAGAGAGAGAGAGAGAGAGAGAGAGAGAGAGAGAGAGAGAGAGAGAGAGAGAGAGAGAGAGAGAGAGAGGATATAGAAAATATCTTGTGGCTATGAAAAGGAGTAGTTCTGGTAAGTTAAAGCTACCCAACTTACATAGCTATAGTTTGGCTACAACACCCGTGAATGAATTAGGAAAATAGTTTCTTTATATTAGACAAGAAAGTATAAACCCTAATTAGTAAGAACAAAGGATTGGCCTTTATGTTACACAATAAGGGGGTGAAAATCATTGTTTTTCATTTACTTATAGCAATGTTGAAAATCGAAAAATCGAGTTGTCAAAAACTGGCGTCAATAATTCAAGTGTGAAATTTTTTTAAAATGTGGATCATATATAATTCATTTACACATGTACCCGTTAATCGAAAACCTACCGACTAATTTCCATGATTTGAATTGACCAGAGCCTCCACTATCATGTTGAGAATCGGTTAGGTCTCATTACTTGAGTCGTATAGTGAATACATTTACCGATTACACACTGACCCGAAATCGAGGTGAACCCCACTTAACTAGCCACCTAGTTTATCTCCCCCCTCCTCAAACCCTAATTCAAGTGGGAATAGAACCCCTTTTCATTTCTCAACTGATTGGGTAACTAAACAGTGGATTTCACCCCCAAGTACTACTTACATTAGTCTTTTCACTTGAGACTTGACATCTAACTGTATGTCCATTTGTGTTGGCAAGAGACCTGCCCACCGAAAAAAAAAAGTCTATCTACTGTTATGATACGTTATAATGGTAAATATATAGGCTGTAGTCAGGTATACCAGAGAAAAGCAAATCAAAGCAAAACCCATTTAAGCTACAGGCTGCCTGCTGAGAGCTGCTAAAAGCAAGAGAGAAAAAAACTTCTCTCACAAAAAGGAATATGTGAAAAATGAGGGTTTTATACTAATAATTATTATTTTGTGTATATATATTTGGGGAGTCCAGTTGCCTTTGCTCTATAACCATTTGCAGACAGAAAGAGAGAGAGAGAGAGATAGGGCAAGAGAGAAGCTAAGAAAGAAAGGGCTTGCTGTAGAGCCAGCCACCTAATTTTCTGAAATTAAACCTCCTCTTCTTTCTTCCTGTTTCTTCTTGTTGATCTCTTCAGCTTGTTAAGTAAAGAGGGAAGATCATCTCCATGTCTAGCTGCATAGATATGGTGCCTGAGCAACTCTGCTACATCCCTTGCAACTTCTGCAATATTGTGCTTGCGGTAAACTTTATACTACTCTTCCCTCTTAATTCTTCTACCTATCTGCCTATCAATCAAGCAATTGGGATTTCAGCCATGGATATTGAAGATATAACAGTAATGGTGATCTATCTATGCATGTGAGCTAGCAACCATTAATTTAAGCAGCAAGTTCTCTCCTTTCTCCTTTTCTCTTGGTGGGGTTTTGGTCATTTTTGGGCTTCTCTTGTGGCAAATCTAGAGAGAATCTTAAAGAGGGGGAAAGGATGGTAAATTTTGAGTCTTTTTT